TGTCTGAAACTGGATCAAATGGGGCAAGTCTATGCTCTTGTGCTCTTGCTCTTGTTCTTGTCCTTAGGGTAAGGTAGCTTTACTCAACTCTGCTAGCTGCTGCTATGCTATTGCAATCGCTGTTGCCTTTCACTCCTACTACTCCTGCAAAAAGTATCAATCCACAGTACAACCTCAGCATTCGCACCCCCATGCACCAGCACAACAATAGTACTACAACCCAAGCACCACCAAATCAGCCTTACCACGCCTCCTCGTTGCCAAACAGCATCAACATAACGTCCTCGTGTTTCAGATCCTGCACCCTCCCAACCTACAGCATAGTGTAATCCCATCCCCACGAGAAAACACACCGAACCCACAGCATACCCCCATCCCTTGCCCAAACACACCACACCACACCAGAACACCCCTCCAACAGCTGCACCGCACCTCTACACCCTATTGGCCCCTAGACCCAGAACAACAGGGATAGCATGCCAAATGCACGACATAATCTCCCAGTTTGCAAGCACCCGAACCCTCAGCTCGCGCTTACGCACTAACGAGCTTTGGCGTTCCTGCCATCCTCGTGCAGCCTCCATTTCAACCCAAAGCTGAATAGTTCCCCAAGACACCAGGAATCTCGCCTCACTCTTGGCTCTCTCCCGATGCCAGACGGGGTCCGGTCCAGGTCGGTGGTCGGTGCTCTGCTTCTCCCTTCGCCTCGGTGCGGTGGATTTGGTTTGGCGATCCGAGCGGGCTTAGGTCTTGTTTGGGGGTAAGCTATGGATAAGGGTAAGGGTAAGGGTAAGGTGAGGTGCCGTAAGGGTAACTAAGGGTGAGGTGAGGTGCGGTAAGGTGGGTTCTTGGGGAGAGGGGTTAAGTGATGTGATGAGGTGAGGTGAGTGGTGTTCCCCGCATGGAGTTGGAGGAAAGCACTGATGCCTTACTTGTGCTTTTTTTTCGGTATGTACGAGTTGATTATGGTTATTGGGGGTAGATGGTGAGGGATGGTATTTGGTAATGAGGTTAATTTGCGGTTTGGGGCAGGGCAGGGTCACGGTCCGTGGGCTTGGGTCGGGGGTTGAAGTCTTGGGTTATTTGGGTGGTTTGGTTTATTCTTGGTTTTCCGTGCGATTTGGACATAACTACGGATCTTAGAGGGGAGAGCTGTTGGGGCTCTGGATCTTGGGTAGAGAGTGATGTTTCTGGAGTTGAGTTAGGAGACTTCATGTACAATTCTAGCAGGTAACTTCCAAGGAATGAATTCTAATGACATAATCACTTCTTCTGCACTGTAGGTGGGTAGATGAGGTAACTCTCGATTTTCTAACTTACTCGTACTGCCTCGCGATAGACAATGCAGATGACGAGTGCGATTAAGCTCACTCAACCTCCTTCGTCTCGTGGTATCCCCCCCTGTGCGTATACCAAAGAGGAAGCATAGCTTCCACAGCTCAGCTCGGCTGTCGCTCGCTGCGGTTGACCCGGATTTCGTATCCTCGACCCTGACTCGGCATCGTTCCTCATCTGAGATTCTGGTTGTGTGATATGTACGGTACTGTAGACCTGACTCTGCATCAGGTGTGCATTTTGCAGGTGCGTTCTTGTGTAATGCGCCGGGCGTGTCAGTAACCGGGCGGGCAGTTGCAATAGCCCACGCTAAACCATACCGAGACCGCAAACATGGTCGGGGCTGGATCACTGGATCGCAATTAACGGGCCGGCCCTAACGGTACCAGAGATGGATTATTGTTTACATACTCCTTTTCAATCCACAGTAAAACAGTACACGCCTGGGAAGAACTGCTACCTACAATCCAGAGAATCAGATATCGTCATCGGTGAATCTAGCCTACAACTAGGCCGCTTCTCATCTTCAATGTCACACCGTCCCCGAATCAATTGGCTTCGACTCACCCGAGCAACAGACTCAACTCGTCCTGATTTACCCGTATTGTATGACAACACCCGTCCCGTCCCTCTGTCCATCTGATCCTCTCCCCTCCCGCCTCTGCTACTCCTCGCCCCAGACTCGAGTGGGTATCGCTTCGCACTGTTTGATGAAGTACGATTTCCTGCTCCCGGAGAATAAAGCAGAATCACCATGTCCCTCCCCAGGACGCGATCATGGGACGATTACGGAGTAGTGGGAAAGGAAATAGGATGCACCTTGACTGAGAAACGCGCACAGACGATCGCTCGTTCGGGCAGCATCGAGGCTACCAGTACGGAGTAACGATCGGTGGGCTACGAGTCTATGACCAACCCACGGGCCAAGGGCCACGGCCCCTCCATCCATGTCCACAATGCGCACCGTTGCTCTGCTAACGTAACCCACCCCTTCCCCCCTCTCCGTTCAGGTACAGTGCCTACTGGGAGGTTGGAACCAGTGATACACTTGGAAGTCATTTGCTCAGCCAGGTACCAATCGTTCGGCCTCAGATGTGATGAGAAACCATTTGAAGAGAAAGACATCACGAACACCCAGACTTAAGCCCTGCCGCGGGTTTTGTCGGGCTGCGACGGTTGTAGCTACAAGTTAGTAGACTAGAGGGGTCAGTTTGAGCCGTTAATCGATAGGCTATCGATAACCGATGGGAAACTGGCTGCCCCACTTTTGCCCTCCATCCATGGGATCTATCGCTATCATCCATCCGAAATCCAGGCTATCGCTCTTGCCTTCAGATACCGACCACCACTGCTTTTTTTTTTCCCCCGTCCGGCAACGGGATTGTGATACTCCGATTTCAGTGAAGGATGGTGTACCGGTATCTTGCTTATGGGATGAGGAGTTGACTAGACTGGTTGACTGACTGATGACATACGAAAAGGCAGAGAGGACTACTACTAGGGAGGGAGGGAGGGGTGGAATGACCGACGGCAGTCAGTCAGGGCAGGCAGTCCTACCGCCCTTCCACTTTCAACTCTGGGTCAGGTTAGCGTTGCGTTGCGGCTTACTACTTAGGGTTGACCTTCCTTTGAAGATCCAGGTATCTGACCTCTCTAACTTCGCTCGTTCTGGCTGCAGAAGCCAGTCCTGTCCTGCACGATACTGATGTGATGTGCATCGCATTTGAGGAGCTTATTGCGCTTTCTCCTGTTGTATGTACCGTGCGGTAGTAGTATGTGCAGTACGTACCCAAGCGAAGTCCTAGGAAACCTGGTGTATGCCCTGTGTGCACAGTGCACCGTGCACTACATTGGACGGTACTGTGCACCCGGAGTCGACCAACCGAGAAAGTAGTCTACTCCGTCCGCATGGACCAAGAAGAAACGAAACCAAAAGTACGGATCCATCCCAGCCAGAAAGGCTAGAGGGCGATCGGGGCCGAAACGCACGAAAGGACCGTGTGAGGAAGATCACGGGCCAACTTCTTTTTCCTTTCCGGCAGTTGATCAGAGGGAACTTACAATGTAGCAGCAGCACGACGGTGAAATAACTGAAATTAGGCACTAGAGTATATCCTAACGTATGTACATAGGTTTTATGTCGGTATGCATGGGTGGATAGATGTATGTGGTATGTCAGTAAGTTTTTCGCAGGCAAAGCAAGCGCCGCGCCCATGCGATAGATAGTACCTAGTAGTCAAGGAAGGAGCACGAGAAGCGTCATGATCATTATTCGTTCGTCAAAAAGAGGCATTAATTGATTATTCAGTACCAGACACACTCTTTTTGTCTTGTCTTGAGTCGTTCCTTTTCCCTTTTTTTTTTCCCCCTGCCAGTCCCGCTGCACGTCTGCCCAACGAAGCATCCAATGATGGCGGCTCGTTAATCTCGGGAACAGTCAGAAATCCTCGCCTCGTCTTTTGACTTTTCCGCTGACCGCCGGATGGGATAGGCTTCTTCGTGGGAGGAACTAAGGAGTTCATGGTTTGGCGTGCCGATGGGTCTGGCTAATTCTACCTAGAGGTTGATGGAGTTGATGGAGTCCCCTTAGAAGAAGAGTGGAAGCTGTGGGTTTGGTTTGAGATCCATAATCCATATTCCATAGGACTGTTGGTACAACTGGGTAGTAGTAAGTAGTAGTATATTCCACAAGTATAGTGGGCTTCCTTTTTGGGAAGTGTCATTATTTGGTTCGTCCTGTTTGTTGGTTGGTCCGATTATCTCGCTTTCTCTCTCTCTCTCTCTCTTTATTTTTATTCTTTTTCTTTGGCCATGTACTGTACTGTAGATGCTACTCGATCTCACAGTAGGTTCAGTAGGCATCCTGTGGGGATTTGGGTCAGCATCAATTCTCTTGGAAAAATAATTCTCTCAATTTACCAGAATTATGATTTTGGGATTTAGTCGCCTTTGTTTTGGCATTGGGAGTCTAATTCTAATTTAGTACGATTTGGATGCTTTCCCATTCTCTTGGTAGACAGACAGACATTCAGGGACCAACTTCAGGTTCCTATCAAAGAGATCCTGACTGACTACAAGATCGAATCGATACTTGCAACTGAAGTATATGTATGGACTCGTTCCCCTCCCGCTTGTCACTTGCTCTCTTCCCCCTTCATCACATCACCATTATCAACAACAACAACAACAACAACAACAATAACAACCACTACTACACTATCCCAACAGAAATTGATATACTTCCTCCCTCCTCGCCCTCTTCCCTGCCTCCACTTTTGCCTCCTTCGCGCCTGCAACCACCAATCCTCTTCCTCCGTTACTCGCGCATTCTAAATACTCCCTCCCTCCTCTTCCTTCTCTCCTTCTCTCGTCGAGACCATTTGAGACATCTTTTCCTCTCATCGTCTCGCTCTTGTCTCACTTCTTACTTCTATCCTCAATACCTCCCTCGACGATCATCGTTGTCTTTTGATCGCCCACCAGCCTCCATCTCCATCGCCAACCCCGCACCTCATTTTCGACCTGTTTATTTTTTACACACCGCCTCTTGCCAGTCGGTCGTATCACCACGCCTGCTTCTCTTTGGGCCACGACCTACGCTTCCTTCTTCATCCTCTTCCTCCCCCACTTCTTCTCCCTTCATCACACTCACATTATCTACCATCATGGCGAGATATTCCCAACCGTCATCATTTGACTTCTATCAACAATCCCCTACTACCTTGGATGCCAAACCTGCATTTCCCGAAGAGGATGAGATGAGTGTATTAGACGACAAGATCCTGGACTCTACTTCCCCCGACATGGCTTCCTCCGCTGCCGACCACCGCAGACCCTCATATGACCATGTACCCGATGCATACACGCATCGAGATTCCGTCTGGTCCGACTTCTCTCATTCTGTCTCTAGCACTCAGTCCCGCCACAACTCCCAAGTCGGCCACCCGTTCTTTGAATCCGCCCCCAATCCTTTCATGCGCGTCGACGGCGCTCACCCGGCCGCAGCATACGCTCAGCAGGCCTCGTGGTCCCTGTCTAAAGACTCGGGCGCATGCACTCCCACCGCCATGTACGAGCACTTCCCTTCCGAGATGGACCACAGCGCCTCCGCCCCGTTCGCAGGCGGCGCCGTCGGTCCCGTCAGCACCATCAGCATCCCCTCCATGTCTTACCGGCCCGGCATGGCCTTCGCCCACCCGGCCGCCGTGGCTATGTCGCCGCAATCGAGTCAGGGTTGGATGCCTGCCGCCACCGACATGGCCGATGCTGTGGCCCGTCCAACCAAGAGTCCCACCTACCGCAACAGCTCCCCGTTGAGCATGCGCCGGGACGGCATCCGCAAGAAGAATGCCCGCTTCGAGATCCCTGCAGAGCGGACGCTGAGCAACATTGACCAGCTTATCAGCCAATCGACCAATGAGGAGGAGATCAAGGAACTGAAACAGCAGAAGCGGCTGTTGCGAAACCGCCAGGCGGCGTACGTGCCCCTCCTCCCACGTGCCATGTTATCACTAACAAGACTGTAGGTTGGACTCCCGCCAGCGCAAGAAGCTGCACACGGAAAAGCTGGAAGAGGAGAAGAAGCAGTTCACGCAGATCATCAGCGACCTCGAAGAGGAGCTGCAGAACATGCGCCTCCGAGAGGCGGAGCTCCTTCGCGAGAAGAGCGAATGGATGGCCGCTCAGCAGGAGATCACCCAGTACATCAACACGATGCACATGGAGAAGGATGAGCTGATTCGCGTGCACACCCTCGAGACTGCTGAGCTTCGTAAGAAGAACAACATTCTTAAGGAGACCGTGGAGAAACTCGAGCGTCACGCCAGACCCTCGGCCCCCTCGAATCTGCCCTCGGAGTTCTCTGACTTTGAGAACTTGACGATGGACAGCAGCCCTTGGGAGGACTTCACCATGGTCAACAGTCTCTCTCTGGATGCCGAGGCAGTTGCCGCGCCGTCTGCCCAGTCGACTTCGATGGTTGTCGCATCGAACGAGAAGGATAAGGCGAACAGCGACTACCCGTTCAGCTGGAATGCGTTCTACATGTGCCTGCTGTTCGGCGCGTTCGTGGCCTCGAACGGCTCCTCGCTTTCTGCCCGCTCCATGCCTCAGCTCTCGGAGGAGTACCGCGCGGAATCAGCCAACGTGCTGAAGGCCGTGCTGGCGTCGTCTCCTCCCGAGCTCGCCCAGCCGATGGGCCAGGCCGCCGTCGCCCCCTCCTCGGCTGCTGGCGTTATGCCCAGCACCATTACTGGCGCCCAGATGGCGCAGATGACTGGTACTGCGGCGCCGTCCAACCTTGATGAGCTCCACAGCGCACTGGTCATGCCCTCCAAGCAGCAGGAGCAGGAGCAGGTCTTTGCTCTCAATGCGGACCAGTACAACTCTTTGACTACTTACGATGATGCTGGTGTTGAGTACAAGCAACAGCAGCCATCGAACCTGCAACAAGCCCTGGCTGCCATGAGAGGCAGTGTCCAGAGCAAATTGTCGACGAAGGCCACTTCCGACGTCTACTCACGGTCTCTAATGTGGGACCGGGTCCCTGAAAAGGTGATCCGGGACTTCCGCCGCATGGTCCAAGCCTGTGGTGTCTCTCCGGTCAAGGAAGAAGACGCCAGTTTTGGTCACTAGTAGATTTTTGATCCGGGGTTGGTGGCTCGCCATCAAACCCAACCCACCTTCCTCCGCTCCTCCTCCGTTTGCCTGCGTTTCTTCTCTGCGTCCACACACAGACACCTCAAGCGACCTGATTGAGTTCTGTTGCCTTCATCCTTTCGCTTCTGCAACCTTGAGTCTTCTGGGAAGACCAACTTTCTCTCCAGCACAGTAACAGTGCCTTTTTTTAACGACCCTACGACTGCATGGCCCAGATAAGCCAGAATGATTAGCCCATATATACATAGACAGCTTGACTCAACATACCAACTTACCAACTTACCAAACCATTCACTTCACCGCAGCTGGATATATCTGACGGCTAAGCAATTCCATTGATGAATCACGTCTGTCAAATTAGCGATGCTGTTGTTCTTTGCGGGCCGGCGCGCTTACGCTTCTCTCCTTCGGCTTCACCAGCCTATATCTCTGAACAGACTTCGTGCCCCCTCCCGATGGGGTGGCTAATACGGGGCTTACCTTGCATTCGTGTACATTCTTACACAACTTCCGCGAGACTGTTCTTCTTGCACATTCGCTTTGATCCAGAACATTTTCTCCAAGGTCGGTGGTGGCAGCCTACCTTGGAATTCGTGCACACACACACACACTTTTACCGGACTACGCAGAGGACCTCTACTGCGTTTATTTCCGACGACCAAACAAACAGATGCTAGGAACAACAGAACAAACGGGACGGCAACTTGACTTTGACTTTGACATGCTCTAGCGCAGCGCTTTTGATCTGGCTTTTCGTTGTGGTTTTTTGAATTTGGATTTGCATTGCGAGGATACTGGGCTGGGAGCCTGGCGGCAGCTTCATGATTATGTGTTACGATACGATGCTATGTTATGTTTTTGGGCTGGATGGTTTAATGTTTACGATGATGATGATCATGATGATGATGTTTTATTGGTTGGTTTTGGTTCTAGGGATTGTTTTCGTTCTGGATTTTGTGGAGTTTCCTTCAGGGAAACTCCGACCTTCTTTCTCATTCTCCTTTGTCAGACAGATTTATTTTTCTTTCTTGGAGCATCTGCATGCGCTAATACGGTGCAGGTTGCTGGCGGGAGCTTTCCACCTGACTATTACTACTCACAGCTGATCACTGGTGATTAACCAACTGACTGCAGCAGTTGGATGATGCTGGTGGTTTCGGTGGTGGTCGCATGTCGCGGTGGAAGTCAACCCGTATTCACTCATTTATTACAGAATTGCATACACTCGTCTCTTTTGTCTGCATCTGTGCATCTTCCGGTGTTGGTGGTGTTGGTGGCGGTGGTGTATATAAAATCTGCTCTGACAAATGCATTTGGGATGAGTTTAGGGATTTTACAATCTTGTGTATTTCGTACGTTGTTGGTAAGAAGGACTGTACGACCTGTAGCTGGTCCGTGAGGATTCGAGGAGAAGTGCAGCACCGTCTTGAGGTGCGGGATGATGCTGTGCTGTATGTACCAGTGAAATGGGAGGGACTCTGCCTTCGTCACTCCAAGATTTAGGATGAGAGAATGAGAATGAAGGATCCGAGCAATTACGCTCTTGACTCGGATCCAGGCGGGCTGTGTTGTGTTTTGTTGTATTGTATTTTGTGGTGTTGTGTTTTGTAGTGTTGTGTTTTGTAGTGTTGTGTTTTGTAGTGTTGTGTGCTGTACTTGGTCTTACAAGGCATATATACGGGTCCTGACCCGGATCAACAGCACTCTGGACGGTGCATACTGTACTGTACTGTACTGTACTTATTGCAGTCGGTGAACGGTAGGTAGGGAGGTAGGGAGAGAGGTGAGTGTTCATGTTCATGTTCATGTTCCTGTTCCTGTTCCTGTTCCCTCCTTCCGTTGACGGGGATAACAAGGGGCCGACGGGGGCGAGGGGGGCGAGGGATTAACATCAAGGCTGATACTTACTTGCCTTTGTACGGTGGTTGGGATGCGTTCCTGTATAGTATAGTCCAGTATGTCTTGTCACTGTGGGAGGAGGGGTGGATATGTCTGGTGTATGGCAGTAGATCGGTAGGTACGCTCCTTACTTTGCTTTGCTTTCCTATCATTCTACTCTAGTGTGATGGGGGTGTTAGTCTACAGCGCTGGCCGCATGGCCTACGCTACATCTACACGGTCTAAGGACGGGGATGGAGGGATCCCCGGCGTTCGAGGTCGAGGTTCAGAATGAGGCTGAGACTGGATGTTGACATCAAATGGGCCTGGTGGTTTGTGTTGAATTGGATGACTGAATTCATTCTCTACCGTTCTAGGCTAGCTACTGGAGTGTGATTACAGCAGAGTAACAGTGGTCTAGTGGGGGAGTCCCGAGAGAAGATGACATGAAGAGGTCATCCCCCGCCAAGTCTAGGTCTTTCTACCTGCAAGGTCTGTGTCCCCAACGTCAACATGTGAGGCGGGATGGGACGGCACGTTCTTGACGCCTGCTACCGAGAGAAACTGTCCCAGTCTCAGCCTTGTTGCTAGGGCATCAATTGTTCATTCATGTTCAGCTCAGCTCCACCAAACCCCGAGCCTGATCGTGGACGGGGGCCAGACCGTCGTCACCGGACCAAATTTACCATCAACGACAAGTTCAATGCGGGTTGTACTTGTCCTTCCAGATCCTGTCATCCATCAAAAACGTCATGTCAGCCTGAGTACTTCGCTCGGTAGTGTAGTTCAAAAAGAGGGGAACGGGCAGTTGGTTGGCTGGAAGCGTCCCGGCCAAAACTCCACGAGCGCCTATCAATACCCCCCCCCCCCCCCCCCCCCCCCCCCCCCCCCCCCCCCCCCCGTTCGCTGCAGGTGATGAAGGTCAGAACCTACCAAGAATTGCCTAGGATTTTGCTCCCTTTCTCCTCCGCCAATCGATAGTATTTGGCGGCCGCGAACTATGTCCCCAAATTTAGTTTCTATTTCCTCCAGAGTGATGCGAACGAGCCTCAAAGTCTTGATGCCCGAGCAGACTCAAAACTTACTTTGTCCTTCTTCCCTCCAAACCCCTCCAAGTAGCACCAAGCAACCTCGTTCATCGCGTCCGTATCGCCGAGGTTGGCGGCCGTCTCGTAGTACTGTCGTGCCGCGACGGGGTCCTTCTTGACGCCCCAGCCATTCCGGAAGCAGTTGGCCAGCTCGAAGATCGCCAGCGTCAGCTCGCCCTTGGCCGCGCCCCCTTTCTTGATCCCGGCCTGGAGTGCCTCGGACTCGACCGAGGCCGAATTGGCCGCCGCGGCCGAGAGATACGTGATCGCCTTGTCCTGGTCTGGCGCGCATCCCCAGCCATGCCTAAGCACGATATCAGTCCATGAACCGCACCGAAGCCAGCCCGAAACCGTCGTCATCTCTTACCGAAGTGCAAGCCCATAGAGCACTTGGCTGAGCGCATTGTTGGCCCCTTCCGGATCGGCCAAGCGACCAAACATCTCGGTGGATCGTTCCAGATCTAGCATCACGCACACAACGTTAGCAACGATGAAAACAACCCTGAAGCATTTCCCGAAGGACAAAGACATACCTCCAGCCTCATGGAGCCGAATAGCCTCCTGAATATTAACCTATTCTCGCCCGCCGCGTCAGCCACACAACCCCTTCTCCTCCCACCAAAAGAAAACTTACATCCCCAGCCGGATCATTAATCCGACGACTGCAACTCGAACTCCGCGACCGCGACGCCACCGCCCCGTCCATCCCAAACCCCGTGGGCGCCGTGGACCCCGTGGGCGACAAACACGCCGCGAACTGCGGATTCCGTTGCACCAGCACCGTCGCCCGCCGCTCCCACTCGGCCTCCACATCCTCCCGCGCCGCAGCGGTATCGCCCCCCTTCCCACCACCACCACCACCACCACCACCACTGGTAATAATCCGCGGAAGATCGGGTGGGATGTTCACGGACGAGGAGCTCGAACTCCGTGACCACCCGCCGCCACCGCTACCACCACCACCACCACCACCGCTGCGGTCCAGATGCAGCAAATGCGACAGCCGGCCTTCGCCCCGGGCTCGCGGCGGCGATGTCACGCCTGAGGATTGTGAGGGCGCTCGCGACCGACGGAAAGGGTTGAGGGATTTGCGGTGGTGGGAGGGCGGCGGGGAAACTGCGGAGAGTGATTCTGTTGGTGGTGGTGGTGCAGGGTCCGGGGCGTCACCATCGAAGGCGGGCGGGCGGATCACTTCTTGGGTGGTGGTGTCGGTGCGGATGAAGGTGAATTGCGGGACGGTGGGATTGTTGCTGCTCACGGGCGTCGTGGGTGCCATCCCTCCTCCTCCGGCTCCAGCAGCTGTGGTGGAGCCATACTGGTTTGTAGATGCTGTGTTGGTGGTAAGGGATTGGAACTCCTTATGACGTTGGAGCTTGTCGCGAAGTGGCATTGTTGCGCACACCCCGGGGCTGAGCCACGGAAGTATACGGCTTATCGCGGAGGAATGGGAAAAGTGGAGACGGAGACGGTTTCTTTTTGCCGGGTTGGGAATTTCCCCTTGGGTTTTGGGGGGGGGGAAGGGAGGGAGAGGAGGCCGAGGAATTTGGGAGGAAGAACTGGGAAAGTAGCAGGCACGATGAGATTGGAAGTTATACGTCGTAGTCGTAGTGGTAGTGGTAGTCGCAGCAAAAGCAGGGGTAGGAGTAGTCGAAGTTAATCAGGTCAGATTCACTGCCAGCCTTTTTCTTTGTTCCCTCTTCCCTCTTCCCTCTTCCCTCTTACTTCACTTCGACCGGGGTGCGCGGGCTGCCGGCATACCAAGATCACCAAGAATCAAAAGAATAATAAGCGCCGGGCTGGGGGGTTCGAAGGCTGTGCGCGTGTTTGTTTAAAGTGTGCAGAAAAGAAACTCTGTTCCCACCATCCAACAATCGATCCATCAAATCAATAAATAATAACACCTGGTGGTTATAGGGGGAGTTTTTATCCACGGCCCAAAACGCAAACCGTGGTTGGAGCATTTCACCCCCGGCTGTCGGCTTGGCGGCAATTTCTTTCATCGCGTTTTGATTGCTTTTGTCATATATTGAATACACAAGGAAAGTGAAAGGTAAGACGTTGATGGCAGTGCTTGTACGTGGCGTGGCGTGGCGTTTGGTCCACAACACCCCTGCTAAGTCATGGTGCATTCGTCATAGGGCCGAGTGTAATTCTAGAAGTCTATCTCTGCAAGTCAGAGGAATATGTAGGGAAGTGCAATAGCAAGCAAGGCTCATACTTAGGCTACTCGGTGTCGTGGCGGTGAAGTTACAGGTACAACTACAACGATTGCCAGAGAATCGTAAGGGAGTAATGCTGTGAAAGTCGAAGCTCTTATTCGAAAGCTCTTACTGGCATACCATGACTCGAGACCAATGGCACTTGGTATTTCTAACTGATAACAGAAATGATCTTTAATTTGTACATGATTCTTATAGCAAGGCTATCCATGCAGAGTTCGTTTACTGGGCCTTGGAGGACATGATGCCTGGATCCAGAGTTAGCATCTCACAGCAGCACATGAAATCATCAACTTACGCTCAACATCAGCAACGCTCTGCTGGAGGATCTGCTGAAGAACCTTGGGGTTCTCGAGCTCCTTGTGGATCTTGGCGATGACGCTGTCAGCAAGCTCGCGCTGCTGGCGCTGCTTGACCTGACCCTCGTAGCGGACCCAAGAGTCGAGGACCTGCTTGGCCTCGGTGGCCAGAGCAGTGCGCTGCTCGAGCTCGTAGGCCTTGGCCTCCAGCTGGGCGGTTTCCTACTCCATCGTTAGCAGCGGCCCCTCCCAAACTCGACGCCAGAGATATATGAAAAGGCGTACCTTGGAAACAGCAAAGAGCTGCTTGGTGAGCTCAACGACACCGGACAGCTCCTTGACGTTCTCCATACGCTGCTTGACGGCGCTGGTGTGGTCGGCACGGGCAGCGTTGAGGATGTCCTTGTGCTTCTGCACCTGGCCCTCAGCCCACTCACGGTAGGCGGGACCACCGTACTTGAAGACGGCAGTGAAGACGCTGAGCAGGCAGAACGCAGCAACGGTTTCCTCGTTCATCACGTAGAGCTCGTTGCTGATGGCGGCGATGGACAGACCGGCGGCGGCGGAGAGCGTGGCAGTCTTGGAGACCAGGGAGTTGCCGGGAAGAGCATCGAGGATGGACTGAGCCTTCTTCTTGGGGTCCTCAGTAGGGACGCTGGAGACCGAACGGGACGCGGTCAGAGTGGCCGTGATGGGAGCGACATTGCGCGAGGGAAGGGTCGGCCGCAACCGGGCGGCACCTGGCGAGGGGGTTAATGACCAATGTCAAGTGGTGTTGTAAGTGAGAGCAAGAGCGGGCATACCGAGGGTGCTCTTAGCCAAACGCGAAGCCATTGTAGCGATGGACAGGAACCGTGACAGGGTGTGGATGGGTTTGGAACGGAAATGAGGAGACTGAGTGAGGTTCGGGATGGCGGTTTGGGCGGTGCGGAAGACACTAAACCCCTTTGGGACTGGTGTCGTGGGCCGGAGAAACCGCCTAACCGAGGAGGAGGGATTCTCTCTTTCTCTTATCCTCAAAAAAAGTGGCCCTGCAGTGGACTAGCTAGCGCTCCTCCATTTACGCCGGTTTTGCGATTCTGTCCACGATGCCTGCCCCGATCGCCACGGCTCCGGCCTCCAAGAAAAGAAAGAATGGCAAAGAGAGCGGCGTGCCTTTATCGAAACGCCGTGCCGTCGCGGACACTGAGTCCGCCGATGCGACGGCCGACATCCAACGGCTGGAAGACCAAATCTCCGAATCGCGAAAGCACTACAACAATATCGCAACCCTGATTGCCATGCTCACCACCCAAGGGTCTACCAAAAAACCGAATGTCCCCGCCGCGTTGGCTCTGTGCCGTGTATTCAGCCGATTGATCGCGGGAGGAAACTTGACCGAGTCGAGCCGGGCCGCCGAGAACGAAAAGATCATTGTTGCTTGGTTGAAGGAGCGTCTCAAGGAATATCAGAAGGCTCTGCTCTCTATCATTCGCGAGAGCGATCCTTCGTCTCAGGTTCGTTCCTGCTATGCCCTCTTGAACACGGGCAGAGGTAGACTGACTGTCGGTCGAATAGATCACCGCCTTAACCTTGTGTCTCTGCATTGTCAACGAGCGCGCCACACATCTTCCCGGAGAAGAGGGTATCTGGTTGACGGGTCTATTCAAGAATGTCGTCGAAGCGGTTGTGGAGGCCAACAATGGCCAGGCGGTCCTGTCCGAGTTCATCGAGAAGGCCAAGGAGTTCGAGGACGTGCGCTACTATACCTTCATACAGATCTCGTATGTCAATTTCGTTCGCCGCACGTTCTTATCAAGCTAACGACTGTCTCAAGTGAATACGCAAGCACTCCACGCAGCTCCGCAACCATCGACACCTTGATCAGCATCCTGTCGGCATGCGACTCGATACCCACGCCCGAGCACGAGTTCGAGAGTTTCTACACGAAAACCAGCAAGAACAGCAAGCGGGTGGTGTCGGCGAAGTCGCACAAGAAGCACGCGCAGGAGGCCTGGCTGGCGATCCTGCGCAACACCCTGTCGGACGCGCAGCGCAAGCATCTGCTGCGGATCATGGTGCACAACATCGAGCCGTGGTTCCTGCGGCCGGAGCTGCTGATGGACTTCCTGACGGACTCGTACAACGTGGGCGGGGCGACGTCGCTGCTGGCGCTGTCCGGGCTGTTCTACCTGATCCAGGAGAAGAATCTGGACTACCCGCAGTTCTACCCGAAGCTGTACTCGCTGCTGGACGCGGACCTGCTGCACTCGAAGCACCGGTCGCGGTTCTTCCGCCTGATGAACACCTTCCTCGCCTCGACCCATCTCCCCGCCGCCCTCATCGCCAGCTTCATCAAGCGCCTCGCGCGCCTCGCCCTCAACGCCCCGCCCCCGGCCATCGTCGCCATCGCCCCCTTCGTCTACAACCTCCTCAAGGAGCACCCCACCTGCGCCTTCATGCTGCACCGCCCCATCCGCGACGCCGACCGCCAGGCCCTCCTCGCCGCCCGCGGCATGGACGACCCCTACGACCCGCGCGAGCCCGACCCCGTCCGCTCCGGCGCCCTCGACAGCAGTCTGTGGGAGCTCGAGACCCTGCAGTCGCACTACCACCCCAACGTCGCCGCCATCGTCCGCATCCTCGCCGAGCAGTTCACCAAGCAGTTCTACCACCTCGAGGACTTCCTCGACTACACCTACCAGGGCATGCTGCAGGCCGAGCTGGGCTCCGGGGACAAGCCGTTCAAGCGCATCCCCGTCGTTGAGTACCAGATCCCCCGCCGCATTTTCACCGACCGTCTGCTGGAGGAGGACGGCGGCGAGGATACCGCGCCGGGCAGCTTGCTTCGAGGGCTGTGGGAGTTTGCATAGCCGGGGGGGGGGGGAGAAAGCGGCGCAGGGGGGGGTTTACGACTAAAAGCAATATATCACTAACTTACTGTACATAATTCGATATATATCACTATCTATATTTCCCAATCACCCAAGAACTTTAAGGAGTGTAGTTGCCCCCCATACCTATACCTTGGGAGGGGGAAAGGTAGCAATTGCTAATTCTATTCTATCCTATTCTAACCAACAACATCCGCATTCTAACTAGCATGATTGCACGAAGGAGTGTGGTGGTAGTGGTCTCTGCCCTCCTAACCGGAGAAGGAAGCTCCAGGGGAAAAAAAAAAAAAAAAAATCAAAAGTCTATGAGTTGAGAGAAAAGAAAGGAAAGGCGAGAGCATTGTCAATGCGCAGAATGACCAAGCCGACGATCATACCTGTCAGGAAGATGCACCGGCATCGACAACGACATCCAGGCCCCATTCGCCGCGGACCCGGACCCGGACGAGGACGAGGACGAGGACCAATCCTGCGTCCCCGACACGGCCAACGTACTCAACGGCCTGCGCGTGATATACCGCGTCTCCGTCCACGCACCATCCTCCCCAACCCCAGCCGAAGACCCCGTCCCCCCCTCATCCCCGGGATAATAATCACAATAAACATCCAACGCAAACACGCCACGCTTAAGATCATCCAGCAACTCATCGCTAACTTTAACGGGGATGGCCTCGAGCCGCGCGCGCATGCTGCCCAGAATCGCCTGGGCCTTCTTCCGCCGCCGCCGCCGCCGCACCCCGACCTCGTCCTCCATGCGCTCGAGCAGCCCCAGAATCTCGTGCTCCGTGTGCAGCGCCGTCGCCACGGCGTGCTGCACCCGCTGCGTCAGCTGGTGCAGGTCCGCGGCCACGCCGCGGAACAGCGCGTCCACGCGGCCCAGCGCCTGCGTGACGTGCGCCGCCAGCGCGCGCCCGAACCGCCGTCCGTAGTACCGGTTCCAGAACTCGAGCCAGTGCAGCAGGCCGATGCGGGATTTGCGGAGCCGGGTTAACTCCAGAATCGTGATGACGTTGCGGCAGAGGGTGAGCGTGTAGAGCGCGGTGCGGCGCGTGGTTTCGATTAGGTGCGCGGGGGTGGTGGTGGGATTGGGGGGAGTAGTGGTGGGTTCATGGTTTTTGAGGCGGTAGAAGCGTTGGGGGGTCTGGGTGCTTGAGGTGGTTGGGGTGGTTGCTGGTGTACTGCGAGTTGTTGTTGTTGTTGTTGTCTCGGGCGTGTGGGTTAGGGTTGCTGGTGAGGCAGAGGATAATGATGCACCGGGCACTGGTATCGCGGATATGCCTGCTTGTAACATTCCAGATGCTGGTTTTTTTGAAGTTGGTTTCTATGTCATGGAAGGTCGAAAAGAAAGCTGGGTCTGGTGGTAGCGACAGACGAGGTTATGAGGGTGTGGAAACGAGCGTGGCTGATGGTAGCTTAACGAGTGACGCGACAGTTTTTTATGCCATTGGTAAGGTTTAGTGGTAAGAATGGTGGTTGATTTTGAATTGGTGAGAGGGAGTGAGGGTAAGAAGAGAACATGGTGACAGCATCCGCCACCTGGGCTGGTGTCGTCCTTTTCTTTCTCTGTCCTCGTCCCCATCGTGGAAGGAACAGACGAGAGTGCAGTGGGCACTCGGAAAGCAACAGTAACCTTCGTGAGAAGAGACCCAGTGATGCATCCGGTCACTGGACCCATCCGTGAAGCTTGGTGAGCTTGCGCCGGGCTGAAGAGTCGATTAACTTTGGCAGTCGACCCGTGGGCAATGCGTGCTGGAGGTGAAGTCCTCTGCATCTCCGCATTCGGTAATCGGCAGCCGGCATCGGGAGGTTCGGGGCAGATGTCACCGTTACGATTCTTGAACCGTCCCGATCGTGCGCGAGCGATTCCGCAACAAGTCTGGCTTGGTCGAGGAGTCGGCAAAGCGAGAGTTTGGGTCTGCGGTGTCTGTTCGTATGAGGTGATGCCGTAAACGTCCTGTGTCTGAGCGGCAACCCGTCTTGGGGGGGCGCTGTCGATGCGCCCAGACTTGGTATAGAGGATCGGGCCTGCATGAACCACATGCACGCTAATCGGGTGGGTGACTTCATCAGCGGTTGATGATCGGCCAGGGGTAAGACGAGTGAGGATGGGCTCGATCGTGGCGAATATGGGGTTGATCGGCTGCGTCCACTCCTGTCCTGTGTTGCCCCTTGCAGGTAAACACCGTCCATCCGCACTGACATTTTCTCCCAAGGTGGAAAATCAAAACAATGGATACACGAAGTGGTGCTCGGCAATTTGACGGGCTTTCTACCTTCTATCAAGGTGTCTGAAGGGAGGGAGTGGTTTGCTCAGAACCCTATTGCTCTGACGTGCGACAAGGATATGGTGCTCATGCCATCGACGGCCCTATAATTCTCGTTCATGGCGAAGTGAGACTCTCGACCTCTCTCATTGCTGTGCTTCCTCGGGATCATCACGAGCCACGCAGCAGGTCTTGCATTCCTGGTCGATCCAAGGGACCATTCTGAGAGCGCGAACCTCACAGCGGTAGATATTATTCACAGCACCTGAATGATCACGAACAGCGACTCCCAGCACTGCTGATCTGATGATATGTCGGCAGTTTAGCATGAGTCGAACTTTTTATGATGAACTCACGCTCTTGTGGGCAATAATCCTGAGCGCCACCCGTAAAGCCACGAGCGAGCGTAGAGCTTGGAGTTCTGCTGCTCGGTCATTCCCCAACTTGTTGTTGTACTCATGCCAAGTACAAACCCTCGCCCAGGAATGCTACAAACCAAGCCCGGCATGTGCGCCCTTTCGCCTCCATTGGCATTCAGGCAGATCGATTGTTTGGCAACGCGTTGTTTTGGTCACCAATAAAGATCTATCTTCTGCCTCAAGCCTTCTCACGGGCTTTCTTTTTCTACCTTGCTCTCGCCTTCTCACTCGACCACAGATACTTCGCGCCAGTCCTGGGTCCGACAAGTCAACGAGGTACGTATTGTTGTTTCGATACTAACCACAGCGAAGGAGGCATAGTCTGTGTCTTTCGATATCTAGCAGGTCCACAAGAGTCGGTCAGGTTTCTTTGATATCGCTCTGCATCCCAAGAGTCTCTTTGTAGCAAGAAACTTGCAGTCCAAGGCACTCCACGTGAAGACCATCTTTCTCATACCAGTCCATCACGACTCGATATCAAGATGCGCGCGTCAAGCTCTCTTGTTGCGGCCTTTGCATGCCTGGCTCAGATCGGGATTGCCGAAGCAGCTTTGTCTTTCACCCAATGGCCCTCGGTCATTCATGCCGGTCAGCCTACCACTCTGAAGTGGCAGACGGACTCGGATGCTGTATGCTGCTACCACTCCTCCTTGATGCTGCGTTCCATTCGCTAATGCCCAATCTAGCCCGTGACCGTCACACTGCGGAAGGGCAATTCTCAGAACCTGGACACCGTCCAGACCCTGGCAAGCAACGCCCAAGGAGGCTCCTTCACCTGGACTCCGGACTCCACGATAGAGAACGGCGATGACTATGCCTTCCAGATCCAGCAGAACGGCTATGTGAACTACTCGGGGCTTTTACAGGTCACCGATGGCGTTCCAGCAAGCCCAGCGACCAAGGTCGCGTCCACCCCAGTCCTCAGACCCAGCCCAACGGCGCTGGTAGCCTCGGTGATCCCCCCAGCGCCCAGCCCTGCCAGTCCAACTGCAGCTGCATACCCTACCGACACAGCCCCTCACGATGAGATGCAGACAGTCCAGAAGGGCAATGACGGCCAGACTTTCACCGTCAATGCTGCCAATGACCCCAGTGCGAACGCAGCCGGGGCCGCCAACAGCAAGACTGCTATGGCTGCCTATATGCAGAGTGGTGCTGCCTCTGTTCGCGCCACGGGCATGGGCTTCATGTTGGGTGCTCTTGCCATGGTGGCTTACCTCGTCTAGTAGACTTGGACGAACTTCCCGGTGATGCTTGGCAAACATTGAACTTGGTCTTACTTGGTTGTCAGAACTTGGTTCGTGTGTGTCTAGATTTATTGTTCTTAGTCAGATCAACTCGCATGAGACCGAGCGGTGCTGGGCTTGCTCTGGGCGACAGGCGTTGGTTTGAGGTTTTTTTTTATTTTGGCTTCTCTTTCTCTTCTGTTGTGTATATATATATCTTCTCTGCAGACACCACAGGGTCGGGCCGAGAGCGAGCCACAATCCTTTTCTCGGGACTGGGCTTGCAGATCAGTCCAGACGCCCTTACAGTGCTCGAGTTTTGTGTGATCAGATTGAGTAATCCACAGTGCTGCTGCTGCTGCTGCTATTAATAAACAATCTGACCGGACCGAACTGTACTGTACTTGTTTGTAGATGGCAGTTCCGAACGGTAGTTCAGCGGACCGAAAGGAAGATAAAGGATTGGGTGTTTGACCAGTTGGGTTTGTTAGTGGCGGCAAGAGAGCAAGAGAGTTCAAGCTTGACAGCAGATCGATCATATTATTCAGGTTTGTTACCAGTCATTCATTATCTATCATTCCCTGCTGGCTACTGTTCTTTTCTTTGAATAAGACTGACTACACTCTCACTCACTGTTTTTTTCCTTCCTCTTCCTCTTCTTCCTCTTCTTCATCTTTTCTTTCCTGTCTTCCTTTCTTTCATCTTGGATATTTTGAACCACCAGTTTTCACCAACCTTGGGATCATTTCTTCTTCAGTGTCTATTCTTACTGGATCTGCTAGGATCTACAGATTAATCAGCCCAGTTTGTGCTGGCGCCACCCCACGTTGTGCTTAGACAGTGACGGTATGTTTTGGGAATACAGACCATGTTCCTCATCGATCGATTTTTCTGCTGCATTTCTTCATCTTCCTCCAGCAACCACTCGTCCACCACCCGCAATTCCCCCCTCGGAGATTATTTGTGATGTCTCGGCGATGAATAAGCATCAGACTGACCATCATTTCACTGTTCCTGCTGCAGATCTCCTGCAATCAAGCCTTGATCCACTTCGTGGTATGTGCTTTTCTGCTCTCCCCCTTCTTTCGACTTGTGTCGCCATTCAATCGTCGTCCGCACCATTCGTCCATCCCCTTTCCCTGCCATTTCCGCCCCTTCCAACCATCTCTTTGTTGATTTCCCCGTGTGGGTGTGCGCTGTCAGCTGCGTTTGGTTGTGTTTACAGGCCAGGTTCGGGGCCGGACTGGGTGTCAAACTCCAATTTGCCTTCCGTCCCTTCTTCCCCTTACTGCGGCCCAACAAAACAAAACGCCTGCTCTCCGGCCTGGGTTGACTCCCCTCTCCCTCCTCTGGGGCAGGTTCCTGCTTTGGATTCCTGCTCCGCTCTTCTCTCCTGTACCTTTGCCAATTGCGGCGCTTTCACCTTCATCCCCAAAACCCAAACAGATTGAAAACATTCCACCCATTTCCCGTTATGGTTGGCATGGCCCGATTCGGTCGGGGCAAGAAGTCACCCAAGCCAGGAACCAACCATGCTGACCCGGACATGCTTTCGCTGCCTACGTCAGATCCCCGTCGAGCGCCTCGTGTCAGCCTTCCCCATGTGGAAACGCAGTTGAATATGCATCAATACAATGGACTCTTCAATGAAATCTCCACCCCCGAGCAGCTGAATGGTGCTCCGCCCGCCCCTTCCTCGCCAGGTACGTTTGCCTCCGTGTTGATTTGCGACCCAGCGTCGGCTGGATAGACCCTCCGACGGCGCATCGTTTCCCATGATTTGCTCATGCGTATTGCGAAACAGAACCCGTGAGATCCACGTCCCCCAGCGGCACCAACGGCGTCGCGAACCACGAGACCAACCAAGATCCTCCGGCAACTGAATGGTCGTCGGCTGTCGGTCATGCGGCCACGGGCAAGTCCGGGCGCGTTATCCATAACCTCCAAGAAGAAGTCGCGCGGTTGACCCGGGAGTGTAGTCTCTATCGCTCCCGCGCCGAAGAGACGCAGCGCATGAACGACGCCTTTAAGGTTCAGGTCCAGAACATGACCGAACGTCTCCGGAATCTCGAGCAAGCGAACGAGACGAACCTCCATTCGATCGTGCGGAAAGACAAGAAGATCGACGAGCTACGTGCGGAGGTGCAGACCGAGAAGGACCGGAGGGTTCGGGCGGAGGGCGAGACCAAGAAAGTCAATCAACTGATGGGGGTCGCCCGGGACGATTTCCACCGCAAATGCGCCGAGTTACAAGAGATCTCCAACCACTCGCGAACCCAGTACGATATTCTGGCCAACTCGGCACACCGGGAACGCGCGGAACAGCAGAGACGGCTCAAGTCGATCAGGGATGATATCACGACCATGAAGAAGCATTTCGACGCCAAGAACACCAAGCTGGAGCGCTTGGATGCGATCATGGCCGAGAAGGACCGGGAGATTGAGCTCAACCGAGACCGATTCGACCTGCTATACGCCAACTTCCAGGCTTACAAGCGGGCGCAAGACGAAGATCTCCGAACGCTGATTGAGTCGGGCCGGCAAGGCGATGCCAAGATCGACGCCGCCCTGACTTCGCTGAAAGAGACCGAAGGAACGATGAAGTGGATCATTCAACTCAAGCAGCAAGTCAAAGACGCCCAATGAATATCCTCAAGTCTATGACGGTCTTAGCAATAGTTACTGCCAGGGGCCCCTTTGATTGCCAGGCTCAAGTCAACGGCGGGCACGTTGACCACCTTGATTGTGGAAAATCCGAGCCTGCAATCCAGCAGCATCCCAATGGATAACCCTTTCATTCACTACATCGACATGGCAGTCGTGATTGGGGACCATGAAACATCATGCATCTTCTGCATTCCATTCTTGTACTCTTTATTCTTCCCATTTCATCTCCAACCTTCGTTTCATCTGTTTCCTACCCACCGTTACTTTATTCATATTTGCTCCCTGGCATATCTCTGGGAGATATAAGGAGTTTGGGAGTGCTTGATACCCTGGGAAACATAGACCGTCATGCCCCTACTTGTCACTATCTTGTTCAAAGTACAGTGCTGTCCAGTTACAATATACTTCAGTATACTTTGATAGATACCCGTCTAGTCATATGAAACATTACGCTAATATGTGCCAACTTGCACTTTTGAGAATGACAAATCGTTTGGTTACTCGACGGCAAGGAAAGAAAGGAGTAACCGTTGGCTGCATTTATCCGCTTTCTGTTTGATTGAAGTATCTTCGTGCAGCGTCTTTGTACACCGTCTTTACGTACTGTCTACGCACACTGCCATCACGCACCGACATCGTGCAGTGTCATCGTATGTGCTTGGCCGGTTGTCACCTGGAGTTCACTGTTACCTGGGGTATAATATGTTGTCCCTCAGGCCAACACTGTTTGTTGCTACTACCCTTCCCTTCCTCCCTCCTTCCTCTCTCTTCCCACTTGCCTCTTCCATCTTTCCTTTTCCCATCTTCCTCATCCCATGCTCTTCTTACTATCACATTGATTCCATTACGCGATATCCTTCCTCTCATGTTCTTCATACAATCATATCCCTTCCAATACGCGATACCCTCTCTTTGATTTTGGCTGCTACAACCTTCATAAGTTGATTTTGTAAGCCATCATTCAGGCCAAGAGCTGCCTTGGGGACGCGTCTGGCGTCGCCCCTCGCCCGCCGCCCTCCCTTCTCGCCTTCGTTGGAGTCCATTTGCCGAAATGGAACAGCGCCTGGTGCTCGCCTCTACATGGGGCTTTGAGCCCATTGGTGTAAGTAATTGCTGCATTCACAAGGAAAGATTGTGCCAATCTGACCATCTGATTCAGATTCAGGAAGTTAGTGAAGAGATCAAGTATGACGTGCCGTCAATCAGTTTTCTGGCTCAGCTTTATTGACTTAGCTCGGCCAGGGCTGCGACTTCGCAACATGACTGCAATATTGAATATGTTAAGCTTTACAATGCAGGCTTCACTTGTCGCATCCCTTTGTCTAAACTTCGCTGACTTATTCACCCTTCAAGGTCATCTCAGTCGAAGGTCTTGGGGAACAACACGCAAAACAGGTCGCTGACATTGTTTCCAACACCATTTCTGGGAACGAATACAAAGATCTACTTGATGTTAGAGCCTGACCCTTTCTGTCTCCTGTCATCTTGGCCGTTTGACCGACTCATTTACTAATCCCGTGACTTCGATGCAGGAACCGCGCATTTACCAATTAGATATGACATCTAGTCTCCAGAGCCTCGGCAATGAGGATGGAATGAACACATCTTTGGAGGATGGCTGCGAACTGATCCCTACCTCATCTATTCATATCACCAAACTCTGGCTCTCAGCGAATGGCGGGGTGGGATGCTTCTCCTTCGAATCCAGGAAACTACTGGCTAGCATTGCCGACCTCACTTCAACCGAGATCGCTATGCTCGACGATATCAAGGGAATCCAAGTCACGGGTACCAGTGAAGTGGATGTAGATGACGCCCTGGCTAAGCTTACTCGAGTTGAGAAGCCACTGGTAAGCCTATTTCTTGACAATTTGAAGCAGCACTAGCTCACTAATGTGCTAGGCATGTGTTCAGCGTCCTATCACGACCAACATCCTTGAGTCGCCGGAGGACGATGCGTTGCGCTATCGTCTCGTGAAGTGCAACACCTTGAACCCGATTGCGGAGCGTCGAGTTCTAGCAGATCCGACTCTAGACCCACGCCTCGATCCTGGTGACATGTATGTTTCAGTACAATATTCGATTGACGGAGAAACTCACGCGTTGAAACTACCTCCCAATCTGGCGAACCCACCTCGTCTTGTTTACGACCCTGGAAAATCTCGCATCTGGAATGACTTCACCTTCCAGCCGCTTGGAAGTGATGAGGGCTATGACACGGTGTATGAATTGGCTGAAAGCGCTATACCGAGAACCAATGCGATGACCATAGCCGTCCCACCCTCGCTGCACCCTTACCTGACTGTTGAGAAGGCGAAGCAGGTGAACCAGTGGGTCGTAGAAGGGGCGCGAGTGGAGAAGGATATCCCTGAGCAGGAATCCGTGGCTCCTGGTATCAACCAGACTCTTAGTACTCAGGGTCCAGCCGCGACTCTCCAGGCTCCTGTTCCCAAGATTCCAGCCCGTGCACCACGCGACGGCTCCGAAGCAACCGGGCCTCAGAGACCTGCCGGTGTGAAAGTGCGCAGGGTCGCTCCAGCCAGTATCAAGCAGAAAGTACAGGCTGCTCCCTCGCTCCCTGAAACAAAATCAGCTTCTACAACAACTCTTCCACCGGCTGAACCCAGATCACCAAAACCCACATCTTCAGATCCGGAGGGAAACGATCTTTCACCCCGTAGACGCTGGGTTATGCAGTATGATGTCAAAAATGGGGACCAAGACTTGCAGAGCGTCAAGATGGAGGCTAAGGCACCTAACTCTCAGTCTCAAGCTCGGGCCCAAGCGCGGTCCTCAGAGGATAATCGGAGTATGTCGTCAAAGTTCGATTCGACCAAGTACGGTCTTGCGAGATCATCGCCACAACGGTCCTTCGGTAGACGAGGTAATCCCAGTATTCGTCCAGCCGCACTACGGAAGGTCGCCCGTCAGAATCAATTGATCGATATCGACGTGCCAGTCAGCACAACTACCAGCACCCAAGTTGTTTCTTTCGATCAGCCCGCACTGCTTCCCGTAGCGTCGTCACCATGCGGCAGCAGCCCCGATACCACAATCGTGCTGGACAAAAACACGTCTGACCTTGTCGGGCTGACTATTGGGGTTGGCAACCTCTTGGATTCTAGCGATTCGGATTCTGGTCTGGAAGCCTCCTGGCGCAGCAGCAACCTGATGAGTCAAGATGAAAGGCTCAACGCTTTGCGTCAGAGCTACAATGCAGCGGCAGTTGAAGTACTGCCTACGTCAGACGAAATTCCCAATGCCGCCGCCTCACGCAGTCAAGCGAATGAGGCATGGGTGAGGTCTATGGTTACTGATTTGGAGAGAGCACAGCGCTCGGAAAAGGAGTCTTCAAGCGAGGTCGGTTCCAGAGAGTTTCACAACACCCGGCACAGGGCCTTTATAAGTGCTACCACTGCTAAAAGCAAGGCCGAGGCCAAGGCAAGAAGACAAGCGACACTAGAAGATTCCTGGGGCATCGGCAAGCCGAAGAAAAAGCCTGTTAGTTCGCCTGAAGGTCAGGAACCAGCTGCAAGCTTCACTGTGCAGGCCACGGTTGTGCCGAAGCCAGCTCCAGTGAAAGATGAGAGTCTTCAACAGCAGGTGAAAAGTCTCTATGATGCTATCATTTCCATCCTCGACTCGGCGGCGTGCTTTCCCGGGGCGATTAACATCGAGATGCAATTCGGTCTGATTCTAGTACCCCTTCTTCCGAAGTCCTACAGAGAAAAAACCATGACTGCAGATGCTTGGACAAAATTGTTTCGTCCACAGTCCGGCCTTTCGGCTCCAACCACCAAGTTCATAAAGCGACTCACGACCTCTGGTGCCGACATTGACCATATTGTGGATATCCGCACTTCGAAGGCCGATGGAAAACTTCGTCTGTTTGAGCAGGATTACACGGATTACGGCGTGTCCTATGAATTCCACCTCCGCACCCGGTCCAATCAAGTGTACATGGTGGTCATCGACGAAAACGGGGGGTACAGCGTTCGGAAGCCGGGGAAGAAACTGGGAGGGGTCAACTTTCACTTTCCAGCCTCTACATGGGATGCCAATATGTCGGTCAACCAAGTGAGAGGATTTGTTGGCGATAGCAATCCGGACATTGAACAGATCGCCCAGCACCTCGCTAAGAGCATATGGGTCGAACCGGATCGCAACCTCATTTGCATCTACACACGCCTGCCCACTGAGATGGAGAATAAGGTGACACTGGAGAAGGTGTACATGAAGCGCTGGACTCGTCACCGCCATCTGCAACACGACGAGGCTGCTGCCCGTATCACTCGGGAGCCGGCTTCAGCTACTGTGGCTGCCAGTCCTGACAAAACCCTCGATGAGGACGACATCAATCCCACTTCCAATATTTTCCTGCAAATCACTGAAGTGCAAGACCTACTCTTCGGGAAACACTATACTGAGCCAGAAGTCAAGCGAGCTCGCGCCACAGCACCAGCGGAGATGGTGAGCAACGGCCGACTGTGGTATGAGGTCTCCCTGGTCAGTCCTGCAATCGACTCTCTTCTTAATTCTAACGCCGACCTCGAAGTCGGCGAGCCCACGACTGACTGGCGCGGAATTGACCTGTTCGGTCGCGACGCTGCTGCTTTGATCGGTGACGCAACTGCGAACGAGGGTAAGACCGAAGACGAGACTCCCAGTGCCGTCGCCAAAGCCATCGGCCACGCCGGTCTCGGAGATATGCTCCGTCTAGCGAGGACGGTGATCCAGCGCATCGACGCGGTAGGGTATTGGAATGCTCGACCCGGGATGGACGTCCCGCTTGAGCCTCTCACTACCACCACCGCCTCGTTCTGCAGCAGTGCGCGGGCGCGTGGCGTGGTCGGCATGTCACATGGGGGTGATGGCGATGATGACTCGCAGAGCAGTGAGGAGACTCTAGGTGTCCGGGTGGATTCCAAGGGGGTCGTCCGGTACCCGGCCCAGGTAGATATCTTTTCGCCGCAGGAGTATTGGTAGTCCGCTTTGAGCTTTCTTTTTGAAATGCGGTAGGGGTTGTTTCTTCGGAGGGTGGCTCCGTACATGGCAGGGGCAGTAGACTGATTTGACGGCGAGGGCATCTCGATTACACAGCTGCATGTACTGTTGGTTCCCCTGCTGTGCCATCCGATACCGCGCATGCTGGCTTTTCTGCTTTGCTTCAAGTGACGGCGTTGGGTCTTTGACAGGGTCGGTGGCTAAGAAGAGGAAGTTTTCTCCCATCAGTAAGAAGGCTGAGAACTCGAATGGTTTGATTCGGCACGTTGAGAGCAGGATCTTAGGGGTTGTAATGGCAGAGGAGATGGGGAGTTGAAGAAGCCAGACTGTAATTAGAAGATCTATCGATGCTGGGTTTGAGGTTGTGGTTCAATACTGTTCCTGCACTAGGTGTTGATTGGCTTGGGTAGATGGTATGAGGGTGAGGGTGAGGACGGTTTGATGATATCTCATAGTTTGCAATTCCATTTGGCTTGTCTTAATCCTTCTCATGAGCAACTGGGCGCGTAAAGTTTCAGCATATTACTATCTTAGGATTTCCAAAATAGGTAATCGGGCTAGAGACAATACCCTGCTCTAGACTATTGCACCGTCCAAGGGAGCCTATCTCATCTATGGCTACACTTACTATAGACCTGATTTCACGAGGACTCAGCCATGCGCATCTAAATCCCTGGTGTAAGTGTATTATCCATCACGAGTCCTATAGACAGGTCCCAAATTCTAAGCACTTTTATAAAAACACTCCCATATATCTGCATCTGTATCGGTACCCGCATCTGCATCTGTATCCGTCCCACGCACAGTACCGTACTGTATACCGTCCCCATCCCACCACCACAAACCACACCACAGGTCAGGTCAGATAGACGATCCCCCGACTCTATAATCCAGAACCGCACATCCTACAAATCACCAAACATAGATTTTAGCACAACTGCCCCCAATCAACCCTCTTGTGACTAAGAGAGAGAGAGAGAGTGGATCAATCCTCCTCCTCAGGCGCATCATCGACGCCGCGCAACCACGCGGCGCGCGCATCGACCGCGGCCTTCCGCACGTCTCGGCGCGGATCGTCCAGCACCGCCCGCAGCGCGCGGACCACCTGGCTCTTGACGGCCAGGAGCGGCGAGAGGCGGCCGGCGCGGGCCAGCGCGGGCGCGTCCGTGGGCGCCTGCGCGAGCAGATACAGGCAGGTCAGGGCGTCGACGCGCAGCTTTGGGTGGTGGTTGGCCCGGGTGCATGCCGCTGTGGCCAGGAGGCGGGTGACGAGGCTCTGGACGTGGCCGCATTTGTCGATGACGGGGACGCCGTTGTCGCGGATTATGACGGCCAGGGTGGCGAGGGTGGCGAGGCGGACGGGTGTTGAGTTTGCAGTTTGAAGGTCGAGGGACTGGAGGAGGAGCGGGAGGAGGGTGGGGAGTTCGGGGAGGACGAGGTCTGGGGTTATGGTGGAGAGGATGCCGCTTAGCGCGGTGAGGTGGGCGGGTTTGATGTGTTGGGTTTCTTGCGGGGTGCTGGAGGTGGAAGAGATGTTGACTTCGCGGATGCGCGAGGAGATGAGTGGGGTTAGGGTGGTGAAGACGCGTTGTTTGCTTAGGAGGCGGATGTTGGCGCCGTTGGTCGTGGAGAGGAGCTCGTCGTCCCGTAGGAGGATGGAGAAGCTGCGCGCGGCGGTGAGGCTAGTTTCTTCGTCGGGGGATGAGACGAGGGTGAGGAGGGAGGTGAGGAGTTGGGTGGTCGTTGGGGCGAGCCGGAGGATGAGGCCCTTGGAGAGCCAGAAGAGGGCGTGGATTGTGCCGGGGGCTACTTTGCTGGTTTCGCGGCCGGGGGGCAGGAGGGTGTAGAACAGGTCCGACGCGAGCGGGAGGTCGGACTTGGGGAGGAACTTGTTGGCCAGGAGGGCTAGGTGCCGCAGGAAGGCGTACTGGGTCGCCAGCTCCGTCTCGCCAGTAGCCCGGGTGGCAATGTCCGTGAGGAGGGCGGACATGTTGGGGTTGGTGGTGTAGGGCAGGTTCTGCACGTCGGCTGGGAGCCCCGCGAGGATGAAGGTCGACAGGATCATCGTACGCTTCTGGTCGGCGCTGGGCGACGGCACGAAGGGCACCGGTTGGAACTCCTCGGCCGATGTAAAGAGAGTATAGACGTTCTGCGCGATCTCGTCCTGCTTGTTGCTGGGCAGAGCTCGGACAAGCAGGTTGCAGACGCGTCCGAGGATGTCAAGGACGGTGGCGTCGCGGAGGATGTTGTTTGACGTCGTGGTTGAGGTAGCAGTCACCGCAGCGCTGCGGCACAGGCTGACCACGATTTTGTCATAGTAGAACTCCAGGTTCGGGTCTTCCTCCATCTTTCTCTGGTTCATAACGTAGAGAATAGTGAGGAGGATGGCGCGTGGGTACTCCACGGAGCCCGATTGCTCCTGTTGCAGCAGAATGTTCAGCTTGCTGAGCAATCTTCGAATCAGGGTCTCAAAAATGTCCTTCTCAACACTGATCTTTGCAAGCACGTCGAGGGTGTTCATGTAGCCGCTGTCCGCTTCGACCGAGTCGGGGAGCGTGGCCACAAACGCAGGGAACGTGATGTCCAGGATTAAACGAGGCTTGTGCTTGGAGATTTCCGTCAGAGCAATGATCGCCTCCTTCTTGAGGTCGTCACGGCCAACAGACTCCTCTTTCAGAAGGATCTCGTCGAGATATTGCACAAACAAGCCAACCTCGTTGTCTTGGAAGAAGTCGCGCAGAACCGACAAGCGCAGGAATCCCTTCAACGCAGAGACGCGGAACGAAACCTCTTCCTTGATAGCACCCATCAATGCCTGGCCGAAGATCTCGGAGAACTGATCCTTGAACTCCAACAAGGGGTTCTCGAAAGCAACTTCTGCGTCGCGCGAGGTCCATTCACCGAACACCTTGATAGAGGAGTCAAAGAGAACACTGAGTGTATCCAGGAGAGCTCGTTGCTTGGCGATGCCGTCAGCCTCTTGGTAAATAGTCAAGAGCGGTGCCACGACTGCCTGGACGATTAGCGTGAACGCGGGAGCGGAAGCAGAGGAGATAGCGCTGAGGATCTGTTGAGCAGGCTTTGCCTGCTTCTGTTGGGGCTCCCGCAGTTGCTCGTTGCATTCTTTGGTGATGGGGCGCATATATTGTGCAAGAGGCAGCTGATCAGAGATCTGCGAGACACCCTCCGACAAACGCTTGGCAATGCCCTTCAGTACCTGGAGGGACAGTTCGGAAAGAAACTCTTCCTGGGCGTTGAGGATCTCGAACTTCAGGGTCTCCCATATCGTGATGGAATAGCGGGACACCGTGTTAGGGTCATACGACTCAATACAGGCGATCAGAGCATTGAGAGCGTCCCTCTTTTGAGCAAAGTCAGCCTGAACACAATTCTCACCCGGAACATAGCCAGCATACCTTGACATTTGGGGAGGTTGAGTCCAGCTTATCCAGCAAAGAAGGGATAGAGTGCGGAGCAAAGAGACTGTTTGAGGAAATGCAGTCCTGCAGGCGGTCCTTCAAATCTTGAGCCGTGATGCCATACGGGTCGTTCGGTGGGGGTCTGAAGGTGATCGGGAAGTAATTGTAGGCCGAGTCAAACAGCAGCTTCAGAGGTCAGCTTTGGCAGTCGTCCAAGCAGATTCTATGCAGCACGTACCTCCGCATGGTTGGAGATGTCCCATTCCACCATAACCACTTTGAGTATGGAAAATACCATCATCAGATTGCGGGGATCCTTCTCGCCGGTGACAAGATCCACAATTCCAACCAGAGACTCGTCCCCCATATCATGAAGTGCTATACCAGTCAGTATGCTCCTGCCCGTAGCCCCGAGACATAGGATAGTCCACAAACGCACCGCCACGATAATTCAGCATCAATTCGTTCAGCAACTGATACACCTGAAATCTTTGAGACTGGGAACGAGACTGCAATTCCTGAAATTGCTCAAAGATCCTGTGCGCAAGTCAGCCCCCTCTGCCCATGCAATGCACATTGCTCGACTGGGGAAGACCAAGCACTCACGCCCGAGCAACCTCTTCAGCCAGAGGCTTATTGAACCGGTCCAGCTTCTGCAACGTCTCCAGCCCCGCAACCGCCCCTCCATCCTGAATCCGATCACAGAAGAAAGTCGTCAGAACCTGAATCTGCTGCCTCGAGAGGAACTTGGCGGGCAGCTCCTTGATGATCGCAGTGAGGTAAGAGACCGCTTTGCCGCGAAGAATTGGATCGTCATCGTTGATGTATTCCCCTAGCGACTGCACGACTTCAATGAGTGTCGTCTTCTTATCCTCCACATCTTTCCATGCGTGCAAGTTAGAAGAGTCCCATAACCCGACCGGCCTTTCGGAGAGAAAAACTTACCTTGAGCAACTCGTTCAGCAATCTGCTTGGCTTCCTGCTTATCGTGGTCCACGACCAGCAGGAAAGTCTGCAATGCCGACATGCTGGTTGCGTGGTGTTCTTTATGTTTTGTTGTATTTGCGCAAGATGATCGAGAGAGATCAGCGTTATAGTGACCACTGCATGGGACTTTCAAATTCCCACTCCCCGCTCTTGCTAATCTCCGCGACCGGAAACATGACGCTGTCAGGCTAAGACCCTTATCGATAGATATCACGTGTGGGTTTGGTCTTCCGCCGGTTCGGCCCCGTTGCGTCATGGGCCCGCGCGCGCGCTGACCACCCACCCCCAAACTATAGACAGTAAACTATATATCCCACAACCACGTCCACCACCACCAACAACTCTTTGTCCATGTCAAGATGCAAAGACTTCATCTGAGGATAACCCTAATACTACTAGTACTCCTACTCACAGTAACACTCATCCCCACAGCCTCCGCAGCGTCCTGGGACCTACAGTTCCGCAAACGCCTTCCCCGCCCTCTCGGCGAGAGACCTCATCTCGATACCCTCAACCTAAAGCAGTGGCTCGTCAACCAACTACCCCTACAAGCAGGCGCAGCAGCACCAGCCATGGGCAGTAGCAGTAACCCCTCAACCAACGCCGTGCTCCCGCCCGAGGAGGGCGACAACACTCCCAAGCACGAAGGAAACACGGATGGGAACGGAATCATCCTCTCCGACGTCCTGCCCAAGACCCGCGGCGTAAACGTCTTCGCCTCGCTGACGCGGCAGTTCGAGTCCGTCGAGGCGCGGCTCGACGACGCAGCCCACAACGTCACCGTGCTGGCGCCGCGCAACAGCGCCATCCAGGAGCTGCCGCGCAAGCCGTGGGAGAACCCGGATGACATTGCGCGGTTCGGCGAGCAGCGTGCGTACGAGGGGCAGGAGGGCCAGGATCGCGCCACCAGGAATCTAGAGCGGTTTGTCAAGGCGCATGTTGTGGCGACGAGTCCCTGGAAGGAAGGGGAGGAGGCCGAGACGTTGGCGGGCGATAAGTTGACGTGGGCCAGGGTTGGGGATAAGATTCGGGTAGGTTTTTTTTCCCACCTGTCTCCCTTGTTGGGGGTTGGGCTAATTTCGGTGTGGGATAGATTCAACCGGGTGATGTGGAGGTTGATAGTATTGATGAGAAGGTTGCGAATGGTGAGGTGTGGGTGCTTGATGGGGTGATTAATTATCGCTAGGTATAGTGTATAGCGGTGGGATATGGTGTAGATATATATTGCGGGATGAGCGACTTCAGCAATGACGACCCTTCAAAGTAGTTATGATGAACAGCCACCATTTTCATGTATTGACATTTAGATTTTGGTAGTGATATAACATTTCTGAAAGAACAAGTAGCTATCTTGACCTGCGTCATCACACTACATACGAGCTTTACATTGAAAGCTTTACCACACCCAAAGCAAGTCTACACACCCCGACAACGACCACATTAATACGCTCCGCTGGAGCCATAGTTCTGCAAGATGCGCTCCTCAATTCCATCCAGGATGCAGAAGTGCTCCATAACCGCAAGGTTCTCCGCCTCATTCTGATACATCTTATCGGGGTCCTGACCCGGCTGGAAAGGGTTCATGCCGGCCGCAGGGTTCATACCAGCCATCTGTTGGGCCATCTGGCTGGCAGCTGTTCACATACCTTCAATTAGCACAAATGATTCCCCTAACACAGACACGAAACCGTGTCGCATGCGGAACTTGACTCACCATTATCGCTTCCCAAAATAAACCCAAACACAGACTGCAGCCCAAACAGATTCAAAAAGTACCAAGAAAGACTCGACACCCATCTCACATCCAGATCCCGAGTCATCACACCGGACTGCAGCATCGACTTAAACCGAATCGTAAGAGGGAAGGGCAATTTCACTTTGCATCGTTCCCCAAAGTTAGCTCTCTCACCCCACCCACACAAAGACATAATGAAAAAAAAAACCTACAAATCACAAACCCCGAAAAGAAAGCATTAATCCAGCTCATGATCAACGTCTGCGGGATCATCATCATCATGTTCCCCTTCATCATGCCCATCATCGCCTCCATGCCCGCGGGATCCGTCATCGGGTTCGCCGGCGGCTGGCCGCGGTTCTCCGGGTCCTTGAGGAAAGCCCCCTCCTGGTAGGCGGAGATGAGGTACTTGCGGCGCATCTCGCACGACTCCGGGCTGAGCACGTAGGCGTTGTTACGGAAGTTGACGCCGCGGATGAGGCCCAGGCGTTCGCGGGATTCGGCCAGCGTCGCGGCGGGTTTCGGCGGGTTGTTCATCAGCACGGTGGCGTAGTGGCGGAGGATACCGGTGAGGATCTTTTTGTCTTAGGTCTTAGCATTTGTGAGAGAGATGGTCAGTGGGATTGATGAAAGCGTACCATGACAATCGTAATGGGGAATACGATCCAATAGCTAGGTCGTGCCGTCCGTCGGGTCAGTTTCGACTTGCACACTAGGTCATTCATTCAGATGGAAATGGGTTGAACAACGTACAAGAGAGCGGGATCCCGAAGGATCGTCTGCTCTACCCCCTGCAATGCCATTTTGGAATGATAGGTGGTTGCAAGATTAAGGAAATCGTCGCTCAATTCAAACCAAGAAGCTGAGAGGACTAAGCTGAGGGAAACGGGGAGCTCCCCCACGAAGTCGGATGGGGTGGACGGGCGGCGGCGGCCTTACTGCCTTGGCGCATGCCGCTTTAGCTTGCGAAAGGGACAGCTCGCCGCAACTCCTCCGACAAAGACCGTCACCTTTTTCAAATTGTCTCAGGAAACGTCAACTACCAGAAGCTTATCCCTCTGGATTAAGAATTGCTAGTGTATCCTTACCTACCAAAAGGGAACTCACCAATGTCGTCCGCAGAGGCACCCAAGGTGCCTGTTTACTCGAGCAATGGTGAGTTCATGCATGCATGTTTACTTCATAGGCCTGCTGCTCGAATACTCTCACTGCAGCAGCAGCTTGCCTTCTGCGATCAAGGCTGCATAGATATTGAAGCCACTTCATACTAACGGTTCTACCATCAGATCTGAAATCCACCACCGACGATGCCCTGGCACCACACCTCACCACCCTCCCGCAACCCTACCGATTTACTCAAGACAACACCATGCTGAACGTGCGCTTGCTGCTGGGCTACTCGGCCGTCGCCATCGCCGGGTTCACCTTCTACGCAGACCGCATGCTGAAATGGGAGGCGACTCGCTCGCCGTGGATCCTGGCGGCGGTCGCATCTTACTTCATTCTCAACTCCCTGCTCACATACTGGATCTGGGCCGTTGAGGCGGGCGAGGTGTTTCGAGGCAAGCGCAAGTCAGGTGAAACGGTATGTCCATTGCCCCGGTGCATGGAACAGGAACCAGCCATACAAAAGTTCATATATGGGGGCTAACGCTTGTTCTTGCTACACTAGATTGTGATCCGTTCCTCCGTCAAGAAGCATTCCCCGCTTTACAAGCTCAAGATTCAGTACACGTCTCCGGCGGGCAAGGTGATCCAGGAGAAGGAGATCGAAACGCCCTTCACGAAGTGGTTTTCGGCCGACGGGACGTTTCACATTCAGCCGCTCCGCGACTGGTTGGCGAGCGAAATTGAGGTTCTGCGGCTCGCGGCGAACGAGACTCAGAAGAAGACGGGCGGTGTTGCGAGTCATGTCGCCATACAGGAGGCGGCTCAGGGCGAAGGGGGCAAGGGTGCGGAGAAGAGGAAGTGAACCCTCGTTTTACCACAAACAAAAACATCAAGGGTGATTATCGGATCTGCATGTCAAAATGGCGCAACGTTTGGGATTGTATCTAGTGTGACGTCAGGCTCTCTTTCCAAATATTATCTTGCGGGGTTCTCTTGAGACAGTAGTTTGAGTGGGACTTAAAGATATAACCACTTTCCATGGAACCCATTCACCGGTATAGTCTTCGTTGTGCCAGGGTCCCCTATCCCAAACTTTTCAATCCACAGATGTTCATAATCAAAACATCGCAACAGTGTCGCATTGACAAGGTGATTTACATGAAGGGTTCATCAAGCTCAAACAGAGTAGAGGAATGTAAGAAAATCTATGGCCAAACTCTGCTATATCGTCTCTCGGTGCAATTTTTTGTGGAATGAAAAAGAGGTATCGCTACTGAGGGCGTTTTACGAGGCAGCTTCCAGAGTGCCCGGGCGCTCAGTGGCCTCGGCGGGTTTCACATCATCCAATCTCTTGTTCTGGATGAGTCTCTGTGTGTAACGGTCAGCTGCTCGACTCTCTATCAAGATGATGCGGGAATGTCCTACGTACCAACAGGTTTCTAAGCAAGACAACGATCGTCACTTTTCCAGTGGAAGGCACGAAGATGGAGGCCTTCTCCTTCACCTCGGGTCCGAAGTTCTGTTTCACATCAATGTCAGATATGTTTGCAGTATCAAGACAGACCGCTATCGATCAGTTGCCGAACATACCTTCTCGCTGGAGAAGTTGAGGCACACAGCACCCTCTCTGAGAAGGCTGGTGTCGAACTTGTACTTCTCGCCGGGGACACCGGAGATAACAACGTCACAGAGGGGCACAACGTCCTTCAGGGTCTTTCCTTCGAGCTCCACGACCTCGTGTCTGCCCTTCTTCAGGCCCTCACCACGCGTAAACTTCTGGATGCCGGTGATGTCGATACTGTACACGCAGGCACCATCGTTGGCCAACAACGCGGCGAGCGGGCGTCCCACGACCTCGGAGCGGTTCACCACGCAGATAGTGTGACCGAAGAGGCGGTTGCCGTAGGGCAATATCGTGTTGTAAATGTTCAGGTACTCGAGGATCTTGATGATGGCCAGGGGAGTGCAGGGGAGGATGCACTTCTGACGCTTGGTTTCCGGGTCCAGGAAGCGGATGTTCTGATACATGTTGAAGATGTACCGGTGGGTGAGACCCTCTACATCTTTGGATACGTCGACGATCTGCTGCAGGTACTGGTCCTGGCGGTTGTTGAAGATGGGGTAATATACGATGATGCCGTCAACATCGGAATCGACGTTGGCATTGAGGATGGCTTGCTCGAGATCGTCCCGGGCAACTTCTCGGAGGGAGTAGCGGAAACCACTATACAAATAGAGAAACAAATACTACATTAGCTACGACGTGACTCATATATGACTCCAATGCCACCGCTTGCCGCAGCGGATCCGACATCGCAGCTTGGGGAGTCATTGGGGCGACGCTCCAGAAGAAAGAAACAGAGACGCCCAACTGAAAAGAAATGGGAAAAAGAGTGCTCACTTTTCTATGCAAGTCTTCTCCGTCCATTGGGCATACATCAAAGCCGCAGGGTCGTTGTTTGCAAGGAATCCGACCAGGTGAGGCGGCTTCTCGAGCATCTTCACGCCCTCCTGAACTTCCTCGAGCAGGCGATTGGCGACATGCTTGGAAAGCATGACCTTACAGGAGGCCGGAGCCGAGTGTGTAGCAGAAGCCATTTGGGCGAAGATAGAGAAATTGTGTAAACAATCAAACAAAATCGATGGATAGGTCTTTTGGGGGAATTGAGATGAGCTATGGTTGGAGGGGTATGGAAGAAAATTTGGGACGGAAAGACTGCTCGCTTATCGATAAAAAGGCACTGCATGCCCGCATTCGGCCGCCCATCGGCGCCAGTCAGTCATTGAAGGACCAGGGAGTGCACTAACTATTCTACGAATTGAATTAGCCTGAGCAAGAAGTACGTCTAGTGCAGACATTCGAACTAAATCGGTGGAGAACCTGGTCCCAAGCGCTTACCACATGGATACCGGATTCAGACAATAAGAAACCGGGGCAATACGCGGCAATGCCGTGCCCGGTCCGTATCTGCTCCTTTCGTGCCGAAATCGATCTCACCCTCTACGTACGCCCCCTTGTTTACCCCGGATTGACGAGATTGGAGATTGGAGATTGGAGACTGGAGATGGGGGCTTCGATTACAGTCCCCACCGGAGAGAACTGGCCAGCCGGTCAAAGGAACAAAAGAAATCATATTCAGGCTGCATATATGTAGACAATGGCGGGATCATGGGCAAAGACCAGCTGGACCATTCCGGATCCAAAGTCGATGAATCTGTTCCCACTACCCCCTTTCATTTGTCGCGCGAAAAGATCTAAACGTACAGGATATTAATCGTATCTTTTTGCCTTCCTCGTCCCACCGTTTTACCTTGCGTCATAGCTACAGAATATCAGATGGGTATACCATCAGGAAAGATGCGGTTACATCCAGCGCCGTGTTCGACCGATCCGAAGCTCCCGGTTTTAACAACAAAATAAAACAGTGGTCTCAAATTGTACAAGCTATCTTGTCTATACAGATAGAGTCAGGATAAAAACAGTACACGGTGGACTAATCACCCAGAGGCCATTTGCTCACCTATGCGTTGAAGGACTTGTTGAAGTTGACAATGACCTCCTTGAGCTGAGCCTCAAGGTCCTTGCTGACCTGGCCCTCCTTCTCAATGGTCTCCTGGATCTCGGGGTGGTTGCTCTTGATGTGAGCAAGGAAGTCGGACTCCCAGGTGAGGATCTTGGCGACGGGAATGGAGTCAAGGTAACCGTTGACACCAGCGAAGATCAGGGGAACCATGTCGGGGACGGACATGGGGGAGTACTGCTTCTGCTTGAGAAGCTCGGTGAGACGCTCACCACGGTTGAGGGTCTGCTTGGTGGAGGCATCGAGATCGGAACCGAACTGGGCGAAGGCAGCAACCTCACGGTACTGAGCCAAGAACAGCTTCAGGGAACCGGCGACCTGCTTCATGGCCTTGACCTGGGCAGCGGAACCGACACGGGAGACGGACAGACCGACGTTAATGGCAGGGCGGATACCCTTGTAGAACAGCTCAGCCTCCAAGAAGATCTGACCGTCAGTGATGGAAATGACGTTGGTGGGAATGTAGGCAGACACATCACCACCCTGGGTCTCAATGACGGGGAGGGCAGTAAGGGAACCACCACCGTGCTTGTCGTTCATCTTGGCAGCACGCTCGAGGAGACGAGAGTGGAGGTAGAAAACGTCACCGGGGTAGGCCTCACGTCCAGGAGGACGACGGAGCAGAAGAGACATCTGACGGTAGGCGACGGCCTGCTTGGAGAGATCGTCATAGATGATAACGGCGTGGCGGCCGTTGTCACGGAACCACTCACCCATGGCGCAACCAGTGAAGGGAGCGAGGTACTGGAGGGGAGCAGCCTCGGAGGCGGTGGCAGCGACGATGATGGAGTACTTCATGGCGTCGTTCTCCTCAAGGGTCTTGACGAGCTGAGCGACGGTGGAACGCTTCTGACCGACGGCAACGTAGATACAGTACAGCTTCTTGCTCTCGTCGCTGGAGGTGTTGTTCCAACGCTTCTGGTTGAGGATAGCGTCAAGGGCGACAGCGGTCTTACCGGTCTGACGGTCACCAATGATCAACTCACGCTGACCACGGCCGATGGGGACCATGGAGTCGACACACTTAAGACCAGTCTGGACGGGCTGGTTGACGGAGTGACGGGGCAAGATACCAGGGGCCTTGAGCTGAGCACGGCTCTTGGCCTTGGTGTTGATGGGACCCTTGCCATCGATGGGGTTACCAAGAGCGTCGACGACACGGCCGAGCATCTCAGGACCAACGGGAACATCAACCTAGTTGAGAGCATTAGCATAAAAGACATGACAGTCCGGGTCCAACGGTAACATACAATCTCTCCGGTACGCTTGACAGTCTCACCCTCCCTGACGAGACGGTCGGAACCGAAAAGCACGACACCGACCTGGCCGGCTTCGAGGTTCATGCACATACCCTTAACACCGGAGGCGAACCTAAGGAATTGTTAGTGATCTGATATATCATTTACTCATTGGCAAGGGAGTGCACGTACTCGACCAGCTCCTCAGCCTGGACGTTGGTCATGCCATGGACACGAGCGATACCGTCACTGTTGACATAATCGTGTTAGTTGGATGGTAATTCCCTGATAGAAGTGTCGACGCCCGTAGTTTCGATGGTTTCTCGATGGCTTTTCGATGAATTCGATGATATTGAGGGCGCGTCCGAATTTTTCAGCGGAAGGATTTCGTCACGTACCCGACGGAAAGGACACGTCCAGTCTCGGCGAGACCAGCCTCCTCCTGAACACCACGGATTCTCTGCTCAAGGATGGAAGAGACCTCAGTGGGAGAGGCCTTGGCCTCAGCAGCGTAGGAGCGGATCTGCTTGGAGGCACCAGAGATGGGGCCGGGAACAGCGGCGCGAACCTGAAGACGTAGGCAAAATTTGTCAACACCACAACCACGCAGTCAAAACGCGTCAAAAGCTGATAGTATGCATTGCGATGGGTAGAGAGGCGATTGGAAGCATCATTGAGATGACATCCCCGATGTAGAAGGTCGAATTGAATGGACGATGGCGACTTGGACAGGGATGAGACTCACGGAAGCGATTCTGCCAGTGGCAGAGGCAGCCGCAACGGTGCGGCTAGACTGCCGCAAAGCGTTCCTGAACATTGTGAAAAGGGTTCAGAGGTGTGGGAGAGTGGTTTCTCTGAAGGAGAGATGTAATTGGGGGGAGGGGGGGGAGAGGGAAGAAGAGGAGAAAGGATTGTGGATGGAGGAGAGGAGAGCTTTGTCGTCGGGGTTGGGAGGGATTCTCTCTCAGAACTGGCACTAATCCTAGTTTGCCGAGCCTCACCAACCTCCGAAGCCGCCCTAGTGCGCTCACGGGACAACCCACCCGTCCCCAAGAAAACGAAAACGCCGGGTGATGTATTTATTATTTTTGGTTTGAACAAACCGATCGTCTATCTGATTTTACCTTTACATTATGTTTCTACTTTTCTGAATGATTCTAGTCCCCGTAAGACAACCCTATACATTCGTCTTCATGAAAATAAATGGGTTGAAACATACCTAGCACGCCGTGGCTGGTTGCTTGGTTACTAGGCTCTCCCGGGCCACCTGTCCGTTACCCAATTTTCATTTCCACTGTATTTCAGTTTCTCTCTCTCGGATCTGCGGATACTGCTGGCTGGTTGGCTGGCTTACTCATCTGCATTTTCGTCGCAGCAACCGCCCGCAGCAGCCCGCGCACTACAGCAAGCACAGAGGCCCTGCTAGACTAGCTGCTGCCAGTGCCAGTGCAAGTGCCAGAGCCAGCAAACCAAAACTTGCCTTGCTTGCTTGACCGGTTGTTCCGGTGGGAATTCTTTCCCCGTCTCCGTCTCCATCCACTACTGTGCTGTCCATGCATCTACAACGGAACAACCCTTCCAGGCGGTCAATCGGTTGAGACGTCGTCTTTCACATCCTCTTTACTTTTCTAGGTCGTCTCTTCTCTATCCATTTTCTCTCATGGGTTGCAGTTCTTTTCTTTGTGCCTCCGGATTGCTGGCATTGCTCAATGGCTCTTGGGTGCCAACCCGAACCTTGCCGCAGCAAACCCTGTCACCCCCTCCTATCCTTTTCCGATTTCAGAAACTTACATCATGCTCCACTTTAACCTGAGGTCTAAGATTCCTACTCAGTACAGGGCGGTAGCTTGAACCTACCAGTTCAGACAACATTCATTTTATTTACTTGAGAATCTGCAACTCACTGATGGTACCAACTATCAGACAAATTGTTGTCATCAAAAAACCACTTTACTGCACTCGGACCTTCCATCCTCACCTTGTAGACAAGCTGCCAAATCGAAAAGAACGCTATTGTCGCTTTAGAAAATAGCCAGACTCCCTTGATTACCACCGAAGACTGGAAACCACCTATGGCACTCAAACTGGATTTGCGATCCGATCACTTGCTTGCCTTGTTCTTCTGAGCCTTGAATGCCGCGACCTCCTTGTTCACACTCTCATGGTACCTCTTCTTCAGCTCGGGGCGATATCCGAAGAAGAACAGAATCTCCATCCAGATGAAAAGGGGAGCGAGCAGTAGAGCCTGCACCAGATTGTCCAACAGTGCAGGGGCCCGTTTCTCGAAGACACCATGGCCGACAAATTGCGCCAGCCACGAAACCACGTGAATTCCACCAAACCAGTAGTTGGCGCTCGTGCCGTAGGCACTGAGAAGGTGATTCGCACCAGCCGCACTGCCGATGATGAGCGGCGTCGCTAGGGCACCGGCTACGGGCTCCAGGAGGATGTAAAACATCGAGTATACTATAGCTGCGATCGTCCCAAGGTTGAGAGGCAGATTCTCAACCTGCAAGCCGTCAGGCGTGGGGATGAGGGTGGGTGTGTTAGATGCCTAGTGAGTAGCACGGTGTCAGGGAATATGCTGCTGGGTTGTCCGGTGTCGAGTGTCATACCAGGGCAATGCCCGTGAAGAGAAGTATAGGCACACATGTCATGTGAATCGCAACATTCACCTGAAAAAAAAGTCAGGAATCGAGCCTTGAGAAGATTTATAGAAAAGCTTTGCACGTACCGGATTATTGTGGTAGGCGCCATACTGGAAGATGCGTTGGTTAGCGATTGAGTCTCTTGATCAGAGGGGCGCGGCGGGGTGCCGCAGAATAGGCCTCACAAAGAGTAGCTGCTTCTCAAGATTTAAAGCCATGGTGACACTGAAGATGGAGGGGTCTTGTCGGGCAAGGCAAAGAGCAGTGAAATGGAGAAAGCCGATATCCAGACCGAGATGACTACTTTTCCTCCCCACAACAAACAAGGTGTTGCCTGATCAGGTGGAAGGATAAGACATTTTATGCCAAAGCGTTCGTTGCTTGTGCCAACGTCATTCGTTGTACAGAGACTCAAGAAGGGCCGAGGATATTGTCAATTCTTACACCCGTTCGTCTCATGATTGTACCTCCGAGGTGCTGAATTTCCCTCACTAGGAAGCAGATTACCCACCAATCCAGCATGCTGGGCGTAATGTTTGGTATCTGTACGGTAGCAAACGTTACCCTCCGCCTTGTCATGTGACTTGGTCGAGCTCCCGCGGATCAGACACGGTGATTGTCGCTCGATTGACAGCGGAGTCAAATCACCTGGTTGCTCTCGAAGTTCCGTGAGCTGCCTTCAGTTCTCTTTCAGACTGGGGCCACTTTTTGCTCGATTGCACCTCTGCATTGTTCTTTGTTCAACACGTCGTCTACCAGATTATACGCGCGCTACGAGTTGTTGATACTAATCATTGAGCTTCAATTGCTATCGCTCTTTGCGCATTTAGCACCACGATCACGATCGCTACACGATTCCTGCATATTGACTCCGTCTTACCCCAAACATCAAAGCGATTAGAGCGCTTTCGTTCGCTCGATTCACTCATCGGTAACCAACGCTACCGTTCACCATTCTTCGTATTAAACGCAACTTCGACCTCCGATAATCGCGCGTGCAATCTTGGAAAGCAAAGGGAATATCAGACATCATGTTCTTCCTCAAGGAAGAAACCAAGGTCATTACCTTGCACCCGTCCTTCTTCGGACCCAACATGCGGGAATATCTCATCACCCGGTTAAATGAGGAGGAAGAAGGTCGGTGTACGGGCGATCACTTTGTGATCTGCGTGATGGACATGGTAGATATCGGCGAAGGACGTGTGATGCCCGGCAGCGGACAAGCGGAGTACACGATTAAATACCGCGCGATTATCTGGAAACCGTTCCGAGGCGAGACTGTACGTTGCGAAGAGTCGCCAGCACGGCTAACCTCAACGCTGACCGTGGAAATTGCAGGTTGATGCGATCGTAACCTCTGTCAAACCTACTGGAATCTTCACTCTGGCGGGACCGTTGTCTGTGTTCATTGCGCGAAAGGTATACCGAACATTAAGCGTGGGGAGGGTCGTCTGAACTTGAACGCTAACGGACTGATGAAAAGAACATTCCCTCTGATATCAAATGGGAACCCAACACGGTACCGCCCCAATATACGGATCATGCAGACCAGGTGATCGAAAAGGGAACGAGCCTGCGGCTCAAGATCCTGGGTGTGAAGCCCGACGTTGCCGCAATCAATGCCATCGGTACAATTAAAGAGGATTTCTTGGGGTGAGTTATGGCCAATCCGCTACGGACGAACGGTTTACTGATGCGCATGGCTTTCCACCAGACCCTTGTAATTTACTTGGAATGAGAAATTCCTCGTCCTTTTTCTTCTATCCGAGGATACCAACGCCACTGCGAAGGAAGCCTGAACTCTTTAGCCTGTTGTACCACCACTCCCATCGCTATATAGAGACGACCGAAGCATCATCTACTCAACTTGATGTTCGGACGGCGCGCTTGCTGAGGCCTCACAGAAGCGCATCGAACCGTCTCTCCAAGCGGGATATCATTCGGGGGGATGGTATCTTGCTTATCCTGGCAAAGAAAGCCCGCGCAGGCGGACAGGGCTGCCTCAACGCAGGAGCATCGGTCTCGCACATGACTATTGTGTGTATGGCAAGGCAACACAAGATAAGACAAGAACAACGAGAACGGATGGTGGATGGCTCGGAGCCGTGATCGGCTACGTAATTTTATAAGAAAAAAGCGTTGTTTTGTACAGTCAAAATCAAATATGGTAAGAGTAACTTGGATAGATTTAAATAGATAAGAATGGCTGTTTGTGTTGTGAGATGACTTCTTAGTTCAGGTGCAGGCACCAGTATGCAGTGTATAAGCACTGTACTACACCTAGTACTCCGTACCATACAAGAAAAGGTGCCCGCATTGCACTTGTGGGGAGTGATCAAATGCATCACCAGTTGCCGGAGAAACGGATTGTGAAACGCTGGTGTGTCCAGTCTCCATCGTCGGAGCCGTGCGCAGGCGATTTCCCCAGTCCGTCCGTAGCAGAAGATGGGAGCACGTAGTCTATTGAATGCTGTTATGGGGATCTCTTGATAGACCCAGTAGGCTGATAATATTTAGGGGAGCACTGATCTGTACTATATGTAGTGATTGGATTGGCCGAAGAGCAATGTGTTTTGACAAGCATTCAACTAAACATGTAAACATAGAGGAATGACAAACACAGAATCACCCCCAGAGGGAAGAATAGTACAGTACAGTACGCATAGTCAAGGAATTCTAACCGAAGCCTCAGCGCATGGGCCCAAATTACGCATGTGAATCAGGACGGAGTGGACTGGGACTACTAGGTACCTAGTAATTGGCCGCACCTCCCCTCCCCGTCTTGCACCGACACTGTCCGCTGCGCTGTTGTCCCTCTTCTCTTTGGGGTCCCTCAGCACTACCGGACCGTGACCAGGTACTGTACACAGACACTCTCTTTTACACCTCAGACACCAACTCTCTCCTTCTCTTTCGCTACTTCAGTATCTCACTCTTGGCCTCTGTTTCCCCTCCCCCACATCTTGCCATTCCACTTCCCCTTCGCCAACAGCATCCGGCTGGCTGTGTTCTGTCCTCTCCTCTGCCTCACGATCTCCCCCGCATCCCTTTACATTCGTTTCTGAAACTCAGCCAACCCAGTCGCAGAAATCATGTCGTTGAAAGATGTGTACAGCCGGTTCCTGACCAACCCCAAGTCGGTTCCATTGGCCACTGATGCGTCTCTCGTTTACATCACGACCACTACAAAGGTAGACGGTGACGCTGCGATTGTCAGCCATTTCAGCAAACAGCAGCGCATCGTTAAGACCAAGTCGGAGACCATTTTGGACGCCTTTGAAAGCACCAACTCTCTCTGCTTGGATATTGAAACTACTTTGGAGTTTCTGTCTGGTGGCGGGGCGTACCTTCCCCAGCTTGACGACAATTTCCTGGCCGATCATGTCGCTACCTTTCCCACGGTAAATATGCGCTCAATACCCTTTCACTTTCCATACGAATGTGTCGAGCTAACCAGATACTTGAATGCAATCAGGTCCACATTGTTCGCTTCAATGCTCAGCAGCAAATCCAGAATGTCCGCATCTACTGGGACCAAGCATCCTTACTGAAACAAGTCGAAGTGATCGGTTCGCGTGCTCGTGGTTGGCCCATTCGTGATGCCAAAGACCAGTTCCGCCTTCTCAAATCCGCCATCTCATCGAGTCCCAGCGATCACGGGCCGGGGTCAGCTTCTGCGCCTGCCCCGCCTGCCCCCACGGAGGAGCAAGCGCGTGTTCCGGCGCGCCAGGTCGCCTCTCCAGGGAAAAAGTACATCAAGGACCCCCATGCTGCCGACTCCCTGTTCGAACTTCTTTCGCCAGGCAAGGACAGCAAGGACCGAGGAGAACCTGTGCGTGCTCCGCGTGCTCCTGCGTCTGCCCAGCCTCCAGCGCGCGACTACGGCGAGCTCTTCCTCAGTACCGAAGGTGACTTCGACAACGACACTCCCGACGCGTCGCCATCCAGAAAGCGAATCCCCCCTAAGGCTGGCACCAAGAACTTACAACCATCGCGCATCTTTGATGACGACGAGACCGCCGCCAAAGAAGGGCTTCAGCAGATTGCATATAAGGCTCACCCTAAACGTTATGAACACTTCGAGCTTGGCGGGGACAACAGCACCCGGGAGGTCCATGAGAAGCCTGGGCGCCCTGTGTCTCGCCAGGCCCCTCACTGGGATTTTGAAGACTTTGTGACCCCCGAAAAGCCCAAGCGCCCACTTCGAGGAGAGGAAATCCGTCACTTTGGTTGGGGCGATGATGAGCAGGAACCCACATCCATCCCGGTTCGATCACGGGCGCAGCAACCTCGTCCTAATGCTGAAAGTCATTTTTCTTTGACCGACACTCCTGAAGAGAGAGCGGGCGGCCGCATTATCAGCTCATTTCAGAACAAAGGTATGGGCCTTTACAAGAGCCACCTTTTCGACAACAAGGAAGACGATGAATTCTCTCAGAACGCAAACCCACCCCTCTCCAGAGTCAACAACAATGGCGCCAACCGGAAGAAGGAGCTCGAGACCCACTGGGATATGGCCGACGAGTCGCCTCGCGATAGCAAGCGCAACGCGGAAAACAGAAAGCCTATTCCCGGAGACCGTCAAAAGGCCGTTAAGGCGCTGGAGCCATCCTGGGATACCTATGACCAGTCACCAGAACCCACGAAGATGGCGCCCCCTCAGCGGCAGAGCGTAAGAAACCACAACCAGCGGAGTTGGAACTTCGGTGGTGAAAACTGATTGCTGCGTCGCGCGGTGCTTCATTGCTCAGTCCATGCATATACCCATTCCAGAACAAGACCTTACGCCAAATCTTGAGTATTCCTCGAGAATAAGTCAAGCGAATCCATAGTAAACCAGGGGCCAACATCAACATACGGAAGAAGGAAACAACCGAAAGTCTGTAGCTATCAATAGGAGGGAACTCTTATCTTTGCAAGCAATGTATCGTTGCATGCCAAATCTTTGTCTGGTATTTGCGTTAGCGTTTCCCTGCATTTCGACATGGAGTCAGGGTCAGAATGCAAGTACAATGTATAGTAAAGGAAACATGTGTGCAAGACCATTCCCAAGTTACCTCAGCTGCCTACTCTCGATTCCTTTCCCATTGCTTATCTGTTGGTTTATAGCGAGTGAGTCAAGTGAGTCAACCCATGCAGTAGTAAGCATCCATGATGGCCGACGCGCCAACCACGTTTAGTGTCGGGGGTTTCCGTAAGACGGGCGGTTGCATGGTCTAGTTCTAGTCTCTCGTCCCTCAGCTCCGAGCCCCCTCTCCCACTACGTATTAACTAACCGCATTTCCATTTTACCGTTGCGTCGTGTCTTTCCTGTCAGCCAAGCTGCGACCTGCGACCTGCCCGTTTATCAGATGCAGTATACTGTCAAGTTTGTCATCTGTCACTTCACTTGCGTGTGATTGTCACTCTCTTTACGTCAGCTGTGTGTACCTACTTTACCTACCTACTGACCGCCTTTGAGGTGATAACGGAGATAATAACCTATCCTACTCTTACTACTACCCTTACTTACCCTTTGTTTCGCAAGGTCGTTTTTTCCTTCAATTCTACTACTCCAACTACGTGCCTCTTCACGAAACGACCAACCTGGGCTTGCTCTTCTCTCTTCTGTCTATCACCAGTTTAATACTAAATCCGATAAACCCGGCTTGACCGGCTGCTTGCCTCTTTTTCCCCCCAGTTCGACCGCGAAGGCAGTTCGCCGATCGTGCCCCTCATTGGATCTCTTCTCTGCCTCCTCCTCGTCTCGTTGTTCGGCACTTTCTTTTCTTGTCGTTTCGATCCGTGTGCAACGTGATTCTTTGTGCCGTTGTTTCCAAGGTCGAGTTAACACTAGCCCGTGTCTTCTAAACCTGCTCAACCACGACGGACAGCGGTCTTCTTCGGTCGCCCATCGCCGCGCGCCCCTCGATCGTACCATAAGCCTGCTCGATCGCGTTCAGCGCAACTATTGCGATCAAACCGCTGGATCGAGTATTGTTGTGCAATAAGGGCTCTTGATAAACAGCACGGGTATCGGCTACGCTCGCAGAATTCCACAGGGCTGCGCGCCGATCACATTAGTCTTGTCATATTGTCCATCACATTCATTGACAACTTGCGCCGTCGACCGGACAGACTTCCAAATTTTACAGCGTCCGGACCAAATCCCCTTGGATATATTGGCGCCGAAATTCTACGCGATACTCAGCGGGCTCGAGAGTCATCTCGAGACAGGCCATTCTTTTCCCCTTCACATTTCCATCCGAGTCACTCTCGCAAGCACCGTTTCTCAAGGGATCGTTATAATATAGCTCAATATGTCTCCAACACCCCCATCCACAACCTCATCGAGCGCTGGCGCATTCTCCCCGGAAGGACAATTTAGAGTCATCAGGAAGAGAAACCGAGTTCCCCTCTCATGTGCGCCATGTCGGCATCGAAAGTAAGCACCTGCCTCGCTGGCCGCCTTGCCATTTGTGCTAACAGTGGAGTCATCAGGCTGAAATGCAACCGTGCCCATCCCTGCGAAAACTGCATCAAGCGAGGTGATGCGACTTCGTGCTCATACGCTCAAGCAAGTGCGCGAAAAAGGAATGTGTCGCAGCCGTCAGCTGCGAGCTCTCCAGATGATATGCAGAATAGGATCGATCGACTTGAGAGCCTCGTCCTGTCGCTCATGACTAATGGATCCCAATCCGCAGGCCCCGCAGCGGCCATGGCTGCGATTTCCGGCAATAGCAGCAGCACGGGGTCTGTACCGAACACGGTCGATATAGATGTGGAAGATGAAACGCCTGGCGGCCCCGAGGACAGTGATACCGAACAGGTCACAAAGTCGTTTGGAATCATGAAGTTTGACAACAACAAGTCTTATTATATCAGTGAGGTACATTGGGCATCGGTCCTCAGCGATGTAAGTTGCCTGCGCCCACCAGAGCTATCGTCAAGCGATTAACGCCTGTTTCAGATTGCGGAAGTCCGAAATTATTTCTCCACACACAAGAAACAATACGAGGAGCAGACCGAGAAGCTGAAGACAACCCAACTTCCGACTGACGTCCAAGGTTCCGCTCTACTCTTTGGGGCAATGAAACCTGCGACTCGGGCGGAAATCATGTCTTCCTTCCCCTCTAAATATACGACCGATATGCTGATCGCACGCTATTTCAGCTGCTATGACCCATCAACACGTAAGTCAGACGTCTTTTTGCATACACCTTATGTCAGCACTCACTCCGAAGTAGACATTCTTCACGGGCCCACTTTTCAGGCACAGGTAAGACTCATCTGTTCATCACCCTACATGACTACTGTATCGCTAACCCCAGCTAGTACAACAAACATTGGGAAGATCCGTCCCAGACTTGCACGATATGGATTGGCATGCTTTTTGCCATGATGCGACTAGCTATGCTTTCGTACCATCGCAATGGAGACGAACCCCCAGAATTTCGGGGCAAGTCCCTGGACATGGCTGGAACTTTCAGAAACCTTGTGGCTCAGTGTCTTACCCTGGCTGACTACACTAAGCCATACCCGTACGTCATTGAGAGTTTGATCTTCCATCTTCATGGTGACTTCTGTCAAACCAGGGAAGCAGATGTGTCGGTGTGGGTTCTCGTGGGGGTGATCGCGCGTTTGGCTATGAGGATGGGCTACCATCGTGACTCCAAGATGTTCCCCAACATTACCCCGTTCCAAGGAGAGATGCGCCGCCGCGTCTGGACCTTTGTACGGCAGGCGGACCTATTGTTCTCCTCCCAAGTTGGGTTGCCGAGCATGATCCGCTCCACTGACAGTGATACCGAGCTCCCTCGAAATTTGTATGATGACGACTTTGATGAGAATTGTCAAGAACTTCCGCCTTCCCGTCCAGCAAATGAACCGACGCCGATATCGTTCTTGATTGCGAAAGCGCGGCTGACGTACACTTTCGGCCATGTCGGCGAGCACACTTCACGTTGTCAGACTGCAACGTCTTACGACAAAGTGATGGAGCTTGATGCGGAGCTTCGTCAAGCTCGTGACTTGATCCCGGAGCACCTACTCGTTCGTCCTATTGAAGATTGCCCATTAGACTCTCCAAACTTGATTATGTCACGATTTGCAGTAAGTTCTGTCCTTGTTGAAATGCTTTGTGCAGTGTTGACCATCTCTAGGTTGCGAGCGTGTATCACAAAGCACAATGCGTGCTACATCGACAATACCTTGTACGAGCACGTGAGAACCCTCGATTTAGTTATTCGAGGCGGACCTGCCTAGACTCTGCAATGGAGCTGTTGCGATTCCAATCCATGCTCCATGACGAGACTCGGCCCACAGGTCGTCTACGCAGCAGGTACAACAAGCTAACCTCACTTGGCTCTTCCGACTATTTGCTTGCTGCAACCATTCTTTGCCTCGATCTCTTTCATGAACAGCAACTCCAGGCTTCGGGTCGAACCCCTAGTGATCCTTACTCCTGGACTAAGGAACGTCGCGATGAGATGGTGGCTGCGCTCCAACGAACCCGAGAAATCTGGGACGAGCTTCGTGATGAGACTATCGATGCATGGAAAGCTGCCGGAGCTCTGGGAGTGATGCTTGCCAAGCTGAATTTGGGATTTTCGGAAAGTAATACCGCGTCTGCACCGGCTTTTGAGCCGCAGGATGAGAAACAAAGTGCCGCAATGACATTAGGACTCCTGAGCAGTGGAATGAGTCCCATGCCTTCGAGTCAATCGACCCTCAACGACCCTGCATACAAGATGGTAGACACACAAATGCCCATGCAAAGTGGCTTTGCAAACGCGGCAGAGATTCCGGGGGCCCCTTCACCATTCAGCGCGATGTTTGGGCAGGTGCCCGACATGCAGTTGAACCTGGACTGGGTAGGTTAACACCCCAAACCCATCGTGAAGGGATTTATGGTTGACCACAATCATAGGACGCTTGGGATACCTATATTCAGAGTTCAGCAATGGACATACCTTCACAATGGTGGCCATCGGGAGACATGCAACAGCAACCACCGGGTCAAAGTCCCCTATCCTCAACCCAATTGCCAGCCACACAAAACAGCGCTCCTGACCGCATGCGTTCTATGCCTCGTGGTCCGAATATGTTCTCCCCTGATGCTAACAGCTATGAAGGCAACAATGTTGCCATGTCCACGACAGGCTACCCTGTCAACTCATCCCCTCTCAACAACCCAAGTAGCGGTCCAGGAACCTAAACGATGTTGTTCGAGTTCTTTTGTGTCTGCCGTTCTAGGATTTGACTACATCCAGTCAATCAAAAGTTGGCCGGGAATCTGGATTCCATTTTATGTGAATTGTATTTGCGTCGTGCTCCAAATTTATGCAAGATCAATCTTCAGCTTGACAGGGTGGCGAATAGGACGCGGTTGGTTTCAAAGGCTGGGCTGGGCTGGGCTCTTTCTCGTTCGTTTTCACCGCTCTGATCATATTCGTGCTCTACGCTCGAATCGGCATGGATATTTGATTGAGGAGTGGTTGTATATTACGCAAAGACACGTTATGATAGGTCATGCAGATACTAGTCATCTACACTCTAAGATGGATCCCCTTGCTGTCAGTGATTCGTTCTTGTATGTAGGTTTTAGTGTACAGGGCTCTGGTGAACTCGCAAAGCAGAGGCAACTATTCTCGGGTCTAGATCGGGCATTTCCCTCATATTATATTTGATGGGATATGCAACATGCGGTTTAGGAGATCCTCGAGGCCGGGGCACATCCATTCCGGCGCAGCAAACTGTCGAGTACACATTAGGCATGGTCTGCTGATATCCCTCACGTGACCTTCTGATAAGGGAAGTTTTCGTGCTGCCAATTTCCCCGAAGCATCTCTTTGCCACAAATTCTTGGGTTGAGACAACTTCATCCTTTTTCCATCACTTTCATTTCTTTAATTAATTCATTTTCCAGACACACACAATGTGAGTCTATTGATCAGTGCCATTTGCCATTGGTAGTATTTGTCTAACAGGATGGGTTCCACTCAGGTATTGCTTCCGCCAAGCAGCCTCTCGGCTGTTAATTGCTCCTAGCAGAGTCGCCATTCGCTCTGTACCGCGCTCCAACGCGTCCAGCCCGTTGCGCCTTGCTTTCGCCAGCAGACCCGTCCAGTCTCAGCTTCAAAGCCGGTGGAACAGCGACGATGCTCAGAACAAGCCCGTAGCTCCCAGCACCACTGGGCAGTCTCCCGAGATCAGCAACGAGAGCATCGCCGAGGCTGTTTCGCAGTACGCCGATCAGAAGGAGAACTCTTCTGAGCAGGCCGCTGCCCCTGAGCAAGCTGCTACCGAGGAGTCTTTCGCTTCGGAAGCTCCGAGACAACGTTTCTACCAGCGGGATCAAGATGGCAATGGCGGATCTGGTCTCCGCAGATACAGAGGAGCTATCAACCGGGAGGAGCCGCAGCCGAAGACCACCATCTTCGTTGGCAACCTTTTCTACGACGTCACGAGCGATGATCTCAGACGATTCTTCACCAAGTTCGGAGATGTGCAGAGAGTGAATCTCATCCACGACCAGCGGGGAATCAGCAAGGGGTAAGCGCGCCAGTTCCTGTTCTTGATGTGTAGATTCTGACCCGGGGGATGTTTTTCACACTTTAGATTCGGTTACGTGGATTTCGAGTCGATCGAGTCGGCTCAGCGTGCCATCGAAGAGATGCACCTGCAGATCTTCGAGGGCCGTCGTATCAGCGTTATGTTCGCGCAGAACGGCATGAAGAAGCACAAGGTGTCGCCCCCTTCGAAGTCGCTCTACATCGGCAACCTGCCCTTCGAGATGACCGACCGTGATCTCAACGATCTGTTCAACGACGTGGTCAACGTCATCGATGTGCGCGTGGCGATTGACCGCCGCACCGGACAGCCCCGTGGCTTCGCCCACGCCGACTTCGTTGACCTCGAGAGCGCGTGCAATGCCATGGAGATCCTCAGCAAGAAGATGCCCTATGGAAAGAAGCTGCGCCTGGACTACAGCTCCAAGCACAAGGGCATTAACAACCCTAACTCGCGGCGGGTGGAGGAGGAGCAGCAGCAGCAGCAGCAGCAGCAGGAGTAGGGGCTGAGTCTTTATTCCAGATATTCCACTTGGTCTACACTGGGGTTTAATAGACTGGAGTGTATATCAAGCTAATCTTTCTCATGTATATTACAAAATTATGTCGTACAGTCCATTCCATTCTCACTTCCTGCTTATTCAGTATTCAGTATCACGTAGGCGTAGACAGATGGAAACCAAATGGCAGGATGCACGTGACTCTCGGGGAGCCTCGGTATCTTTCCGCGGGTCGGCAGCGAAGCCGCGCCGAAACCCCACGTCTTTGTGCTTAGAGAGCCCATCTCGGGGCGAGTCTCCTCACTTATTCCTTCTCTCTTATCTCCCGCTCTGTCTCTTCTACCACTGGTTTTCTCTTGTCCTACCCTCGATACATATGAACTATTCTACGTGAGGACTGAATAGCGCAGTCGCTGCACATATTCCCACAACATGTCGTTTCTTGGTGGCGCCGAGTGCTCCACAGCCGGAAACCCGCTGACGCAGTTCACGAAGCATGTCCAAGATGACAAGTCGCTGCAGCGTGATCGCCTCGTCGGACGCGGTCCGGGAGGCATGCAGGAAGGCATGCGGTCCAGAGGAATGATGGGTGGTCAAGACCAGGTAAATATCTCCATATTCCATCCAACCCCCCACCCCACCCCCTCATCACTCTCCCCGCGGGGAAGAGGGAGTGGCCCACTGCCGTGTGTACCATTCCACTGATGCTTTTAGATGATGGACGAATTCTCCCAACAACCCGGTCAGCTACCGGGCGCTAGCCCCCAGCCCTTCGCGATGGAACAACTCAGACGTGAACTGGACCAGTTCCAGAACGCACCCCAACGGACAGGATCTCCGGGTTGGGCGGCGGAGTTCGATGCCGGTGAGCATGCACGGATGGAGGCCGCCTTCAATGGCTCCCAGGGTCCGATGATGAACGCCCCCGCGGGATTCAACCCGGCCGAATTCGCCCGGTTCCAACAACAGAGTCGAACGGGCATGCCCCAGGCAGCGCACCCCTCGGTTGCCTCCGCCCCGTCCCCGATGCTGGCTGGTTACCAGCGCCCAATGGGCTACATGGGCATGGGTGGTGGGATGGGGATGATGCATCAGAACTTCGGCCCGATGGCCATGCACCAGCAGCAACCGGCCGAGGCGGTCACGCAGGACAAAGGCAAGGGGCGGATGGTGGAGCTCGACGACGAGAACTGGGAGGCGCAGTTCGCGGAGATGGAGACGGCGGATACCCAGACGCTGGACGATGCGGCCAACGCGGCCATGGAGGCCGAGCTGAATGAGCTGGACAGGTCAGTCCCCACCACCTCCTCCACCACTACTACTACCGCCATCGAGAATAATTTCGATGCGTTTGAAAACGTGTGGCAAAGAGTTCAGGCTGAGGCGGCAGTAAATAGGAAACTGGCGGAGGGTGAGACCGATTTCAATATCGACGAGAACCTTCACATGGGCGATATGGGTGACTGGGATGGATTCGAGACCCTCAACACGCGGTTCCGCAACCCGCAACTAGGCGAGTACCTGTTCGAGGAAGACAATGTTTTCCAGAACGTCAACAACCCATTCGAAGAAGGTGTCAAGATTATGCGGGAGGGTGGCAACCTGTCGCTGGCTGCGCTGGCCTTCGAGGCGGCGGTTCAGAAGGACCCGCAGCACGTACAAGCCTGGACAATGCTGGGAACCGCGCAGGCTCAGAACGAGAAAGAGTTGCCCGCGATCCGAGCTCTGGAGCAGGCCCTGAAGATCGATGCCGGCAACTTGGATGCGCTCATGGGTCTGGCCGTCTCTTACACGAATGAGGGCTACGATTCTACCGCCTACCGTACTTTGGAGCGCTGGCTCTCCGTCAAATACCCACAAATCATCGATCCCAAGGATGTATCAGAAGACGCTGATCTTGGGTTCACGGATCGCCAGCTGCTCCATGACCGGGTCACCGACCTCTTCATCCAGGCTGCTCAACTGTCTCCGTCGGGTGAGCAGATGGACCCGGACGTGCAGGTGGGTCTGGGTGTTCTGTTCTACTGCGCCGAAGAGTACGACAAGGCGGTTGACTGCTTCTCGGCTGCGCTGGCCTCGACGGAGTCGGGAACCACCAACCAACAGGAGCAGCTGCACCTGCTCTGGAACCGGCTCGGCGCCACGCTGGCCAACTCCGGTCGGTCCGAGGAGGCCATCGAGGCGTATGAGCAGGCGCTGAACATCAACCCCAACTTCGTCCGGGCTCGCTACAACCTGGGCGTTTCCTGCATCAACATCGGCTGCTACCCCGAGGCCGCGCAGCACCTCCTGGGCGCCCTGTCGATGCACCGGGTGGTCGAGCAAGAGGGCCGGGAACGGGCCCGCGAGATCATCGGCGGCGAGGGGGGCATCGCCGACGAACAGCTGGAACGCATGCTCCACGTCAGCCAGAACCAAAGCACCAACCTGTACGACACGCTGCGGCGGGTGTTCAGCCAGATGGGACGGCGGGACCTGGCCGATCAAGTTGTGGCAGGGATGGACGTCAACGTGTTTCGGAAGGAATTCGAGTTCTAGAGCGATTCTGCTGGCAGGAAGCATAGCGAGTTTGAATTTGATTAAGTTCATGTATGTTCTTTGGAAATGAGGGGATGGGTTGATACCATTAGTCAGTAGCATAGCAGCAAAGCAGCAACATTAAGACTACACAATACAAGGCTGTGCGGTGCAGAAGATGATCAAGAGTGCATCAGAGTTCATCTCTGTCTCTAAAGAGTACACCGATCCACTCGGTATAGGTATAGGTATCGGTATGCAAGCGTTGTTGGCTGCCTCGGGCAAGAAACCGGCTGTTGCGTCATGCCGATAAATGGTTGTGCCTCGGCCATTTGCATTTGCATTGTTACTCGTACGTACAACTTCACTTCGTCGCTGCCTATCGTTCCCCACAACCCCCCACCCCCAACCATTTCCTGGAACTGCTGAGCAGCCAGTCTTTTCACTCGTAACTCATCATTTACTACGGACTATTCAGCCCTACACTAATTAAAAACCCATCCTGCCAAGCTGCCAAGCTCTTTCTTAACCACACCCACCAAAGACAATGGCTACCGTCACCGGGGCCCAGATCATCGCCCGGACGCTGCGCGATCTCGGCGTCACCGTGATCTTTGGCATCGTCGGGATCCCCGTCGTGGAGATTGCCGAGGAGGCCATCAACCTGGGCATTCGCTTCGTGGCCTTCCGCAACGAGCAGGCTTGCAGCTATGCCGCTAGTGTTTATGGATACATGACCGGACGACCCGGTGTCTGTCTCGTCGTGGGAGGTCCGGGGGTTCTTCATACGTTGGCTGGGGTGAGCCTTTTTCCAAGCCCTTGACTGGCACATCTTACTGCCATCTACGTGGTTCCTACACGACTTCTTGGCTGTATCGAACTCTATCTACTTCTCGTGCTAACAAACCCATTCCCCGAACCAGATCGGCAATGCCACCGCCAACAACTTCCCCTTACTGGTGCTGGCGGGCTCGGCCGAGACCACGGCAATCACCAAGGGCGCCTTCCAGGAACTCGACGCCATCTCCTTCCTGACGCCGCACACCAAGCTGGCGGTGCGCGCCTCGTCGCTGGACTTCATCCCGGGGGCGGTGAAGAACGCCTACCGGACCTGCTGGTACGGGCGTCCGGGCCCGACCTTCGTCGACCTGCCCGCCGACATCATCCAGGGTCGCGCTGCGGTCACCGCAGACCACCGTCAGAAGCAGCAGCAGCTGCTGCTGCCTCCGCCGGAGACGATGCGGGTGGCTGCGCCGCCCAAGGCCAGCGGCGACCCGGCGCTGATCCTCAAGGCGGCGCAGCTGCTGAAGACGGCGCAGGCGCCGCTGCTGGTGGTGGGCAAGGGAGCGGCGTACGCGCGGGCGGAGGCCCAGCTGCGCCGGCTGGTCGACCGCACGGGGCTGCCCTTCCTCCCGACCCCGATGGGCAAGGGGGTGTTGCCGGACTCGCACGCGCGCAACGTGTCGAGCGCCCGCAGCGCGGCGCTGAAACACGCGGACGTGGTGCTCGTGCTCGGCGCCCGCCTCAACTGGATCCTCCACTTCGGCGAGCCGCCCAAGTGGTCCCCCACCGCCAAGATCATCCAGGTCGATCTGTGCGCCGAGGAGATCGGCCGCAACGCCGGCGCCGCCGAGCTGGGCATCGTCGGCGATATCTCCCTGGTTGTGGACCAGCTGGTCGCCGCCTTGGCGAATTGGCGCTATGCCCCGGTTGCTGCTGGTGCTGCTGACAAGACCTTCCTGGACGTACTGGATGCCTCGATCGAGAAGAATACCAAGGCCGCGGCCCAGGCGGCCAACCGCCCGACCCCGACGGATGCCCCGATGACGTACCAGCGGGCCTTCCACCTCATCAAGGCGACGCTGGACGAGCTGAGTCACCAGGCGGGCAACGATGGCGGCGTGGTGTATGTGTCCGAGGGCGCGAATACGATGGACATCTCGCGGTCGATCTTCAGCGTCGACCACCCGCGCCAGCGCCTGGACGCCGGGACCTACGCGACGATGGGCGTGGGGATGGGGTACATCGCCGCGGCGCACGAAGCGTACAACGCGCTGCCCGGGGCGGGTGCAGCCCCGGGCGGTTCCGGCGCGTCAAAGCCGAAGAAAATCGTCGCCTTCGAAGGCGACAGCGCGTTCGGGTTCAGCGCCATGGAGATCGAGACCCTGGCGCGCTACCGCATCCCCGCGCTGATCTTCGTCGTCAACAATTCGGGCATCTACCATGGGGACACGACCTCGGCGGCCGAGTGGACGACGCTGCAGGACCAGACGGCGCAGAACGATACCAAGGCCAGCGGGGACGGGACCCGCGGCCTGCGCTCGACGAGTCTGCTGTACGAGACCCGGTACGAGATGCTGGCGACCATGTGCGGCGGCCGCGGGTTCTTTGTGCGGACGGAGGAGGAGCTGGTCGCGGCGACGCGGCAGGGGTTCGCGAGCGAGCAGGTTACCGTGGTGAATGTGATTGTCGAGCCCGGGATCGGCAAGAAGATTGGGTTTGCGTGGCAGAATAATAGTGAGCGTGAGCCGCAGGCGAAACTTTAGGACTTTAGGTTGCGCTTGGTGGAGCGGAGTATAACAAGTTAACGGGATAGTTTGTATCATATCTAGCGGTAGCAGTATCTCACCACGCTAATTTTTTCATCGCCCTTGTGATTTGAGTTCCGCATACTGGCGGTGTTCTTTACATATATATGTAAGGTTGATGTACAACTCCATAGACCCAGAAATAAGTTGAATCTACCTCAAAACCTCATCCAAAACCTTCGCAACAGCAACCGCCTTCTCCTCGCCGAACTTGCCCCCAACCACCTGCACCGTAACCGGCATATCCTTGACCAGGTCGATATCGTCTGGAAGACGTTAGTTAGCCCCAGTTCAACCCTCTCCGCCCATCCCCCAAGATGACCAGCAAGAAAGAAAAGGAAAAACCAACACTGCAAATAATTGAACCGATCCGACTGATTGCGGGGCACATGCGCCCTCCACTCCTTGATGATCTCGCTGTCGCTGTTACCCTCTGGATGATCGACCCCGGCATCCGCACAGGTTACCGGCACCGTGACCGCAGCGTAATCGAGCAGATTCCACAGCGCCGTGTACCCGAGCCACTGGGCGCTGACGACCCAGGATTTGGGGCGGTAGCCGACCCACGGCGTCACGGGCATCAGGAGGGCGTCGATGCCGCTGGTTGTCCAGTGGGACAGGTAGGTTTCTTGGTAGGTGTATTTTGATTCTTCGAGCTGTAGCCTATCATTACTACCTGTCTTCGACTGTGGGGGGGAAGGATGGGTGGGTAGGAACAAGGGGCAGGCAGCCCTTACCTTCTCCCGCTCCTCCACCGACAACTCATCCTCCGACGTCCCCACGACCATCCCCTCGATTAACGGCTCCCCGATGATGTCGCACAGGTACCGACAGTGTTGGCCCCCGTCGGCCAAGATGGCTTTCGTCCAGAGCGCGGTGCCTTCTTTGTGCAGGGCGGTCGCGGGCCAGGGGATTACTTTCCACCCATCAGGAGTTGGTCAGTATAGCGTGATCAAGCGGGTGATGTCAAGCGGATATAGCCGGTACATCTAGTCTTGAACTGACGGGGCAAAGGGAAAGGGAAAGGGAAGGGCAAGACACACCCTCATGCCCGGCCTCCACCAACTTCCGCTCGACCTCGCGCATCGCCCGCGCAATCGGCGGCTGCGGCTTGACGACCCCGTCGTCGTGGATGATGGCCACCCGCAGTTTTTTGGTGGCAGGCTTCAGGGCCAGCTCCGTGCGCCAGGGGATCGGGATGCAGCCCGGGTCGAGGGTCCAGGGCTCCGAGGCCAGCAGGGAGGCCATGAAGTGCTCGATCGAGGCGAGGCTGCGGGCCATTGGGCCGGCGACGGGGGGCACCATGTAGTGTTGGTGCATGCTTTGCGTACTGTTAGTCTGATACAGTTCCCAGACACTCCCCCCAGACACCCACCCCCACCCCAGGAGAAAAGGGAAGGAACATACAAAGAACAATCCCACGGCACCCGCCCCCTCGACGGACAAACCGAATACAACCCCTGCAACGCCGCGGGGATGCGAATCGAGCCCCCGATATCCGTCCCGATGCCGAGCACACTGCCCCGGGCGCCGATCAACGCCCCCTCGCCACCGGAACTGCCGCCGGAGATGAGCTGGCGGTTGAATGCGTTGATCGATTGTCCGAAGACGTGGTTGTAGGAGTCGGACATCTTTCACCCAGTAGATCAGCCAACCATCTCATACCATCCCTTCCCAAAAAAAAAAAAAAAAAAACAACAAAACAAAGGAAAAGGACAGGACAAACCATAAGCGACTGCGGCACATTCGTCTTCACATACAGCACCGCCCCCATCGACTCGAGCAGCCGGGCAATCGAGCTGGATTTGCGGGCGGGTTTGTTGATGAGTCCGACCCAGCCTGCGCCCACCCCATCAGAAGAATTAGCATGAGCCTATAGCACACATCCCTCCCGATGTCCCCCCGAAGGGAAAGGAAAAGGACACAAACCAACAGTAGTATCCACCCCCTCGAGATCAAACCGATCCTTAATCGAAACCGGCAACCCATGCAGCGGGCCCCGCGGCTGCCCGGTCCGCGCGAGCTCCTCGTCCAGCCACTTGGCGCGCGCCAGCGCCCGATCGAAGAAGATCTCCGTCAGGCATTTGGTGAGCTGCTGCGCGAGGGCGGCGCGCTTGCAGAAGGCGGTCGTCAGTTGCACGGAGGTGATTTGCCCCGAGGCGAGGTGCGCGAGGAGCGTGGTGGTGTCGGCCGTTTCGGTCCATTCGAGTTCTTGGGCTGTGAGGATTTCGCTGGTGCGGATGGTGGTTAGAGTGTCTTGTTCTTGTTCGAGGGGCTGGGGCTGGGCTTGGGCTTGGGCTTGGTCGTCGGTGCTGGGTGTAGGTGGTGGGTTGGGGAGACGCCAGGCTTCGGGGATGGCGGCTAGTTGGGCCTGGCGTTTGGCGTAGACGGTGGGTTTCCAGGTGGGGGTTGAGGGGAGGGTTTGGGTCATTGTCATCTTGCGTTTTTTCTTATGATTGTTTGTGTCGTTGGTTGAGGTTGTGAAGGGTGTGGTGTAGTTGTATAGTTGATGTGGCGGGCGAGTTTATGGTTTCGGAACGAGGGGAAATCAATGGAAATGGAGCGGGGTTCATGCGGAGAAAATACTCACTTATACGATTACCTACCTGCCACTGGAATGCTATACACAGCTATCTACTCTGTAAGTACTCCGCAGTCATGAAGATAGGAGATAATAATGAAGCTCCCGGATTGGGCACCGCAACCCCCCCCACCCCTGGCAGCATCAGCATCGTCTTCACTATCTATATCAGAGTAGATCCTCAACCACGGTAGCACGCCAATCATAGAATGTATTCAGCCTATCCAGCTATCTATCATCACCTGCAGATTGCCGAGTTCCGGATACCGTACTGTAGCCGCCGAGATAAGATAGTAGGCCATGCTTGGGATCTTTATCATACACCTCATCAATCCCTCACTCCCCACTCAAACAGTCATCAGCATGCTGGCGTTCTTGTACCACGTCAGCATCGGGTTCTCCCCGTTCCGCGTCTCTGTGTCTGCAATGTACGCCCAGCGCTGCATGAAGTCTTCGTGGCTCACCACCTGCGTCAACTTCCCGGTGATCGCCCGGTACATATCCTCAATCACGTTGAAGTCGGTCGGGAAGAAGATATCGAAGTATCCTTGTTGAACCTGCGTGCCGGTCAGAAGTCGTTCGGACCAAATCACGAGACAGAAACTTACATAAGGGGTCGTCACAGGGATGGTGCGCCGCTCGAATCGAGTCTGCACCACAGGCCCATTCAGCCCGCGCACCGCGTCCGGCAGCGAGCTGAAGTCACTCGCCACCAGCCGGTGGCCCGGGAAGTAGTTGTTGAGGATGTCGAAGAACTGCATGAGCCGGGTGGGGATGTACTCCGGCTGCGAGAACTGGCCCGCGGCCGGCAGATACGGCCGCAGGGTGCGCATGTACTTCGGCCCCAGGGGCGACGGGAACGGGCGCCGGGCGGCCGCCTGGCGCACGCGCAGGAACCGCGCGGCCACCGGGTCCAGGTAGTCGCGGTACCACTCGTGGAACTCGCCGTCCGCGTCGATCAGGACCCCGCCCTGCTGCGGCTGCTCCGTCTTGAGGTCGTAGCGGATGATGTCGTGCGAGAAGTTGTCGAACACCTCCAGCGCTAGGAAGAAGCACGGCGAGTGCACGTACGTGTTCCAGTCGAAGATCGACCGGTTGATGATCTCGAGGCGGTCCCGGTGGCCGGCCGACTCGGCCGAGGCGACCAGGTTCTTCAGCTGCAGACTCGCCAGCGCCGGCGAGATCTCGATGATCTTGTACTTGGTCCGCTGGTAGACCTCGTAGTCCACCTCGCGGATGTAGTCCAGCACGTTGCGCATCATCGTTCCGTTGCCGGCGCCCATCTCGTAGATGATCAGATCGTGGTACGGGTACAGCGTCAGCTTATAGTTCGACACCAGGTACCGAGCGATCGTCTCGCCGTAGTACGGCTGGAAGAGCTCCGTCGGGGTATGCCACAGCTGACGGGCGACGTCGGGCTCGGCTTCGTCTAACCGGTCCTCGAACTCCGTGTAGCGATTCCGTAACATGGTGTGGAACGCGGGCCCATCGGCGATGTCGTTGAAGATGAAGGGCTCCCCGGGGCTGAAGATGGTGGCATGTTGGGAGAAGTAGCCGTATTGGAGATTATACAAACTGTCTGTAAAAGCGAGCCCCCGAGTTTGTTAGCAATTGTTCAGTCGCAGCAGCAGCCAGCCATCACCACGACGATTTCCCTTACCATCGATGAACTCCCGTCCCCACATCTTCACCTGCCGCGGCCGCTCGCGGTGATGGCGGAGTTCTTTGGCCGTGACCATCGGATACTTCTGCAATTCCTCCGAAATATCTCGGGTGATGAAGCGACGTTCGTTCCAGATCGTGCCATCGTTGGATGCTTTCTTAGTGCCGGGAGCCTTTCGGAGGAAGGGTCGACATTGTTGACGGTGGTGCGGATGGGACGGGGACAGGCGTACGCAACCCGGTCGGCGCGCGGAGAGGGAAGGAGTAGATTTGAAAGATTGACAGGCGGGATGTCGAAATAACTGCCTAAGCAGTTGACTCAGGACTGGAGAGTCCATGGGAAGGACGTAGACGATCGCTCGTGGGGGCGGTAGCACAATGCACTCCGTCGGAAAAGAGGAGCAAGAAAGAAAGCTCGGGGAGAGCACGAGACGTGAGGAGAGGAAGAGAGGCGGAGAGGCGGCGGTCGCGCAGCGGTGGGTCCAAGCTTTTCTTCCGCCCGCCATCACCATAACTTATAACTAACTTGCCTACCATCGCTGCGGGGAATTTCTTTGTTGGACTGACCTTCCCCCCCCCCCTTCTCCCGCAATCATGGATGATCATTCCCGTCTCTATATTGGCACTGCCTTCGTCGCAGGTGTCCTTCTTACCATTGGGTTCAAGGATCTGGTGTACCCCGAGTTAGAACAGCGCATTCATGAATATCTAGCTCGTCGTCAATCCCAGCCCGCGACAGACTCCGAGGACCTTCCCCTCTCCACCGAGACTCTCGCCGCAAGACCAGGTCCACCGGCCATCGTCGAGGGCATTGAAGGTTGCATCGGGAATACTCCCCTATTCCGTATCAAATCCTTATCCGATGCCACGGGCTGCGAGATATTAGGCAAGGCCGAAGTACGTCATTTGCCTCTAGTTCAGATCTACGTCTTGGGGAAGACAAAATTGCTCGAGAAGTTGCTGACTTATTTTCTATTTTCTAGTTTCTGAATGGGGCTGGACAGAGCTCGAAAGACCGGGTTGCGCTGAGCATGATCCAGATTGTATGCAGGTGGTCCTTTCCATGACATACTGGGAATAAATCTCTCACACTCTATACAGGCTGAAGAGCACGGATTCCTAAGACCGCATTCAGGGGACACCATCTACGAAGGCACTTCCGGCTCCACGGGAATCTCCCTAGCCTCTTTGGCGCGAGCCAAGGGCTATCTGGCCCATATGTTCGTATTAAGTTGACAGCCACCGCATAGCCATATACTGACACAACCATAGCTGCATGCCATCCGACCAGGCTATCGAGAAGTCGAATCTATTGTTGAAGCTGGGCGCAATAGTAGACCGCGTGCCACCGGCCCCCATTGTCGAAAAAGACAATTTCGTCAATCGCGCACGCTCGCTTGCCCAGGAACAAACTGCATCCTCCACCGCCAGCGGAAGAGGATTCTTTGCGGATCAGTTCGAGAATGAAGCCAATTGGCGAGCCCACTACAATGGCACTGGGCCCGAGATCTATGCTCAGTGCAACGGAAAACTGGACGCCTTTATTGCCGGAGCGGGCACCGGTGGCACCATCTCTGGTGTGGCACTTTTTCTGAAGCCGCGCATTCCCAATCTCAGCGTGGTCCTGGCCGATCCTCAAGGCAGTGGGCTGTACAACAGAGTCCGTTACGGGGTCATGTTCGACCTCAAAGAGAAAGAAGGCACCAGGCGACGTAGACAGGTGGACACCATTGTCGAGGGCATCGGGATCAACCGAGTGACAGCTAACTTCGAAGCGGGCAAGGAGCTGGTCAACGACGCTATTCGGGTGACCGATGCACAGGCCTTGGCAATGGCTAGATGGCTTGTAGAGAAGGACGGTCTGTTTGTGGGTAGTAGCAGTGCCGTAAACTGTAAGTCTTTCCCCAAACCCTCATCTTCACCGGGTTGTGGCTAAACCACCCAACTACAGGCTTTGCTGCCGTCCAGACAGCGATGAAGCTTGGCCCCGGCCACAGAATTGTGACGGTCCTGTCCGACTCAGGGTCACGGCATCTCTCACGGTTCTGGGCGAAGGCAGGAGACGTCGGGGGCGCGGTTGACACCAAGCTTGAAGATGTGTTAAATGCCACGGATGCCACGGATGCCACGGATGAGGAGTAAGCGCGTGATATGTCAAGCCCATAACGATCCGCGAAAATTAGCCGGGGCCCACAATGAAGGGCAAAGACACGGCAAGAGCATTGACAAGGGTTGACCACTGGAGAGGCGGCGAAGCCCAGAAGCTACTGCCACTTATGGTTATTGCAGCTAGTGTCTGACAGGGAGTATAATTTGTTCGGCTGCCGCCCAATCCGACAGTCTGAGATCTACTTGGTTTCATCCAGTTGGGCTATGATAGCAGAACGCCATCGCTCGCTTCATTTGACCTAGTGGGTCACGACACGAATCTCGGGATCTGGAAAGTTGACGTGCCGGGGCCGATCGGACCCACTGACGGACTGCATGTCAGAATCGGGGTCCTGACTCAGTTGTGGTTCATCTGCTATTCGATTCGTCGGGACCGATCGAGCCTGCCGTCCAATCATTCTGGTTGCTGAACAGCATCACTGCGTATCAGTGCCAGCCCAGAGCTGCAACAACTCGAATTCAATCTCGGCATGTGGTCGGCCAGGTAGCCCTTCGCGGATCGTGGTCCAGCTAAGGCCCTGTTGCTCTTTGAATTTGTCTAGAACGGCCCGCTCGGCTTCAGACCAAGGCTTGGACAATGACGGTGGATTGGCCCGGCGATCACTCCAGTGATTGCGATTCCATTGGATAAGCGAGGTCAGTTTCGTATGCGGAAGGCAGTCAAGGATCTCGTTCCATTTCTTCCCCCGTACTTGTCTCATTGTGATGATCAGTCTCGCTTCATCGGGCTGGATGACATTTCGAACACGTTTCTTGGTAGGAGTAGAGTTATCATCCACTAGTTCGTTTGCGCGCGATCCTGTAAGAATATTTGGCGTGATAGACGTGGTAGTCTTGGACTTCGACTTCGGAGTAGGCTCTTTGGCCAGGGCATCGAGTCGGCGGGTCACCTCAGATCGATCGTGTTGGCCGTCGAAGGGTCTGGAGGCAATTTCCCTGAGATGGATAATGTAGCCGTGACGCGCGAAAACCTGCTTGCAATCCGAGCATTGATAGTTCAATTGACGCGGTGTCTGTTCTTTCACGGGTGTCTTGCGGACATGGATGCTCCGCTTAGGGGTCGGCGACGGTTCGTAGTCTTCCTGCAACGGGTCGTCGGACTCATCTCCATCGGGGGTCTCTGCAAAAGACCAGTCGCAGACCACGGGGCTCGACTGGGTGACTTTCCGCTGCGGTTTGCTTTTCATCGTTGCCCCTGCGTGGCTCTTCCGCGGAGCCCGTCGCGATTTCCCAGGCAATGACCACAGGGAGCCGGCTTCCGGTGGAGACTGCGAGCGAACGTGATTCACGGTTGACGCCGCCGGACGTGACCTGTTCCATGTCGGCGTGGAGAAGCTCGCGTCGATTTCAGGCACCCGCCATAGCTCCTCCACCGCCTCACTGCGGCGGTTGCTGTGTGATTGGGCGGTTGCTTCCGCCGCAGGTTTTGCTTTTTCGCTCACGAGTTCGGTGGTGGTGGATTGATCCAGGATGCTCTCGATGCGTAGCGTATTATCCAGCAAGGAGTCCACACTAGCCCCATCGTCGTCGTCATCCGCTTGACCATGTAAATTCGAGTCACGCTTGCCGGTGTCCTCTTCCCCAGCCGCCAGGTGGTGCTGTATCCCCATCCCAGCCTGCAGTTTCTGGATCGACGGCAGCACGGGAGATAGAGGCCGTGAGCGATCATCATCCGGTGCCTCATCATCATCATCATCATCATCATCATCATCATCATCATCACCACCATCCATGCCTGCGGCCAATTGACCGGGATTTTCAGGTGAGTTTCCTCCCTCTGACACGACAGACCGCTCCTGCTCGAGCCGTCGCCAATCTGGTTTTGTTGTTGAGGAACGATGATCATCATTTTCGGCTTCCTCCTCTTCTCCCTCTAGTTCTTTGATATGCCCATTATTCACAATGATCTTGCCCGTCTGTAGATCAATCTCATCGCCCACGTCTGTAAAGTCCCGGCCGTATTTCTCGAAGATGCCCTCGAAGATGGACTTCAGGCGTTGGTCGTTCTGCGCCCGTGCCTCGTGGAGGTCGAGGTCGTCCCCGCCGTCTTCCTCCTCGGGTTCGACTGGTAATGCGAACCGGGCGCGCTTGGTGGGTCGCTCCATGCTTTGTAGAGAGGTTGCAAGCTAGTAGTAGCTATCGGGGGTTTGGTGGGTGTGGGAAGAGGGAGTGAGTTGAGGGTTGATTCTGCGGAGCAGGGACGCTGAATGTAGGTAAGCCTTTTGATTTCTGCAATCGCGCCTTTGAAGTAACACCGCTCAATCTTGAGGACTGTTAGCTTGTGTTTCTCTGGTGCTAGTAAGAAGGGAAGGTGCACAGTAAAAAAAAAAAAAAAAAAAAAAAAAAAAAAAAAAAAAAAAAAAAAAAAAAGGGGGGGGGGGGGGGGGGGGGGGGGGGGGGGTTTATGACCTACATGGACGGTCAATTCTTCAAATGAGATTATGCGCTTTCATTCATGGACAGTGCGATTGCAAATTGATGGCACAAGGCAGAGGATTGATCGCTGGTCAAAGAGGGTAGATGAACGGAATCATCGGTCGCCAGCCTGGGTTCTACTGTGGTTTGCCTAGAGGTGAAGCACGAGCAATTGGTGATATTCTTGTAGTGCAGGTTCGCCAGCTCTTTTTTGAAGGCCCCCGCGGACGACGCCAAAAACACGCGGCGCGCGCACCCGCCATTCACCACCACCTCCACCACCGGGTGCCGCATGACGTCTCGTCTCGTCTGCCCCTGCCGAACCGACAGTTGCACTCGACTTCCAGCCAGTAACCTCTTACAACACCACCACCCTTGATGTCCATTTTCCCTCCACCTCCTCTTCTCCACACTGGGCTGTTATCTTCACACTTTCTAGACGAGGATGAATGAGAAGTCGCAGTCAACATCTTCGCAACCATGTATTGCCAGAACTGCCGCACGCCTCTCAAACTGGATGGCTCTCTCGAGTCGCTCAACCCGGCTGCCTTCGACCTGCTAGTCGGTAAGTGCAGTGGTCACATTTTACCACATGTGTATTTCTCCAGCATTTAACTAATTATGTATGCCTTCTGTAGGCTCTACGGGTAAATCCGTCCCAGAACATGGCGCCCACTCCTCCTCCAAGCCGAGCTACCCGCAAGAGCGACGGGAGCTCTACGACCGGGTATCCAAGCAATCCACAGCCCCCGTGTACAACCGGAGATCCATCCCCCCTCCACGGCAGGCGGCTCGCAATCAACCCCATCCCGCGAGACTCGGTCGCGGCGATAGCGGGAACATGTCGTTTGTGATGCTCACCGAGTCGCAAGTCGGGCCGCCTCACGGGATGATCCCCGGGACGAATGGAAACGGCGACGGCTCATCACACGGCATTAGGACCGTCGGCAACCCTGCAAACCACGATCATAGTCGAGGAGGCATCGACGACGGGTCGTTTGCAGACCAGGTCGAACGAACCGCCCGGCTGTTTGACATCATTTCCGCCCGTTCGGACATCGATCACCCTATTTGTTTGGAATGTACCGATCTCCTGGTGGAGGGGATGGAGAAACAGCTGGCAGACGCGAAGAAAGAGCGAGATGCATACAGCTCTTTTCTGCGCGATCTAAAGTCTTCGGTCCCGACGACGGAGGAGCTGGAGGCCGCGCAGCAATCTCTGCAGGAGACGCTAGCTGCGGAGGAGGCTGCGTTTGCGGAGCTTGTGGCCCTCGAGAAAGAAAAGGCCGCCTTGGATGAGGAAATTGCCGGGCTGGAGGATGAATCCCGTCAGCTGGATCTCGAAGAGGAGAATTTCTGGCGGGATCGCAATGCCTTCGCCCTCACGCTTTCCGAGTTTCAGAACGAACGCGATGCGCTGAACATGAAGTATGACCATGACTCCCGGCAGCTGGAGAGGCTACAGAGGACGAATGTCTACAATGATGCGTTCTGCATCGGGCACGATGGCTACTTCGGCACCATCAACGGGCTGCGACTCGGTCGCTTGGCTAACCCGTCGGTCGACTGGCCGGAGATCAACGCTGCTTGGGGACAGACGGCTCTGCTGCTGGCGACCATTGCTAGCAAGCTGGGGTTCCAGTTCCAGGGGTATCAAATCCAGCCGATGGGTTCGATGTCTCGGATTGACCGACTCGACCCGACCCGAACATCTCCGGCTCAATCCGTGATTGGTGGAGGCAACCCAGGAGCATCAGCGGCGCACAAGGTCACCACGCTGGATCTGTTCTCGTCGGGCGAGCTGCCGCTGAACCTGCCGTGGCTTCACCGCCGGTTTGACGCCGGAATGGTGGCTTTTCTAGAATGTCTACGTCAACTAGGCGAGTTTGTGGAGAAGGCTCCGGTGCCGGCGGGCTCCAATCGGCGAGGTCACACGGGCACCGCGGTGACGGGTCTGAAGCTGCCATATGAGATCAAAAAGGACCGGATTGGCGATGCGAGCATCAAGCTTGGGTTCAACCAGAACGATGAGACCTGGACGCGTGCTTGCAAGTATACCCTCACCTGCTGTAAGTTTTTACTGGCCCATGCCAGCAATGTCGCCAGTGCAGGCTCCAGTAACTCAGCTGCCGTGGCTGCTGCGGCCGTTGCAGCTGGAGAGCAGGCCGCCAGTTCTCCCACCAAATGAGACCATGTGGCTAAGTGAACCGACGCCGCGGCCGCAGCGAGGGCAACCCTCGAAGCACTTTGCGACTAGCAGTAGTCTAATCCATCCATGCGAGCCAATGCTGTCTCAGGCGCTAGCCACAGACGCTCAGCGGAGTGGTGTTGTCAATTCCTGGCCAGCTCGCATCAACAGCCACGAAGTCATTCTACCTAGCGAGTCATTACCTGGCCATAATCCCCTGCTAGCTGGCAATGGCAACAGGTGCCTCGGGCCGCGGTTAGGCTCAATCTCGTTCTGCCTTGCGTTATACTCCAGTAGCACTACCGTGAGCGAGCGTTGCACCCATTACAAATCGGCAGATGATCAACACCACAGCGCAGTAGTCAGATTCCATCGGCCGTGTCCCGTTCTAGGGTCTATGTCTCTGGCCAACGGCCAGATCGCGCGGGATGTCTTCCCCGATAGGAAAAAGAAAAGGGCTCGCCGCAAGCTCCGGTGAGAGAACCCTAGCCGGGTAAAAAGGACAAAAGGAGGATCAACAAAAAAAGCCGGGTTGTCCATAACAGGGCTACGCAGTGGGCCGCTGCATGTTTCTCGAGCTTACTTGGTTGTTATTCTTGGGACTGGCTGCTGGCTGCGGGTTGCGGGCTGCCTTGGTCGGGCGATGTGAGGACGGACGGGAGATCGTCCTCTAGTCTGCTTGCCTGCCTGACAGATTTGATGATGTAGAGGTTTCTTTGTCTGGATAACGATAGTCTCTCTGCCTCAGTCCCCTCGTCCTGCTCCTGACCCTGCGCCCTGTGTTCTCCATAGCAATTCCAGTCTTTGAACCAGCACTGGCTGTACCCGGTGATTAAGTATTTCGTTTGCAGGCTTGGACCTGTACCTGTACCCGTACCTGTACCCCTCCAATCACAGCTCGCATGGAAGACAGATACAGTATACGTAGGGACGGTAGCCCTGTCCTGTTTTTTTTGTTTTTTTGTTGCTGCCAGGCGAGAACAAGGACACTCGAAACAAAGACAACTGGAAGCAAGCACTGGACAATACCAAACAAGCCACTATTAGACTCTCGAATAGGAGGTTACACTCCGCGATCGACTAGTGGATCAGTAGATTGCTCAACTCCTAAGAAACTATCTCTCTCAACCATCGGACATCCGGTAGGACTCGGGGCTGTAAAAGTCACGATCGCGAAAAGGGACCGACCGTTTCGGGCCGCGTCAGCGACGAGAGGAGCAAGGCCACGAGGCGACGAGGCGATGAGTGTGTTCTTCTGTTGCTGCTGTTCCTCCGAGTGACTGCGCGTGAGAGTGCCAGTCAGGCAGGTGTGGTGGTCTGTGGCTGGTACTTTGTACCTAGGAAAAACACAGGTCTGATCCGGTGTGCCTGGATTCATCCTCGATCTGGTGGATTCCTTTGTTCCATTGTGACTCGAATTTGACACAAGTTCTAGGTTACCAGTCATCCTATCCTCGGTCTGGTGCTGGTGCTGCTGGTGCTGCTGGTGCTGGTGCTCACTTACTAGGTAACTTGCGCAGACACCACACAATCGGCCTAGACTGCACTGCACTGCACCGCACCGCACCACGCAAACTGATCCAGACTACGCTACGGCGTACCTTGCCAGACTACCGTTTCACCTAAATCTCTAACCACTTAGTACTCCAGACCGATACGGGAGTTAGTAGGTAGAGGGTAGGAGGTAGGAGGTAGTAAGTCAAGTCCACCTGTCAAACTGGAGCCTGGAACCCCACACGCAGCTACCAAGAAAAACAAAACATACGGGAATCGGAATTATGCCAGTTCCAGTTCTGGTTCCCCCGGATAGCGTAAATACTTCGAACTGTCTGTAGCGAGAAGAAGTCGATGAACCGTCCGATGGTCTATATGCAACTCCACTTACTTCCTTACATACATCCATACATCCATACATCCATCCATACATACATACATAATTCACGAAGCACCAAGGTAAAGCATAACTCCGAAAATACACACCCAGCAGCGGGCATACCTAGGAGACAGACTACCCAAGTTAGATCTCGATCTCTGGCTCGGACTCTGACTCAGCCGGTTGCCTTTTCCTGCCTGCGAGTAGGGTCACCTCCTGAGGGCAAGAATCCTTGCTTTGGCTTGTGCTTATCCTGTGACTTTTGCTTGTTGTCTTGGTTCTGGATCTGGATCTGGATCTGGTCGGTTGAGGGTCGGTTTTGTGCATAATGGTGAACTGTACTGTACTCGGTATTATGACTATCACTTAGCGTTTAGTCACTTGGGTGCGAGGTGGGATGAAGATCGGGGTGAACTGGGGTATGATGCATGTGCATGTGTTGGAGGTATAGTCGGGGCAGGGTTGGGTGTCTGTTGGAGGTGCTAATGCGGTTGATTGGGGTTGGCTACTTAGGACAGTACTTGGGAATCGACGATGGAGTTATTTCGTTAGGTCGGAATGAGGAACGTGGTTTGTTGTTTTATGGGCAGTTCAAGTCAGAGATAGATTGACCCGTCGATTAGATCTCGGTATTGTACTTTAGTTACCACCGATTTAGTAACAGACGCCATCGGCGCGTGTAGTAGTCCACGAATGGTACGAACCTCTTGTGGTGGTGGGTAAGTGGTTGGTCAATGAATATGAGCAGGGCAATCTAAGGTCGAGATCTGGAGATGGATAAATTTACTTGGAACAGTCGTGGATGGAAATGGGCGGGAGAGAGGGATTTAATCTACTGTACAATGTGAGGAGGGACACTGACGAACCAATCAATTGCATGGCCCTGGATGTCTACAGTACACCCACCCAGCTTGCATCTAGTGTCAGTTTGAGCGCCGTCAAGATCTGCTCTACGCAGTACTACTGTAGCTTCTCCCTCTTCTCTCTTTCCGTGTCGCCGTCAGCAGTCAATGCAAGACAGAGACACGCTGTGGCTGACGCATGGAATTCATCATCAGGAACCTACGCGGTTTCTCACCTTGTCGGTGGGTGACCACCTTACCTCATACAGGGATGCTTCCTCCAGCGTGACTTGACCAAACGTCCGGCGTTTACTCTGAACATGAACACCTGTGTCGCCGACACAGGAACAACCGACCGAAGCATGTGAGCCAGTGGATAGCGTCGTGATCGCTTCTACGGCATTCCTCCGCGTAGGACCTCACGCTACCTTCCTCCGCCCACCCCCGGTTTCATTCTATCTCATCTACCGTCAACCGTGGCCGGCTACTGGCCAGCCACTGATACCTCGGCCGGTAGGTCAATTCGTGAATGTGCGCGAATTTAATTCCCCTTCATGGGAGTTGACGAAGCCCCGTCGGCCGCAACTGCCCTCATAAGAATTGAGTTCGGAAGGCGAGCGCAGGTAGTATAACTGTACGAGAGCCCTGAGTGTGTGGCACATGGCCGCCCATCGGCCGAATCCCTGGAATACTTTTGACTGGTCAGTGAGAAGAGAGAGAGAGAGAGAGAAAAGTAGGCAGCTCGCACCCGCCATCGAGAAAGCCCCCTAGGGGTTGGAAGGGGAATGAAAAACGGAAGAAAAGGCCGGGGAAACATTAGCTAACTTCTCGCAGACCAAGACCCATGCTATCGGGGGCGGAATGGCCTGACCCTATGACCTTTTCAGCAATGCGGTATCGGAAGAGTGATGGCCAGGTAGCCGTTAACTATTCTTCCTGAACCAGTACTAGACGTGAGGGTACGCGCAGAGTGAGTGAGAAGTGGCGATGGGCTGTCATTGTTCTCCGGAGAAGGTATACCCACACACTTGTTAGTCTGTGCTTTGGTCGGAGGCCCTCCATGCGCCTGGCTGATGTCATCAGTTACCAAGTAACTTACCAAAAGTCCCACCTTTCAATTTGTTGTTTGTAAATATTGCAGCCAAGCAGACTTTCATCCATAGTCTAGCGGCGATGCCAATCACCGAAGTTGGCTAGAGTTGAGGGGGCGAAGAACGACGAAGGACAATGATGGGGGATGAAGAACTTACTTTCTGCTAAGTACAGAGTAAGGTACGGTTAGTGAAGATCAAGAACGAGGTTTGCCCAGCCTCGAGGGGTGGGCGGAGAGGAGGGGGGCAGGAGTACGTTAGAGAATAATGGATCATGGGTGCTCAGGCCCATTCGGTAAGCTGAACAGGAATGGCCGTATTGTCTTGTATTTTTGCATCCCCGTCAGTGTTTTGGTTCAATCAACGGGCGGACCTCCGATCCGAGCCGCCAACATGACGGGCCGAACGTTCGCTGGTCTGTTCCAGTTCTCGAATAACTAGTGCCTACAGTACTTCAAGTTACTAATTATGGTTGTAATGACTGGGGGTGGTGGGTGATGACGACAAAGAAAAAGACTGACCAGCAGTTTTATAAACACTCACTCTCATCTGCCTCGGCCGGATCTGGATAGCGTCCAAGCCACAGCGACGATGAACCTGAAGGTTTTGCTCTTCAAAGCTCAGGCCTCATTCTAGCTCCCCATCGGGGCATGATCCCACTTTGCCACACCGGTCATGGGCTTCCCTTGATTCATGCCTGACAGCCTCAAATGCTCCGTGTAGCTGGGGTTCGACAGAGATGGCTTCATCTACTGAGTGCACGGAGCGATAGAACCATACAGATCTGGAAATGGCTGTGGTTGAAAATACATGTGAGTATTCATAGAAACCGACAATGGGTGCTGGTCGCAGGGTGTCCAGGCCCTTTTTGCCCGATTGGGCCATAGAGCGTTTCGAGAGCGCAGGTTGGATTCTGGCGCCAAACCGACCAGGATGAGGCTAAGGAGTAAGTACTGGTCGATCCAGTCGTGAGCGTAGTCAGATCCCTGCCATGCTCCAAAAGCACTGTGCTTTTGTTCTTTTCCCAAAATCTGCGGAAGAAGCACGCGCGACGAGCAACCAGGTCAGTCAGGTAACTATAGCAGCGGAATTATGATCCCCAAGTGTTGCACCTGCAGAATTGGCGCAGGACTGGCGCAGGACTGTCTGGACGGGAACACCACCATCTGGGTCTATTCTTGCCTGTCACTTTGGAGAGGGTTCATGGTCCGCATTGCGTACGGAGAGGGGCGTGAGAGTCGTTGTTTGTTGTTTTAAATTGTTTGATACCAGACTCTCTTCCCTCTTGTTCGTTCTTTCTTCCTTCCTTCCCCTCCACCACCGCCGATTTGCCCATTTCCTCAGAGACATCGGCAGACTGGACGAAAATGGTAAGAGGTCTGCCGTCTGCTGTTGCTCGACACACTGAAACGGTGGGCGAGATGTAGGAGGTAAGGATGGAGTACTGTATGTCCATACATACATACATACATACTCCTTGTCCTGTAGGTACTAGGTACGGAGTACGGAGTACTACGTACGTACTCTACGTACGTATGTTTTCGAAGGATAAAGGGGGGGGGGGCGGCAGACAGACGGGAACGTGACAAAAGTACACGGACCATGTCCAAAGGGTCCGTGATTGGGACGCGGCAGCAGGGATCACAACATCCGCGGGCTTTTCCTTCCCATGGATCCAGCAGCACGTCGCCGCAACAGGCAAGCGGATGTCTTTAGCCTCGCCAGTCAGCAGTTGTACTTTTTGTTTAGCGCGGGTACTAGTGGCCCGGGGTGGATCTTACCCCGGCGGCGAACCACTCCCCGGTTGCCCTGTGCCTCTTTGCTTTCCATCCATCAGTTATTCAGTTATTGGTTGCTCTTTTCACATCTCCCTCCCCTCCACTTGATACTGAGCTGAGATCTTGAGATAATCAGTCTATCGACCGAGATATCGACTGAGATATCGACTGAGATACCCTATCCAATGACAATCACCTACAAGAACTCTGTCACTACAGTCCAGTACGTCTCTACTTGGGTAGCCTTCTCGATCACCTCGTACCTAAATGGGTCTAACTCACTGGCGTCCCCCATTGAATGAATCCCTACCGTGAATGGATGGAAGAAGGAAGGAGAGTTGCCGGTCTCGGTTTGTTGGCAGCGTTTGAGTGGAAGATAGACGACCATCATAGTTCTAGCTTGATGTCTGTAGCTGAAGTAAGAAGAATGCATGCTCAGTACGAACATCCAGACCGTCCGTAGTTGGTGGAAGCAGGGCGGTACCTACAGTATTGTATGTACTCATTCCTACCTAGAACTTTCCTGACCTGACCTGACCTGCCCATTGACTGGGGTCATAATTTCTTTTTGGTCTTCGATTTTTCCCATCTCTTTTCTAGGTTTTTCTTTTTCTTCCTATTTCCCTTTTTTTTATTTCCTTTTTCCCTCTTTCCTCTTTCTCTTTCTCTGTTTCTTTTTTCGGTGTTGGTTCCGTTTTCTCGAATTGCAGCATGTCCAGGAAGCAGTAGCAGCCGGAATAATCAATAATCTCGTGGATTATATGCTGAGGGAGTGACAGCTACTATCACCACGCCTATTTCCGATTTCTATCCACTCTGGGGCTTTCCTCCAAGCCAATCTCACTGGCGACTGGGGCAAAGCTTCATCGCCTTGACTGTTCGACACCGTGACACCTTCAACTCTTCTTTCTTCCCCCCCCCCCCCCCCTCTCTTTCTTCCCTCTGGATCGCCTCCAGAACTACTATATCATTGCATCCTCACGTCCATTTTACCGGCCGCGACTAACTCCATAACGCTTTCTGTCATTGCATCGGACCACCTCTATTGAATCGCTCTTTTTATCTACTTCCTTCTGCTGCCACGACCTCAAAGATCCTCTTCCGGCTCGCATTTCCGCGCTACCGCTCCTGAACGCTTCTACTTCTTCTCCCTTACCACACCACCATTAGTTATCCACTCCTCCGTTCCCCCCAGCATTTGGTCCTAGAATCCACAGTCCACAGTCCGCAACAGCCCCGTTCTTTCAGGACAACGACCTGTGGTGGAGGCGCAAATTTAAATCCATCAATTCAAAGAGGGTCCAGACTGGATCCAGAGTATGAAAGGCGGAGATCAAATCACTCAGTCACTAATTCAGGATGAATGGCTCCCTGCCTCCCGTTTCTTCCATTCCCTTGACTACCTCCGCCATCATCAACAACAACAACACCACCACCATCACCACCACAACAGCAGCAACCTCTTCTACTTCCACGACCGCCAACAACACCACCACCACAACACCCACCCCTACCATCTCTTCTTCGTCTTCCTCCTTTAAGAACAAGTTTAAACCTCGAAAATCAGAGGATTGGACTATTTATCGGGAGATCATTCAAAGTCTTTACCGCGACGATCACTTAAAGCTTCGTGATGTGAGGCAATATATGCTCGAAAATTATAGCTTTGAAGCATCGTATAGCCTTCCGTTTCCTTTTCTCAGTCTTCTCCCCCGACACTTCTCTACTTGTCATGCTTTCACTTGCTGTTTTGACTCTCCCTGACCCTACCAGTGCAAGAGCTCGGCCCCTTTCTGCATCTGTAATAAAGATCGAGAGAGAGGATGGGACAGTGCGCGCTGATCTTCATCATTACTTTTTGCTTTTTCTCCCCCATTCTCCACCCATGAGTGCCACCCATTTGACCACCATCCCCTGACTTGGAAGCTTTCTAGAGAAAAACAATACAAAGACCGCCTGGCTGCGTGGAATGTCCGCAAAAACATCAAGGCCAAAGAAGTCCATATCATGCTCCGCAAGCAACAAAGGCGAGCTGCAGAGGGCAAGCGGACGGCGTTTCGAGTGGCTGGCAAGACGGTCGACACCAAGCGCATCTCCCGCTTCGTCCGGAGATATGGCAACCACTGGGAACTGGATGATGCTCGTGAGAGCATCCATCCGAATACCATCCACCCGAGTGTGGAGAGTCAGCCAGCGATTCCGCAAACGCAGCAAGAGTTACACCAAAATCTTCCCACCAGCCCTGAGCCAGGTAAGCTTTTCGGTCCCGAGTGACTTGTTGTGCATGCATCGCTCATGCTGCGTCACAGAGACCCCTACCGACATCGAATACTACACACCGGAGCCCGATGAGAGAGCTATGACCCTGTCGCCCTCGACCGAGACTCCATCTCGTTTTCGTGAGGAAGCCCCGCCCCGCTCTGGTAGCATCTGTCCTACAGTGCTCCTGCCATGCCGTTTGCATGTCTCAACGAGCATCTCGCTTGTAGGCAGGAGAGCTAGACTAATCAAGTAAATGCAGACGATGACAAGCTCAAGCTCGAGCCACTCCCCGAGCCCGAAGTGGACCATGCCCAACCTTTACCGGTTTCACCTACTCCCTCCGCGCCAGCCAAGCCGCTATCCAACGCCCTCCCTGATGAAGACTACTGGAAGGCGCTCGATGTGTTTCAAGGCCAACTCTTGACCCTATCCAGGACACTTGATCAGACCATGTCTCAATTCACCTCTCCGCATGACGATCTATCACAGTAATGTCCCTTCTGCGAATCGCCTATACCCTTCTGGCCGATAATCCGCCACTTCCACCAGCCGCACCTGTGATATGTATGTTTGGAAATGCCCGGCCCTTGCTGCACTTTCTGCTCTGAGCCCAGGCAACTAGCTTGTCCCGTGCTTACGATGATGTTGTGATCACTACCAGTCCATCGCCACTTCGCTTCCTGCATCATTCCTCACTGTCATACTTACAAGTTCACATGTGCTTTTCCTTACTTTGCAAATTGCCTACTATATAGAGCATCTATGGTCTAGTTTTATTGGGAGAAAAGGTCTAGTGTAGGTCTTGGTATACCTAAGAAGATAAAGGGAGACATCTGGTCCAAGCTGGTATGCTTGTCTAATGATGGTTGCTGCTTTAGTCACTGGCTGCTACACGGTTGCTCGGCCTTTTACCTCACGCCTCTGGACGAAGCACTTGATTGATGATTCCGTCGAACGATTCACCAACGACGCAGCTGACGCCATCAGACCCTGTCGATTGCATGAGGTCTTCAGCCTGTGGTCATCTACGGGGGTATACACGGGCGAAGGCCACTGTTGCAGTCTACTCCGTCACTCATCCGGCCAGTCAGCGCCATGCATCGACCAAGCTAGCTCTCCAAATCGACAGCCAGCCTTCGTTTGATACCGACGGAGATGCCGGAGAGCTCGTGTATACTTATATACTCCACCAATCCACGCCGACCTTCCAGACATGCTCATCACTCAGAGAGTTGTTTGAGCTGTCTCGACACACGTTTGGACTTTACACAGGGGAATGGGAAAGCATGCTACGATCAAAGGGCGGTTTAGAGGATACGCAGACAACAGCCAGACCGGACCACAGAAGGATCGAATGCAAAACTGGCAAGGATTAATGCAGACTACAGCCACTTTCCGAACCGCTTCTTTTAGTCTTCGCAATAGACCTCGCGTCTCGACTTACAAATACAGCCTGCGATAATATCGAAATGGTCACGCCGAGTTATCACGCATGATTGAGCACTTACCGGAATCAGCATGCTCGAAATCCTTTCGCCAGTCCGACGGATGATAGTTCCAGACTGAACCATCCCCAGGGTGCATGTACATTTGAACTGAAATCCGGTTTCTCACAAGAGCTAACCAGCCAATTAGCTTTCAGCTAGGGAAAAAGGGGGGGGGGTCTACACATGTGGGCGTGGAAAGTACAGTGGGGACAGTGCGCAAGTTTAGAAGTACAGGGTGATAACTTGGTGCTTTTTGTTGCGCTGCTCGGCGGCAGGTGCTCAACCCTGCCCACCCATTTGTATGCAGTCTGTACATATATACGGTAGTAGAGGTTGATCCTGGTAATAATCGACGAATAGTCGAAGAAATCCATGATGGATTGGTGCTTGTGTTCTGCCTTGAATCCTGTCCTGTACAATCGTCCATAAATTGTATCGAGGTAAAGACGACAGTGTTCGGTAACAGGGAAAGGTACTTTATGGAGTAGAAAGGCAGGCAGCCCATTGATCGAATCAAGGTGGCCATATCGGTTGTACTTCAATTGCTCTGACTTGACTAGTAGCCTTGCCTTGCCTACTTTGATGGTTTGCACACTCTGCTTGTTTCTGAGCGGGGTGGGTTCCGGGAGAAGGCAGGATGCATTTGATGCTCGGGGTGCTTAGAACAAACAGGGCCCTAAGTACTGGAAGTACTATTGACAAAGGATTGTATTCTTGATCTGGGTACCCACCTCCCTCCCTACATAGTACTGTCCTGTATGTACTTCCACTGTAGTGAGTAAGTAAGCAAGTAAAGCCATAAAGAGACCGTCCTTTGGCCAGCCCACCAGACCGCACACCCCGTTCGTTTCCTTGGATATCACCGCCACCGCCGCCACCGCCACCATCATCATCACCACCCATGCACCAGGATCGGAGGGAGGATATCAGTGATACGGTGGCCGTCAGTGGGATGATCCCTTCCCACTCGTTATACCCAGAGGTACATGGACCGGACTTTTCTCAACCGGTCTCCGGTTGAGAATACATCGATTTGTGGTGGCTCTTGACCGGGGATATCTACCTACTCGTAGTTCCCACCCATCCTCCCGAGTCAGGGTTATTTCGTAGTAGAATCCGAGGTCTTGAGGACAAGTAGTCCTCGTACATCGAACTAGGGTGAATGCCACGATGCTCGCCCACTGTACTGATCAAAGTAGGGCAGCTACATCGACCAATCCATCGCACCGATGCTAGACCTATCCTCTTAGCCTTCAGCCCGTTCAACCAGTCTAAATCATCGGATGCATTCTAGGCAGTAGAGCCAACTAAGAGGAAGGAAGTGGTTTCAACTGATAGAAAGGAAATGCTTGAATCGTCTCGTAACATACGCATTCGCAGCAAGCATTTTTTTTATTCTCCTGTACACCGGTTGGAACACCCCAAGGAAATCATATCAAATCAATGGTGAGAACGGAAAGAGCACAAGTGACGTGTCGTGCGTCTCTTCCTTGTCGCTAAAACAACTAGTAAGAAGTACATCTGAACCATGAACCATGCCCAACGCTAGAAAAAAAAAAAAAAAAAAAAAAAAAAAAAAAGGGAGAGAAGAACACTGAGAAAAACATGCGTCGTCAACTCAATCGACCTGGGTTGCGCCCCGGGGCCGGCATCCACCGCAGTCCGTGCTGTCTGTGAATGAAGAAAAATCAAAAAGAGATTATGATGTCGAGCAGAGGTAAAGTCGAGCAGAGGTAAAGTCGAGCAGAGGTAAAGTCGAGCAGAGGTAAAGTCGAGCAGAGGTAAATTCGAGCAGACGGTAAAGGCGAATCACGAGTAGAATGCACTCTTCTGGAAGCTCTCCGGCGAGATGTCGCCCATCTTGCCCTTCAATTCGGGTTTGACAGTCGCGTCCGCCACTTCTTCCGTCACGTGAGCGCGCAGTGAGTTGCTGCGGCTGTGGGCTTCACTGCCCGAAGTGATGGCCTGCTGCTGGGGACGACGCTGGATGGTTTCCAGGTACGGTCCAGGGAGGTATCCGACACGACCGTCCCGGGCCCGACACCGCCACCACTCCGACGCGTTACCCATGGGGTCCGTCTTGCCGAGGACAGCGACAATGTCGCCCTTCTTGACGGCCAGGTCAATCCCAGAGCTTTCCTGCGCCTCGGGAGTGTAGTCATACAACACGCGGCAGAAGTCGAGCTTGGAGGGATCCAGCGGGGCCTGCTGCGCGGGCTCGCCATTCGGGCCGAGCATCATCTGACGACGCTGTTCCTCCTGGGAGCGTGCGAGAGCCTTGATGAGCTTGCCCATCAGGTACGGAAGACCGAAGACGGCAATCAGAAACATGAAGAACGGCTTCTTCGAGGGCTTCGGCGGGGCGGGAGAGCCATCGGGCAGGGTCGCAGCGACGGAACGACCATTCAGAAAAGCCGCGAAGGCAGCCGGCGTGAGCGCCGTGGCATCCGCCGGCGGCGGACGACCGGTGATCTTTGCGATCAGGGTTCTGAACCAGCGGATCAAGGTGAAGATGCCGAGAGCAGAACCCAGCGTGTTGCGGAGGTTTCCAAGCTGCTCCGCGACTGAGACCATGGCTTCACATAATATCAGCATACGTAGATCCCCCCAGGACAAAGATGCAACATACCGAAAAACGAGCTGTGGGTCGCCATGTAGGTGCTCTCCAGCATCTGGGCGAAACCACCAAACGCACCGACAATGCTCTCGATCATCTGGAAAGTCGCCTGGGTGCTTTGACTGAACGAGTTGGTGAGGCTGTTCGGGTCATTCGGATCTCCAGGCATGCCGCCACCATACATCCCTCCCATGCCACCGTACATCCCGCCGTAGCCTCCATAGCCGCCATACATTGAGCCCATCGTCCCGAAGCGAGAGTATGGTGAAGAGTAGGCCCCGTAGCCACCATAGCCTCCATAAGGACTGGTGCCTAGCCGAGAGGCTCCATATGGCGAGTAATTGGATGCTGTGCGATTCACGACGGCATTCAGAGTGTCGGGACGAGATGGGAGATCAGGGGTGGCAGACGTGGAGGTCGGAGCGGCGCCGGTGGTTGCGGCCGAGGCTGGAGAAGAGGCCGTCATCGTTGTTGCTGGACCGGCCGTTACGGGTGTGGTGGTTGCGACAGATCCTGGTTGTGAGGTCAGTCAGAATGCACCGAGCTGGAAAGACTCAGTTTGTGGTGCACATACCGGCCGAAACGCCGGCCCTTTCCCACGGTTTAGGTGGCGAAACCGAAGCCATTGATAAGCGGGAATGTGATGGTACCTCAACAGTCTCGCATGGGCAGAAAACCAGCGAGAGGCCGGTCGGGGCGAGACTGGGAGTAGGATGGGGAGTCGAGAGGATGGAAAGGACAGTATTGCTCGAGTGGGGTGAGGTGAGTGGAGAGAGGAGAGAGGAGAGCGAGAAGGAGAGCGAAAGCAAGAGAGCGAGAGATAGCCAAGCGTAAAGATGGAGGTGGGAGGCGGTGGAGAGTGGAAGGTGTGGAAGGTGGAGTCACAAAGAGGAGAAAAGAACTGCCGCTGCATGTGGTTTACCGTCTCTCGGACAGCGGCCCACCCGCTGGGCCGAGGTTGATTTGATCGCAGTCTGGGCTTTCCTCCGAGTCTCGGTTCACCCACAAACAAACTACTTACTCATTCTATCTGGTATTCGCTCGGTATCGCATTGCACAGGTCAATCAGGGATATCTTATTCTAATCGGCAAACAACAATTGCTCCATCCCAATAACTTATAATACAGTAAGCGGCCTATCTCCCGCCAGTCCAAAACTCCAAACGATGCAAAATCGACCATCCACACCCCCCCCCCCCAATATAGGCCGATAAAGATATGTCTACAACATTGAACACAAGCAATACAGCCTACAACTCATCGCGCGGTGGCATGGCCGTTCGAGGAGTACGGACCTTCCATGCGCGTGGCGGCACCGGAAGTCCCAGCCAATAATTCCACACACGAGCGATCTCGATCACGATGATCTCACCCCTAAAGTTGCGAAGTTAGCATGCGGACAAACCTATTAGGGTGGAAGCCAACTTACAGTGTCTTCGGAACGTTAGCCCAGCTCTTCAGCACATAGACATATGTATCCCAGACAAGGGAGAATTCGGCCTTGATATCGTCCCAGAGGGTGTCGTCATCGCGGCGTTCGCGAACCCGTTCCCAGGGAAGCTTTTCGGAAATATACACAAAGTCCTCATCGTCGTTCTCATAGTAGAACGTGGATCCTCCATCCTTGAGCAAACGCCGGGTTTTCTTGTCGCCACGGTCCTTCGACGGAATGCTAGCGGGGATCGAGAACACCTCGCCGTCCCCAACCTCCATGGCGCGGTGAAAGCTCCGAACTGCGGCGACACTGTGGGAGATGCGGCCAAGAGTGTTGATCAGAGCCACCAATTCGGTCCGGCGCAGCAGGGGATTCTCGCCGTTCTTGGTCTCGTCGTATTCAAAGAGCACTTTCAAGGCGGTTCCGTATCCATTGACCTGAAGCTTGCCCCAGAGACGGCACTTGTCGCACCCGACACAGTCCATCAGCCGACTAACATTGCGGAAGCGATTGCGGAAATCTTCCTTCAGACCAAGGGCGCTTGGGTCCTGGAACATGATGTTTTCATCAAAGATCTGAGGCCGCTCGGCAAGGGTGGCAGTCAACTTCGACACCTTCTCCCGAGTTTGAATATCTTGTTCGGGGTCGCTGGTGCAGTAGTTGTAGCTCTTCAGGTGCTTCTGCAGTTTTGCCACAGCCCGGGACACGAGAGCGTAGTTGAAATACAGGTTGGAGATGCGCTCGGGGTGGTCGTGCAAGCGCTCCTTGAAACATTGCAGGTTGGGATGCCACTGCCCGGTTGTTTGGTTGAGGTAGTCCCAGCAGAGATGCGTGGAGATGGAGGCATGCATTCCGCTGATGAGGCGATGGAAGACCCGCTTCTCAAGGCACTCATTGTCTAGGGGCAGACGATCCGGGCGCTTCAATTCCTGCTGTAGCACACTGCGGAAGTCGTTCATGGCTTCAAGGTTTCCCAGTTGGGGGTGGGGCGACAGCTCCAGCTGGGAGGTTGGCTTGAGGAAACAGTTTTCGCGATAGATGGCATCCCAGACCTGGTGGGCACCCATACCAGCATAGCCAGTAAATCGCTCGGGGTTGTCCACCAGACTGACGTAGTCTCCTTTGCTGCTAGCGCCCTCATCTTCAGGAACACAGTAGTCTCGCTCGTCGCATTCATCATCGTACTCGACGACACAACTTTCTCCCACGTTTTCGCCCAGCATCCCTTGGAGGGGACGATCGCTGGGCCGCTCTTTTTGCTGCCTGCGCCCTGGATGGCCGGCCTTGGGACCCTCGAGTTTACTCAACTCCTCTGCCCGCCATGTTAAGGGAATGTCTTCCTCCGATTCGATTGTATTCACTGAACATGCGATGTTTCCACACATGCTGTTGGCGTCCGACCAGAACGGACAGACCTTGTTGAAGAGATTGAGCCGGTAGTATGAGAAGAAGTCGGTTTCTTGGGTGATAGACTGGAGGAGAGGGTAGACTTGATCGTTCAGGGCATCGAGGGTCGTATAGGAAACACAGGCGTCGGACACCATGGCGGTAGGGTCAAGCTGAACAAAACACGATCAGTCCCATGCCTCTCATTTGATTCGCGAGGAAAGCCGGCAGGATCCTGAAATCTAGAAGAGCTTGCGACTTACCGCGCATTTGTCATGGCCATATTGAAGGCCAGTGTTGCCCTCATGGCTCTCAGCGTGGGTGCGCGCCGAGAGGGCGAATACAGCCAAGTAGAAAATTTTGGCCGCAGAACGCATCTTGCTGCGGGCCAAAGAAACAGGAATTAAGAAACGGACGTATGGCGGAGGCAGAGCACGAGCTCTCCCGAAGCGACAGGCAAAAGCGAGATCCCAACAACCGTGTTGAGGTCGCTTTCAGGTATGTGTTTGTTTGGTTGTTTGTTTATATGTATAGACTATAGTGGGCGGAGATTCGAAGCCGGGATTGACCTTCACATGAAGATCATCAACGGCAAGGGAAAGTCGAGCCGAAGTACTCCGGGGAGGGAGCAAGTCAGTCAAAGTCAAGTAACAGTTTCAGGCCAAATGACACTTCGCGGGGCCGAGCCACAAATAATTGCAATCAGTGTCACCACCAAAACGAAAGTTGGGTCAAGGGACAACGAGGGATGAGACGTCAGTAGTCAAGAAGGAAAAGAATGAGAGAGACTTGTTGTTGCGAAGTGGACAAGCTGTCCTTGGTGGCGGCGCGGAGTTGCATGACCCGCAAGTAGTCATCAATTATCAGAATAATCATAATAAAGAAGGTCCCCTTCCGACGGTTCGATCTCGGTTTATCGCCGCCCGCCTTGCGCCTCGAACCTCCTGACTCCGGGTTCTGTTGGTCTCTGCTAGATAGTTCAGTCGACTTTTCATATTATTAATTATCCTGACTCCTGATTCCAGAGAGTAGAGTGTGGGCATATCTTCCGGCAAAGTGAGCAAACCCACCCGGATCGTACCTCAGCCCATACTAAGCATGCCACCCTCACATACATCGATCGCATGGATCGACTTGATTGAGAGCCTGTGACAAAGAAAGGAGGTGTTTCCAAGCATCGACCCGGGCGCGAGAACAAGGAGGTCGTTTCTAGTCACTGTACTCTCATTGTGAAGGGATGAATGCGATCAGGGCCAAGACTAACGCCCGCCCCCACCACTGCTATTGTTTCGTCGGGTTATTGTCAGGATCGAGGAGAAAGCCTGCCTTTCGTGATTCAAGTTCAGGAATCATGAAGAGAGGACAAAACTGCAGAGATAGTAATAGTGACTGACGCATGACCCGGCACGGAAGATCATTGACCGGCGACAGTTGTCATCTATGTATGGCTCAATGTACGTACCGGTGCAACCCGTCTTAATAAAGCAGCGTGCGGTACAGTACGGAGTACAGTACCTGAGCTACATCACCTTCAATAGCAGCAGCCGCTTCAACTTAGGACGAAAACTACTGACCGTACTTAACTCGGAGGGTGAGCGACCCCGATTTCAAGCTTTCTGAGGTGTCAGGCAGGTGTATGATTACTACTAGTGTCTCCAGGTTTGGACTGGTCCCACCTATACACTACATGTCCATCAACTACTTCTCCCTCCTGAATGAGCGGTGTCGAATCAAGTGATACGTCGTCCAATTGTAAACTGTCAAGTAACCAGACCGACGCAAGAGTCAGGACATAAAACTAAAACAAAAAACTAAACAAAAATACGTCCCGATGTTGACCCCCAAAATCCTGAATCATAAGAGCATCGACTGAAGATGCCCCTCCAGACATTAACTCCGTGCTTCAACTCCGATTAAAAAGCATAGATTGTCGTCTTTTTCTTCGCCGGAGCCATGGCCGGTAGACAGTAGACAACACGGTATATATAAATACAGGGAAAGAAAATGTATCCAAGTTCTCTCTTGGCATAATGTCATCAGACATTTGCGCGCTCGCGATTCAGCCTGGAATCGACGCAGGAGCACGGTTTTCACAGCCGGTACAGTCCGGCGGGAATGCTCGCAACTTGACTCTAGTTCGTTCCGCGACGGTTACGACGACGAAGACTGAATCTTTTTCGCAGACTTGCAAATGGGTTCGGATGAGGGGTGTTGTAAAAGGGGTCATTCTTGAAATCCTCATCCTTGAATTTCTGCCCAATAATTAGAGACCGGCCATTCACTAACAGTGCGGTACGCAAGACAAGTGACTTACCATGCCGGGACAGCGCATAAAGTTCCCGTAGTCGTTCATCATGTTGTTTCCCTCCTCGTATTCGTATGTATGGCCCTGAGGGTCCGTGTGACCTGGGGGGTAATGAGCCACACCATCGAGGGGGCGATGACTATCGAGGCAGTCCACAATTTTGTCATGTGGGGTAGCCTTGAGGGCCTCTGCGTTAGACTCGCGCAGGGCAGCCACCGGGCTGAGCTTGTCGATCACATTTCGCTCGGGGTAGACAGCATCGTAGGGCCCTTCATGGTGGTACTGATACACTCCGGCGTCGTCCAGGCGGTCGATAACATCGGGGTTCACCAACTGCGAGTGTCGAGAGAACTTCGGTTGATGCGACTGGGTACGAGCGTGACGTTGCGAGTGATGGTGATGACTGGGACTCGCTTTTCTACGTCGTTGCTCGACAGGCTGATGTTCTGGAGAACCCGAATAGTGAACTGATGGGAAAGAAGTAGAACGCTGACGGTTCAACGTCCGGGTGGGTGCTGGGGAGGAAGACAAAAATTGTTGGTAGGGATTAAGGTTTCCCATCTCAACTTCCGTATCGAGCAGGTTCATTGAGTGCCTGGAGTGGAGGAAGGAGGACTCATGTGGATTTGGGAAAGATGGGGCGATGACCGCTGCCATATTGAAGAATAGTAGGAGAGTAGAGAGAGGAAGAGATAGGAAGGTTGAGAGTTTTTTGAGCCTTCTCTCGAGGATTTCGAACCGGCGTGCTCGAGAGTGATATATATCGGTCAATATTTCGAAGTGTGCCTATATATGTATGTAGGCACCTAATAGTATTGATTACTAGTGAATAGCCTGCGTGATGCAGCCCGCAACTCAAAAAGGGTGTGGGGCAAGCGGTGAAGTCGTGGCAGTTCGTATAGTTCAATAGACTGTGAACCTTGAGTCGATTGTCTAACCCGCAGTCACAGGAGTCACAGGAACGACGGGGATTGGTGGGAGGAAGAAAGGAGGTTGTGTCAGGAGAGTAATATTGGTTGTAGTTGGTCGTAACGGGAGTTATAGGCGTGGAGTAGGAACAGTAGTAAGTAGGAGTAGGTGTGGTCGTTGCCGTGGTAGGAATCTTGGGAAGGAAGAAATAATAATTGTTGCAGAGCAAAAAGGAAAGAAGCGATCTATAAGATGAGGTACTCATAGGAAGGATCATCCATCCGAGTCATCAGCAGCCGAACAGTCCGGCAGTCAGTCAGTCTCCTCATCATTTTTCTTTTGCCGTTCATGACGTGACAAGTTGCGTATGCTCCGTATGATACTGCCGCGCTCCCGCGGATCCACGCGATCTGGGAGGGGCCCTTGACACGCTTATCGATAAGCCTTCCCCTTCCAGTTTAGCTGCAGGATAGGGCCGGAAGACTAGACCCGTTCTGTTGCATCGGACCCTTCTCGATGATGAAAAGAACCCACGAAGGAACAGAGGCGAATTTTCGATGCCTCGCCGCACGTCTCCGGTCTGGCCTCCATGAACCACTCAGCGTGGTCGGTGCTGCGTTAGTGACTCTATGGGACTTCCGGAGGGAATCTCTGGATGCCCCTCCCTCCCCTCCCCCTCCTCCTGGTGGCAATGCTGCTCACTGCGCGATCTTCCATCTGTCGTCACGCTCGTATGCTCTGACTGGCATTGCTGGCTGACTAACCTTGACCCTCTTCTGACGTTCCAATCCTGTTGACATCATCACCAGCAATGTTGGGCGCGACGCACATGACAAAAATTTTTCATTTCTACCCGAGCCATGATGTTACCTTCCATTTGAAATAGCTTGACATCAGCGAAGAGAAGAGGTCTTTGAGGTTGAATAGTGAACCTTCCGCGTGATCCGAGCACAAGTCCTTCAGGGTCTTCAGCCTTAAGCTTATCGTTAGTATGCCGGTAGTGTCAGCGGCTCAAGTCCAACCATACTCAAGTAGGACAAGTATAGCCTGGCTGAAACAAGTTTTGGAAGTCTTGGGGATCAGCAGCAATGCACGCGCCGTCTACTATAATCTTCCCACTAACGCCTGGCCTGTCAGTGCCTGTCAGTGCAAGCTCGATAACTAGTGAGGTGGAGACTCAAGGGTCTAGAGTCTGAAGTCTGAAGGCTGGAGTCTGGAGTCTAGAGTCTGGAGTCTAGCCGTGCTTCGTATTCTACGGAGTACCCTGCACTGCACTGAATGATGCATGGACACCGTTGTTACACCGGGCTCAGGGCCGGTCCAATGAATCATACATGATTCCAGGTACCAGGAACAGGGTAAGGCAGGGTTTCCATGGTGCAGTCCAGTCGAGAGCACCTTGCATATTCTCTACGCATCATCCACTTATGACAGCCACATTGCTTGCTTGCTGAAGAACCAGCGGGTAATCTTCCTTTCCATGGCTCCCATCCCGGCGATTGAAGTCTGGGCCCAGGATGAAAGCTTCGCACCCGCAAAACAACAAGTACATAAGACTATATATGTACGCACTCGTGTTGCCTGTCCGTCAGGCTGCATCTGAGCCACAATGTGTGATATGTATGCAATGGAACAGTCACAGAGTGCTTTACTTCAATAAGTCGTCTCGGGAGTTGAAAATGGTAGCCTAATACGAGACCGCAGACGTCTCATAATCCAGAAAAAGCAAGCAGGATCAAAAAATAGCACAGCCAATAACTTGGGAAAGGAGCACGTTGGTTCTTGACATGGCACTACTTCGGCTGCGGAATCAACCACCGTACTACATAGACGTATTATAACCGATCCCGCTTAATTCTCCCGCTGAACTAAACCTAAACCTTGAGAGACAACCCATTCATTCCCTGGGCTAGATCCGATCAACTCTTGTCGCACCACGCCGGAGGACGGTCGATTGTGCTGGATATGGCCTTAGTGCAATACTCGGAGTCAGAATCAGAGTCAGGGTCGGATTCCGAGCCAGTCCACGCGTCTCAACCACCCAACAAAAAGCTCTGTACGACCAAACCACCGCCCACCCAACCCCGTCCTCTGCCCCCGCTACCAGCAGCTTTCCATGACCTCTACGCCTCAAGCACACGGGTCAGTGTCAGGGATGACCCGAGTCTTCATGGAGGCCGTAAACGGGTCATCCCTCACATTGAGGGCAACTGGCCAACGCATCTATATCTGGAGTGTAAGTTGTCTTCGTCCGTCCAGCGAACAACCACAGCCTCTTTCCCTTTTATGGTAGACTGCGAATACGAGCAAGATATAGAAGCTAATATAAGAAACCCGGGCGCGCGCCACGACGATCAGGGTACGCGTCCAGAGCCGAGCTTAGTCTTCTGAGCGATGTGATACTGCAGATCCAGCAAAGGAGCAGCACAAAGCTTCAGAGCCTGCTCCATAGCGATCTTGGCGCCCAACTGCCTCTCCACATCAGTCTATCCAGACCGGTGGTGCTTCGGACCGAGCAGCGTCAATCCTTTATGGAGGTGTTTCAATCCGCCGTGAAGCAGTCCCGTGTCGCCCCGTGCGTTTTTCTTCTCCTGTTCTAAAATCGGCACACCGTGTGTGTGTGTATTTTTTTTTCTTTTCTTTTTCTTTACAGAAACACCATCTGACACCCTCACTCAATTTCTCAGGTTCAACACCACAGCAGATAGTCTGGACTGCGTATCCAATTACGAGAAGACGCGGTGGTTCTATGTCTTGCGGGTGCGCACTCCCGAGGAAGACCAGTTGAACCGTCTGCTGCGACAGTCCAATCGTGCGCTGGCGCGATTCGACCAACCGCGTCTTTACGAAAAGGCTGTGCCGTCGTCGTCGGCGGGGAATAGAACTGCGACAGCAGTGAAATCTTCGCGAGCGAAGACGAAGCCTGAGACAGAGACGGAGACCGACTACTCGGGTTGCTTCCACATCTCCGTTGCCTGGAGCCTGACCGCGCCCTCGACGGCAGAGAAAGAGCAGCTGGCTAACATCGATCTGCGCGCGCTCCACGACCTCAAGATCGGCTTCGACTGTGTGAAGGTGAAAATCGGCAACCAGATCTCGAGCATCCTTTTGAACTGACTCTCTGGGAGACAACGAATTCTCGGGATGTGTTGTACAAATTCACAATGAATGAATGAATGAATGAATTGCATGAGTCTGTGTTTGTATGTACTGCAGTAGAAGCGGTACCAAACGGTCCTATACCATATCCTCCGTAAATTACACCCAAAGCGGCAATGACCTCAGCCCGCGGTCGCGCTAGTGAGCTTTCCTTCACCTAAACACATCAAATCCATCCATCGCTCTTTCTGCCAAACACAAACACAACCACAAACATTACAGAACCACCTAAACCACCACCAAAATGTCCACCTCGCACATTCACCCACCGCCCATAACTCTGGTACCTCCCTCCCCTTCCCCAGTCCCCCCAAGCCCCCCAAAAAAAAAAAAAAAAAAAGAAAGAAAAAGCCCCTAACCCCGGCAGCACAGCAAGACCTCCAAGCCTTCCAAGCCAAACACTTCCCCGACCCAAACCTCGCAGCACAAACACCCCTAGCGACCCATCCCATGCCCCAAGCTCACACCACCACCAACACCACCACCACCGCCTCCACGCCCGCAGAGCAGTCTTATTATGAAGAGGAAAATGAAGAAGACGGACTAGGCTACTACCCCGACGGGGTCAAACGGACCCTCACGGACGAGCAGATCCAGATCTTCCGGCATAGTGAGATCCATGCGCTGTTGCGGCAGAGGGAGTTACGCGAGGAGGCGGAGAGGGAGAGGCGCGAGGAAGAGGAAGAGGACGAAAAGGCGCGCCGTACGGGGAGGGGGGTGGAGCGGCGTGATGATGATGATGATGACGGCGGGGAGGAGTGCGGTGGGGAGGTGGTGCTGAATGTGGCTGTTCCTACACAGGCTGCTGCTGCTGATGTTAGTGAAAAGGCTGAACCACCTAGACATGGGAACTCGTCCGCCGGGAAGAAAAGGCCGCGAGATGATGGGGATTCGCTTATGGATTATGGCGATGCTGGGGGTGGGCAGCAGCAGCAGCAGCACAGTTCTTCTGGAGCCGCGGGACGGGGTGGTTCGTCCTCTGATCCCTACGCGGATCCATCCAGGCGGGCGGCTTTGTTCACTGGGAGAAAGATTATTTCCTATGATGATTGAGCTACCTTGAACACTGTGGCATCAAATCATGTTCGTCCGCTTTAGGGGCTCCTTGGGGGAAGCAATCAGCTCTTGTTGGGCTTGTCAAAGCTGGTAAGTCTTTTCATCTTTTCTCGGTTCCACCACTCTTGCATCCACCTTCCATGATGAAAACATCGTATCAGTCATCCTTAGTCGGAACGCCATACCATCTGCGGATGTGTGAGGCTATGACGACTAAAATCTTCTCTCTGAAATACCCTTCATTCCCATTTCTCGCTACGCTTCGATTTATGGTCTTAAACTAAGCACGGTTTAGGCTTATAAGGAATGACTCCAATCATTCTGGCTATACACTCACAACACAGCCATCACAAACAATATGGCATGCTGCTAGCAAGCCCTCGTCTTGTTTGATGGCCGTATCAGCCTCCGCTCAACCATGCCCGTTCTATTTCAGGTTGCACGTAAGCATACAACTGAACTATGTCCAAGGGTTACACAACGACATAACTATTCGCAGCCTTGAAGAACGGCGCTGCTGACATATCAATGAGGCAAATGGGCGCTGTCTCAGGTCTCCTGTGCTTGACGACCCAATCAAGCACTCCTCGAACTGTGTCTAGGAACCAAGGACCAGAAGGCGACAACTCCAACAAGCAACCCCACCATGATCGGCTGCAGGACTTGGACTCCAGCTCGCGAGGCTATGGCGCCCGTCATGAATGGGAAAGCGGCAGATCCTGCCTGTCCAAAACTCGCAGTAAAACCTATTTGCTTATCAGCCTAGTGTCTATGGTGTCTCGCACAAATGACACTTACCCATGGCTCCCACGTGCAGGTCTTGTGGTATCACCTTGGTAAGAATGTAAAGTCCGACCGGATAGCATGGCCCGATGAAAAACCCTGCGAATTGTGGTTTGTCTGCGTCAGCATTGTCTATGCCTGGCAGACTTTTGGCATGAATCAATGCTTACCCAGGAAGCACACCGTAATAGCATTGACCGTCATGCTAGACACTAGCCAAAATACCAACTGTAGAGCGATAGCCAATGTCATATAGACGAAAACCATCCGTCGTTCGCCAAACTTGTGCGTGACATCTGCCAAAGCCACTCGTCCAATGGTAAAGCCAGCCCAGAACGCAGATGCTATATAACCCACTTTCTCGGGATCACCATGTCTCACTGAAACGAGAAATTGGACAAGCCATCCTATAAGACTGGGATTAGTCACAATAACTAGTTACCGCAACTGCGTTGCCTTTTCAGCATGTGGGTGTGAAGGACTTACCACCCGCCGTGACCTCCGCGCCCACATACAAAAAGAAGAAACCGTTTAGAATCCAAACTGCCCGGTTTGCCAACGTCGCTCTAAGGTCGCGAGCGGCGCTGCCTTTGGCACTGCTGTTATTGGGTTGGAACAGGCCCTGTCGGAACGTCCAAGCCAGAAACGAGAGATTCACGGCGCCGACCACCATCGTGACGAGGTAGTAGTGCTGCCAGTACGGAGTGCGCGCCGCGATGGTGTTGGCGATCAATGGAGCCAGGATCGTGCCGACCCCGTACACCGCGTGCAATATCCCGAGCCACCGGTGGGCGTCTTGCACAGTGATCGTGTAGGTGTTCATTTGCGCATCCTGTAGGGCCACGCCGCAGCCCGTGAAGAAGAAGGCGGCTGCAAAGAGGGGGAACGGGGGGGCCCAGAACATTAGCGCATAGCCGATACATTGGATGGTGGCTCCAACGACCAGGGTGCCGCCGGTGCCGATATGTGAGCAAATGTGGATGTTGGTGAAGGAGGCCAGTTGCCACCCTATGAAGTTGACGAGGTAGATCATAGAGACCTGAAGCAGGCCGACGTGGTAGGTCAGTTGGATATAAGGGATCAGGACTCCTAGAGCGGCGTCTTAACCGTCCCACCAAAGAGAATGTTAGCATGGACGATTCGATCATGGGTATAGAGTAGCATGTGTATATGTGTACCGTACCATTGAATCCAGCTGTCAGCGCACTGAAATTGGTACTCATGATCCTGCCCATATTGTCCTGTGCTCTTTTAGAGCCGAGGAGGGGCGTTTGAGATGTTACATTCTCCTCTCCGTTGGGGAAGAGTTTACCATGCTCTTCATCTTCTCTGCTGTTGTTCATCTTGGGTTCTTGCCGCAATGGCTGGGCTCGCAGAGACTTACACTCAAGGATCTCAGAGAGATGCGAGTACGATCATATATAAGTTCCCAAAGCCTACAAGGCTACGGGATCAGCAGCAGCAGCGCCATAGTGGGCTTTATAAGGAGGTTAACGCGGCTAGGATAGTCAGAGCCAAGCGAACTGAGGGGTAAAATCCCTCTTTAGTTGAGTCCAAGCGAGGGGTACTTTAAGGAGTGGATCATCGGGGATGTCGGTGAAGCATGATAAGCGTGATCAAGGGATAAGGTGCGGAGCATTAGGCTGACTTTGATATATGGGTGAGAGGCAACAGCAGCGCTCGAGCGGGAGAGCGCCAGGGCCATCAAAGAGATCTCGCCTCGAAGGCCTTTTTTTTTCTTATCAATTGCATTGCAGGATCCAAGCCATCTTTGTTCTCCGATCTTCCCTAAAGACACCATGCATTGGAGCGTAACCCTGGCTAGTGCAGTGGGATGCAAAACGCAGCAAGCGTAGGTGTGTTGTCCGTCGAAATGCAGGGAAGTCGGGGGTTTCAATGGACCGCAGTGCAGCTTGCATCGAGAACTCTGATTTGCATGGCCCCGTGTGGAAAGGTCATCCGACGGTGTTACAAATGATGACCAAATAGCAGCACAGGGCCGGGAAAACGGTCCGACAAGGATTCATTCTAGATCCAAGATCGACCTTGAGCTGCAGCTGGAGCGATGCTGTGGAACCATACGCCAATTCGTTTGCATTGGGGGCGGGCAGGATTGTTCTTGCTCGAGGCGATCGGCTGTTGAAGTGGGAATCGTATTGGGTCATGATGTTTGTTTTAACCAAAACTTGATTGCCTGTGAGTGTTGCTGCATTGCGGTGGCTTACAATGCTTGCAGCCACGCGTGGGCGTAAAGCTTATATCACAGGCAAGCTGAATCTTCTGATATTGGCCACCGAGCAAGAGTGAGTGTGAGGGTGAGGTTGAGGGTGAGTAAAGAAACGGAGAATGAATGGGAAGGGGAAATGAATTGGAAGAGAAGAATGACTGAATTGGGAACTGGGAGCCGGCCACACTCTCTTGTCTTCTCCTCCGGTGGGTTCCTGGCCAATTCTTGCGTACCTTCCCTTCTCTTACTCCTCTCTTACTCCTCTCTTTCTCAGCTTCGTTACAGACCCTTCTTTGACTTACTGATAAGTTCTTCATGCTCTCTAGCTTCTTCGACGAGATTGCCTCGGCTCTTCTTCCCTAGAACTCACTTCCAAACCCACTCTCTAAACAGGTATATTGTTCGCCATGAGCGATTCCCAAGATCCTTCAACTCCCCAGCACCAGGAGAAGATGAGTGTGGCCGGTGTGGCCGGTGGTGCACCGCTGGAAGTAGACGAGAGGTCCAAGGTCTCTACTTCCTCCAGGGCACAGGATGCCTTTGGCGATGAGGAACTCGCCGAGGTCAAGTACAAAGTCCTCAAATGGTGGTATGTGATGTGATGCCATCTTCGTCTGCACGATTACACACCTCTTGTCCGACTAATCATTGCTGCTGCGGTATACTAGGCAATGCGGGGTTCTCATGGTGGCTGAAACCGTCTCCCTGGGTGTCTTGTCTCTGCCTGCTGCTGTTGCTAGCTTGGGTCTAGCTCCGTATGTCTGCTTCTCCAGAGATGTAGTTGGGAATCAGACTGGCTAACAGTTCACACAGTTCCATCGTTGCGTTACTCCTCCTGGGAATGCTGGCAACCTATACTGGCTATGTGATCGGACAGTTCAAGTGGAGGTACCCCCAGGTCTGCAACATGGCCGATGCAGGGGAGGTGATCGCCGGCAGGATTGGCCGAGAGGTCCTTGGTATTGGCCAGGTTCTGTTCCTGGTGTTCGTGATGGCTAGCCATCTACTTACCTTCATCATCGCTATGAACACCATCACTGGCCACGGGACATGTTCGATTGTCTTTGGCGTCGTCGGCTTGATCCTCTCATTCATTTGCTCGTTGCCTCGCACGCTAGTAAAGATGTCTTGGCTCTCGTTCGTTTGTACGCATCCTGTGTTCGCTCGGTGGAGTTTCTGGCCCAGACAGCTAATCTGGGAATAGCTTTCGCCAGCATTCTGTCAGCGGTGGTTATCACGATGTTTGGCGTGGGCTTCCTGCATCCCGGGAAAGGCGTGGAAGCCACTGTACCTACTGACCTCAATCATGGGTTCTGTGCCATCACCAACATTGTTTTTGCTTTCTGTAAGTTCAAGGCCACCTCGCACCGCTCGGCTGCGCTGACTATGTTTCCCAGCTGGACATGCCGCCTACTTCGGGCTAGCAGCGGAGTTAAAGGATACGCGGGACTTCCCCAAGGCGCTATGTCTGCTGCAGACCTTCGACATCTCGCTGTACATCATTGCAGCTGTCGTGATCTATCGGTACGGTGGTGCAGAGGTGGCCTCACCTGCTTTGAGCTCCGCTAGTCCCATGGTGGCGAAAGTTGCATACGGCATTGCCCTGCCCACTGTGAGTGACTATCGCTTTAGCCTGGGACCATTGCAGTATTGAGTCGCTGACGTAGATTGAACCAGATCATCATCGCTGGCGTGATCAACGGCCACATCGCCTTCAAGTACATCTACTTGCGCGCGTTCGCTGGCACTGATCGGATTCACAAGCGCGACTGGATCGCCATCGGCTCCTGGGTCGGTATTGCTTTGGGTTTGTGGGTGGTTGCGTGGGTTATCGCAGAAGCCATCCCTGTGTTCAGCAACTTGCTCAGCCTGATCGTATGGTTCCCATTGCCCCCTCAGCGATTCGCACTAGCTGCGTTACGAGGCACTAACAGGCAAGGTAGACTGCCCTCTTCGCCAGTTGGTTCACTTTCGGCTGCAGTGGCGTCTTTTGGCTATACATGAACCGTGGCCAGTGGTTCTCAACGCCCCGCAAAATCGCCCTGACTATGCTCAACATCCTTAACTTTATTGTCGCTGCGTGCTTGGTACATACACTATCCACTCCCCGCATAAGCGAAGCTTCAGGCTGACAGATTCTGTCGATAGTGCTTTCTGGGGTTGTATGTCTCCGGCAAAGCGATCCACGATCATCCTAGCAGTATGAGCTTCTCGTGCGCGGAGAATGCGACCTGAAAGGGCTGGTACTTCAAAAGGTACTACTAACCTTCCAAGTTTTTATCCTACTACAGGATTTATAAGTGGTGAGGGGAACTTTCGACGAGTGGGATGCCTCTTCTCCCCATCCCATAACCGGAGATATAATTTCCTTGGTTGCGTGGGTTTCCTTTTTCTTTCCTAAACATTGACTGCCAGTATCTGGAGGAGGTGCCCTATCAGGGAGGACGGTAATGCGGAACCTGTACTGTATATAAGGGTTCAAGGCTCACAAGCGCTATGAGAACTGGAATCGAGTCAATGAAAGTCTCCGCACATGATTCCATACCGGCAGGGAGCTTGTATGGTCCCTGCAGCTCTAGCCTTCGCAAGAGACCCGGGAATATGGGTTTAGGAATTGGCAATAAGACGCAGAACAGTCCCCTCTCGCCCCAAAGGCAGCATACCGGGTTTGGCTCCCGCAGCAGGTAGGTATTAATTAGTTCTATCCCGTTAAGAAATGTGAAATACTACATGGATCGCACATGCGCTCGTCAGGCAAGAAAGAGAGAAAAAACCCGGGCCATGGAGTCAGCAGTCCATACGTCCCCAGGGTTGTTAAACAAGTCGCCCCTTAATGGTATGGTAAAATTACAATTCATTCGAGCCCCGACTCGCCCGTCTCATTCGCCGTTTCTTCCGGCGACAGGAGTCGATGGCCTCGGGCGTCAACATGTCCGGCGGCAGCTCGAAGTCTCGTGGCTGCAGGTCCGGGATGCGGTGGCCAAAGGCGTACGGCGTGCGAGCGCCCGTGCGGTAGGCCGAGAGGGCTGCTTTGCGGGTATCTGCATCGGCGAAGAAAGAGGTGAACGGCTTTTTGGGGTCGGATGGCGGCGGTGGAGGAGGAAGAGGAGAAGGCGGAACAGTGGCCGTGCTCGTCGTCGTGGACGAGCCGGCCTTCTGGAAGTATGCAGTGATGGTGGTCCGCTTGGGCGCGGTGAGGGTGGTTCTGGGTTTCTTGCCTGTTGGTCCCGTTGCAGTGGTTGCAGACCGAGCCTCTTGAAGAAGTTGGCGAGCAGCCCAGGCATCGACGTCGTTGGGGTCTGGTGGGTCGCCGGAGTAGCGTTGGGCGTCACCCCCTCCTCCGTCTGCTGCTGCAGTGGTGTGACCGGCGGCGCCCTCTCCCTCTGCGTCTGCTGTCGTTCGGTCGTCTGCTGCTGTGGCAGTGGTCGTGGTCGCTGTTGCTTCTTTCGCATCGGCGGTGATTTGGTCGGCGGGTTTATCCTTATCTACCTTACGGCGCTTTTCCTCTTCCTTCCAGATCTTGAATTTCTGGAGAACCGCGGAAATCTCCCGGATGAAGTAGTCGCGTTTGGGCTCGTAGAGTTTCTTATCCTGCTCTGTGTGGCTACTGATGCCCATGATTCGGAGCCAGTCGTGACCCTGAAGCTCATCGAGGAGACGGTCAAGGTGTTGCTTCTCATGTTGAGCTCGATCGCGCTCGATATTCCGGAGCTGCTTTTCCTGGCGCTCGTTACGACGATGCGCGCGGAAGAAGATGCTCTCGTCGAGGGGATCTTCGGGGATAGGGTCGGCAGAAGGGTCTGAGGGGGGAGACGGAGACGAAGGAGGTTCGGGGAGAGAGATAACTTCGCAATTGTGAAGGTTGATGAGCGGATTCTCGAAAGGACGGTCCAGATCTAACTCTGAATTGGACTTTATTTGAGTAACGACCGGAACAGGAAGGTCATCGATGAGTTTGATGGCGGTGCTACCAGCTAGGAATTCTGGAGCAGGTATTGTAAGCCTTGATGTGCGTGGAGACCTTCATCATTGATGTTCGTGACATACCGGGTTTTGGCGGCTCCAGGCTGAGAAGCTCTTCATAGTTGGGGAAATAGGCCGCTAGCTCGCTGCGGGCGCGAGAGCCTGTGTCGTTGGAGCGGAGGGAGCGCCGTGACTCCCGCGCATTGGGAGGAGATTCGGCGGCCGGCTGAGCAGCAACCGCGCTGCGGGTGGAACGATTTGATTTATGTGTGGCTGCGGCTGGTGAATCTTCGTGAATGGGTGTTGCATCTGGTGCCGAGGGCGGAGCTTGACGGCGCGGGCGGCGGGCTGATGAAGCGGCGGCGGCGGAGGAGGAAGGAGCGGAGGAGCGACCGGCGGGGGAGATTCGACGGGAGACGGAGGGGGAGATGGTGTCTAGGGGGTCGGGCGATTCACGCTCCTGGTGGAAATAGAACGAGGGTAGAGTATTGACGGGCGTCTCATGGCGTAGAATGCGACGACGGTCGGAGTGTCGCGGAGTATTGGGAGACAGGGGAGACGTGGTCGTGCTGGAGGAGACCAGCGGACGGCGCGTCAACGCCCGCCGGGATTGCGCTCCAGAGGCAACTTTGGCGTGCGGGGAAGGAGCCGGCGAGGCTGCGGGCGATGGCGAGGAAATATGCGATCGTCGAGGATGAGAATGAGAATGGGGGTTGGTGACGTCGAGTAGATCGGGGGAGCTCTTGCGACGCCGTGACGAGGCAGAGGATTCCTGCAGTCGAGCTCGTTTGGCAGGCGGCGGCGGATCAAGTGTTCGAGGCAGTGAAACACGGGCGGACATCAGGAGAAGGAGAGAGAGAGGGAGAGAGAGGAGAGGAGAGGAGAGGAGGAGCTCAAAGGGAGGAGGAGGAGATTTGCCAATGCGACAGGACCATGTTCTGGTCGGAGGAGTTGAGGCTGCTCGGGATTCCTTCTTTTCCCCGTTCCTAACAGAGTAATTATGAGGGTGGGAGGCTTGCGGAAGAACTCGGGGATGAGAAAGGCAAAGAGACAGTGAGTGAGTGAAGTTAAAAAAGGTTGCAGTCTGGGATTTGGGGAGAGAGAAAGAGTGAGAGCGCGAGAGAGAGTTTGAGGAATGTACTGTATTGTTTCTGGTTCTGTCTCTGACGTGACCATACTGTATGTATTATTGCCCTTTTGCTTCTGCTTCTGCTTCTGCTTCTTCCATCACCACCACTTCATGCATTCATCCATTCTGTGTCTCACCCATCCATCCATTTTCTCTCTCATTCTCTTAATCCTTTTGACTAACAGACGCAATGACAGACTCAATGACAGCCCCCCCAATGACAGAGACAGGGGTTCTCTCCCCCTCTCTCCCCCCAGGTCCAATGGAAACTATGCACCCCACATCCTCCTACATCTCTCCTCCTTCTCCGCTCCAACTGTGGGCGGAGATGATGCATTCATGCTCATAGCCAGAGCTACTCGCACACATGTTTCCGAGGATAAACGTGGGGGAGACCCCTCCAATGGCCTGGATGAAGATTCTTTTTCCGCACTGGATTCCATATTCCTAATAGTCCGAAGCTTAGAGGAGGAAATCCCCCCCCGCGCCGTGGCCTCGTCAAGTGGGGGAGAACGTGGGGGTGGATGGAGAAAGCAAAGCAGGGCGATCAGGGCTTCGAGGTTCCATTCAATCCAATAACTGATCCAGGTGAGTTTGTTGCCTGCGAATCAATCACCCCTCCTCTTCCCTTCCCCTCCCCTCTCTTACTTCTTATATCCTTTCTGTCTCCCTCTTGTTGATCCGGCCTTCCTCTCCTCGTATCTATTTCCACCCTTGGACGCTAACCCGCCGTCGGCGCGATACCCATCCAGATACGAACTGACGTACTTCCTCGCAACACTCGCCGCAACTACCGACACCATACATACACCATGGCCCGCACCCCCCGTCCCCTCACACCAGGGATCTACGTCCCGACCGTTGCCTTCTTCAGCCCCAATGAAGACCTCGACATCGCCACCGTCGAGCAACACGCCGCCTACCTGGCGCAGGCCGGCGTGACCGGGCTCGTCGTGCAAGGCAGCAACGGCGAAGCCGTGCACCTCTCGCGGGAGGAACGCAACGAGATCACCGCGGCGACGCGGCGGGCGCTGGACGCGCATGGCGGCGCCTCGAAGCCGCTGATCGTGGGCACGGGCGCGGCCTCGACGCGGGAGACGATCCAGCTGTGCGAGGACGCCGCGGCGGCCGGGGGCGACTACGTGCTGGTGCTGCCGCCGTCGTACTACAAGTCGCTGCTGACGGCGCAGGCCGTGCGCGAGCACTTCGAGCGGGTGGCGGCGGCGTCGCCGGTGCCGGTGCTCATCTACAACTTCCCGGGGGCGTCGGCGGGGGTGGACCTGTCGTCGGACGAGATCCTGGCGCTGGCCGCCCACCCCAACGTCGTCGGCGTCAAGCTCACCTGCGGCAATACGGGCAAGCTGGCCCGCGTCGCCGCGCAGGCCCCGCCGGGCTTCCGCACCTTCGGCGGCTCCGCCGACTTCACCCTGCCGACCCTCGTCGCCGGCGGCGCCGGCGTCATCGCCGGCCTCGCCAACCTCATCCCCCGCGCCTGCCTCCGCGTCTTTGACCTCTACCGCGCCGGCCACGTCGCCGACGCCCAGCGCCTCCAGGCCGTCGTCGCCCGCGCCGACTGGCTCGCCATCCAGGGCGGCTTCGTCGCCGTCAAGTCCGCCCTCCAGTCGTACCGCGGCTACGGCGCCCTCCCCCGCCGGCCGTGCGTCGTGCCGGCCGCCGAGCAGGTGGCGGCCCTCAAGGAGTCCTTTGCCGAGAGCATGGAGCTGGAGCGCCAGCTGGAGAAGCAGCAGGCCTAGGGATGATCGGGTCCACCAAGGATTCCCTCCCCCATCCCAACAATACAACATAATTTCCACGCAAGCAAGCATACTCAATGCCAATGCCAATTCCATTCCATTCCCCATCTGTGCAAGTTGAGACTCCTCCGTGCTCCCATCGTAGCCACCACCCATGGTCCTATACAGACCGTAACTATAAGAAGTGCTACCCCCAGAAACGGGCCCTACCAGTCCGCTTCGGGATCCTCCATCCAGACTTGAACCCAGTACAGTGCCCGTATCGTATCATCTCTCGTGTCTATTACCTTGCAAATACTCGAAAGTAGAACCAGTCGGAAAGAACGTGATCTCAGAGCTGAATATGACAGTCATTCCTGGGGTCTAGCGGCGAAACATGGTGTTCGTCTCATGGGCATAGCACCAAGCACCGTTCGCTCGCACGATGTGTAGAGATCCAAGGAGCGAAAGGGTGGGGAGTTCTGCGGCCTCGGAGATGATAGACTTCCGCCCTTTCTTTGGAGGATGGGATGGGGTATATGCTTACAGCAGTATACATCGGAGGTGCCCGCTCTGTCGTGTATAGAGTTGAGGATAGCCGCCGCGTAGGCTCTGGAACCCGGGACAAGCAAGTATAATTAACCTAACCAGTCTCTACCAATTCCCTCTCCCACCACGACCATCGCTGTGTAAGCGGGAAGAATTGTGTACAGCTAGAACTACTTTTCTTTCGGGAGAAAGTCATAAAATGGGACACCGGTTCTTTTTCATTTCATGGTCCCAAAAAGACCCTCGGCCCAGCCGGGGTGTGCTTCTCAGCCATTTGGATAAATATATCATACAGCATGATCAAAAAGACAAGATCAGTCAAAACATTGGATGGGGCTCAAAGAACATGATGGATATGATGGTATCAGTCAGGGTTTTGAAACGCAAATCAACCACAAGAAAAGAAAATATCAACCAGCTCGCTTTCCAGGAGACACGGGTATGCGAAAGACATGAGGTAAAAATGGGAAGGGGAAGAATACAAAGCAGGGATGCTTCAGGGGGAGGCGGTTTAGGCCATCAACTCGTCGAGGTTCTCATGCAAATAAGCGACGTCGGGTAGTGGGACGGCTGGACGACCGATCATCTGCGTGGTTGAGCCGCTGAGCCACGGCCCCCGTTCTTCGTCGTTGGCACTCAGCACGCCCTCAGCACGCTTCAGAGTCTCAACGTCCAGATCGGTCACGTATGCTTCCCGGTTGGTGCCATCTCCGGCGCCACCTGGGAGCTTGAGCCGGACTTCGAACTCGTTGTCAAGCATCATCTCATCCTTCCAGAGACGACGTTGACCATCAAAGACACAGAGGACGCGCTTCTTGGTCTTGATGCTGCTGCTGGGGCATCCCCACGACTGAGGGTACCGGTCACGGTTGTTCCGCCGCTTGGTCGCCGTCGCACGCATCTTGTTGCTGGCGGAGGGCTTGGTGACGGCATTGCCGCTGCCCAGGATAACGCGACCAGCACCGGCGGTGGAATTGCCCCGAGGAACTCTCAGGAAGTTCTTAGCCAACCGCTGGTTGGGACTTTCGTAGAAGTCTTCGTCATCGTCGTCATTTTCGTCGCTGAAACGGTCCACGGCACCAGCCGTGTCGAGTAGCATGTGTTTTTCCATAGTCTTCTTCACCTCCTCGTCCGAGTCGACTTCGGCAAGGCGCTGCTGGTTGATGGCTTCGCTAGGCTCTTCTTGTTGCACCACACGTAGCACACAGTCATCCAAATGCTCGTAGAAGTCTTGGGCATTGCTGAAAGTGATGGAACACGTAGAACATTTGCCAGTAGCCTCCTGACTATGACTAGGGGAATTCTTGGCGGTGGAAGCCACGGGGGTTCGCTTGCGGCAGTTGGGTGGCGTTTGCTCAACGCCGTGCACTGAAGTCAGATGACGCTTGAAGACGTCCGCCCGGTTGAAACTTTTCTCAGCGGGCGACCCAGATCCCGGACAGAATCCGCACACCATCGTTCCCTTGTAATGGGTGAGTGTATGCCGATTCTTGTCGTACTTGCGCGCGAACCCCTTGATGTGGTACTCGCAAGTTGCAATCGGGCATTTCTCAGGTCTCTCGGACTGGTGCGTAAGCATGTGGGCTTTGAGGTCTTTGAATACTCGTCCACAGTCGGGATGAGGGCATCGGCCCTTTTCCTTGGTTTCATCATCGGAGTCGAGGCTGCTCGACGCCGGGCTGGGCTGAGATAGGCGGGACCGAACCGAAGCCACGGACGACCTTCGCTGATATGCGGTTACAGGGAGTGAACGCGGGATGGTGGAAATGGGAGAAGCAGCCGAGAAGTCAGCTTGCTGCTGGGGAAATGGTTGCGTGGTGGGGTAGGACTCCTCAAGCTGATAGTGGGATGGATTAGGAGATTGTGGGAAGAAGCTGTCCTGTGCTATCATGTAGTCAGACGGCTCAGGAAACGAGATGGCGGGTGGTGAAAGGTGGCATTGCTGGGAGTTGGGCTGAATCACTGAAGGATCTGTTCAGCACTCATGATTAGCATGAGGAACAAGCTCGAAGTGGATGAGAAAGTACTAACCGACACAATTCTCGATCCACTTCTTCTGATAGAAACCATCCGTGTCCGTCACACCGGTGACATACTCATTGGGGAAGAAGTCGCCCATGAGGGCATCAGCGAGTCCCAGACCGTTGGTGGTCTGGATCCACTCCTCTTGGATGAAAGGTGCTGTTCCTGAGTGGGGTGACCCCATGGCGGACGATGAGGCACTCGGGATAGAAGGTCCAGAAGCGGTAGAGAGGCCAGGAATGAAGTGATCGGCGCAAAGAGGAAGGGAAGGAGGTGTGACGGGCATTGGAGGGAAGCTGGAGGACTTGGGGAGAGGAGCGAAAGCGTCCGAGTACATGGCAGGAGTGTCATAATAAGGTGGTTGCAATGCGGCGGAGGCATCGTGTGTCTGCCCGTAATCACACATGCCATCCATTGGAAAGGCGAACGGGTCGACCAACGTGGAGTCCATTGCGAGCTGTGGGATGTAGGAAGTCTGCCGTTGTCTGGTAGAATCGAGAGCCAGTGCTAGCATCTTCTTGTTGTCGGTGGTGAATTGAGCCGGACAGAGGACAAAATCGGTGAACTCTTGACTCTGCATGTTGTGCAGGCACGTCCGAATGGGAATGCGCAGTGGTAGCCTCTATGCAGGCGGTGAATCTGACGACTAGGTTTGAGTATGTAAAAGCGAGCACTGGATCTGCAGGGTAACTGAGTCAGTTGAGGTATCTTATTGTTGAGGTCTCATACTGGATAGTGATTGAGTTTCGGGGGAGGTGCGGTAATGGGACCGGGCCGCGCGGGGGAACCTACAATTCCTGATGGTGTTTCCTTGGATGCGACAGAGGGAATCCGTGGATACAATGCACGACGGGATGTGCGATAAACTCTCTTTGTGCCTCGCTGCAATTCGCAGGGTGGTGGTGAGGAATGACGGCAAGTTTAAGTAAGGGAAGGTTAGCTGGTGATGGGAAGAGATGTCTAGACCGGGACGACGTCAACAGTCAACAGTCAACAGTCAACAGGTCGACAGTAACAGTCAAGACAAGTGAGGGCGAGAGCCAAAGATAAAGCGGAGGAGAGGAGTGAGGGAGAAAAAGAAAACAATGATATAGACTGGAAAAGAAAGTTGGCGAGGGAAGGAGGGAGTAAAAGCATTGTTAAATGTTATGTGATTGCTGGCCCTACAAGAAAGTTGAATGCTACTATTTGCGCTCATAGTGGATAAGACTGGCTTTGGGGGGGGGGGACCAACTACTGCGCACGAACTAAGAAACCACGCTAAATTAAAACCATGACCATTCATAGTATAGAGGATAGGACAGGGGAGTCATTTCTTAGCGCGCATCGAAAGTGACTGGGGTGGGTGTGGGTGCAGTGGGTGGATGTGAGTGTGGATGTGGATGATACCGTCAATGATGACGATGATGATGCTGATGGAGAGTGGAGGGTGGAGGGAGAGGAGGGCAGTACAGTACGGTAGTCAGTACGGTAGGAAAGAAACCGTGTACAGTAAAGTAAAAGAAAAGAAAAACCAAAGAAAAATAAAATCGAAATAAAATAAAAATAAAAGCAACAGGGGTAAATCGAAGCAAGAAGGGTGGAGTGGGGAGTGCCGGGCAGCAGTAAAAGAAACAGGGGCAGGGCAGCCAGTGAACCGAGCCTGGTATTTTTGGCTCTTTCTTCTTTCTCTCTCGTTACGCCGGCTTTACCGCTAAGCCTGCTTGCCTTCCTGCATGCTGCGACGCTCTTGCTCTTGCTCTCTCTCTCTTTTGCACTGCCTGCCCAGAACACCGTCGGGTCGAATCGTCTTTTCTTTTTTAACATTTATGATTATATGCTACATCGGGCGATCATATCAAACCAAGAAGATGTCATTTCGATTTTTGGTCCATGACTAAATTCAATTTGAATCATTTCTGCTTCCCCCTCCCTGACTTTCTTCTTCCACGACACGATCCGGGCTTGTCATGAACCATAATTCCGGTCTATTTTTTGTTGGGGTGTAGATCATTGCTTTTCTGCTATACTCGGTAGAACAAGGGAGGCCAGCACGGCAGCAACTGGTGGGTAGGATCGGGGAATCTCGATTGATAATCGGAAGGGGAGGGGGGGGGATCTGAACAAGATTCATAACGTAAGCGGGTTTAGGGAGAATTTTCTGGGGTTACAAACTTACCAACACAAAAAGTGACAAAAGAAGAAAGAGGAAAGAGAAGGAGAGGGAAAAAAATTCCAGATGGAAATCAGACCCACCAACCTTGAACCTCGAAAAGATAACTCGACTCGTCCAAAACATCCCATCCCCCCTCCCCTCCTACAAAGGAAGAGGCCACTGGGCTTGGTGGTGGTTCTTTTCGAACCCATCGTCATCCATGCACTTTATCTGTTATGCTTAATTGAAGATCTTATTTGTTTATTGTTTCAATCATGATCACCTACACTTTCTTTCCTTGGGGTCCGAAAAAAAGGCTTCTAGGCGTTGTCAGAAGCCTTTCGACTATCAACTGTAGCAAGAAGAGAGAGAACAATTCAAACGTGAGTCGGTGAGACCCATTTTGCAGGCACACACGGGGTCGCCGGACTTGGATGCGGGCTTGACATTCGTATCCGCATCTTGTTGTCGGGAAGTCCGTGGTGGCACAGATAGTACCATCCCTTCACAAGAGCTTGGCTATGCCGATGGCCCGTTTTTTGACTACAGACTCTGGTCCTTCAGACCGCGCGATTGGTGGAGATTAAACTATCTCTGACATCTCCGCGCTCTGGTCGGCTCTGGAGTATTTTTTATCGTGATGACAGGAGCCCGGCCGGGGGAGAATAGCATTCATTGTCTCCGTAGTCGACTATTCCTCATACTTGCTACAAAGGTAAATCGTATGTTGTCAGACTTTCCCTATCCCCGAAAACTGTCCAAGCTAGAAAACAACCAAAAAATTTGACTGGCAAGAGCCCTGAAGTCATCTATCTGAATCTTTTTTTTTTTTTTCGTGATTGACCTGTCAATCCTGGCCCCATGTTACAAGCGGGCACATCGTCCCGTCAACTCGGGTCAGACTTCAGATCATCCTCACTCCACTAGTAGTACGCAGTAACTCAGTAAGGTAGGGTAATAATGTCTGAGTCCTGACTAGGGCGTTCCCCGAACGGGGCTAGTTGCAAAGCACTAGGGCAGATGGATCTCGGGCTTGGCCGTCAATTCCGAAGCACAATTCGCCAAACTCATGGGCCTGTCGACGATCTTAGTTTCAGCTCCACCCGGTCACAAAGAAAAACGTGCATCTCAGATCCTAAACACTCGATTGGCCGACCGCGAAGGATGGTGAAATGAAGCGTCCATTGGATTAGCAGACGAGTGGCCCAATCACCGGGCCTTAATGATTCCCGAGTAGCAGTGAGTGAGTGACAGTGCTTCCGGATTCCGAGACGTGGGACAGACCTCTAGGCTCCGAATCACTTTGGAGTCTTGGAAGTTGGACCCAACCCAATGTGGACGCCGACGAACCTGCCGCCGCCATTAATTACTCTCAGAGCCGCAACAAGCTCTGTATCTGTAAGTGTACTGGTCTGACAGTCTAAGGATTTGCCCGTCACAAAAGGGTCACATGCTCATCCTGATTCTTCTGGCGGGGCCCAACCGAACTCTTTTGGTGAGGAGCTGGTATGACTGCGATAGAACTCGCTCGGTATCTCCTCTACTCTGATACTGAATTTTTGTCAAGTATATCTTTTTTTGGGTAATAAACAAACAAACAAGGGGTGATATCATCTAAATGACATCATGGCCGCGATCATGGCAGACGTACGGAGTACTCACCCTCAGTGCGTAGTCGGAATTGAGGCTGCCGGGGTGTGCGGGTCTAATGTGGCTCAGTAGGAGTGCTGCAGACTGTCAGTCCGGAAAGCGGCACAGAGAGAGAGAGTACACTACACAGTATATGGCGGTTACGCTATGATTCAAATTGGAGGGTAAATAGTGCTCGATGATTCATGTTGATAATACTACAATCGTACTACGAAGGACAAGAAACAATGGCCAAGGATGATTACAGCCCTTGTAGCTACCAGAGCCTTGGAACCTAATATAATCAATTCACCCTGCAGGATAAAGGGGGATTCCCTCGACAGCGACCGGACGGTATCACTGGTATTGGCTACGGGGTATAGTAGGTAAAAGTACGAAGTAAACAATCTGCAGAGCTGGTGCCAAGTATGCACGTGCAGATTGGCACACAAACAATAGACATAGTACCTACATCGTGACCAGTAACTATCATCAATAATACAAACCGAGCAGATGCGTTGCCGACGCTCTTCTCCGAGAGAGCATCAAAGCGAGCGAGGGAGGGTCGGCGGTGAAGATCGTGCCATTACGACCGATTTAGCGCCACACGCTGGGTTGAGCCACACCCCAACAGCCTATGATGTGTCAGTCGGCGGATCTCCCCGCCTTGCCATTGGCAGATCCCCGTGCATGACGGGCTCGGGGATTCGCATTTGAGGCGCAGTCAGCCTGTTTCTCACCGCTGGATCGCGAATGGACCCATCGCTCTCCCCCGGAGGGGTGTTTTCCTGGAAATCTGAAACCGTAGGGGGAAAATTCACCAGCCCCGTGGACAGCAGCCCATCCACCCATCCATCCATCCATCCATCCATCCCAACCCTTTGAAGGTAGAACGCTAGAACATCATCGACGCTTCCATGCGGCTTTGTTAGGAAGAGAATCCTTGTCGTTACTTTATTATGTTATGATTCTCTTTTTTATTATCAAATAAATAACATCGTTATGCAATACAGCCCACCATACCCTAGTCTCGTCTCGGTGTTGCCCGAAGTTCTGACTTGGCTATTTTGTGACCACCAGGAACCGCCAAGTTTCTTGGTAAACAGTCTAGATGCTGTTCACGCTAAGATACTACTCCTACATATTGAATACGGACTATTGAGTATTGATCACCTGTCCACCACAATCCCTTAAAGTCCAGTGACTGAAAGACACATGGCGGCAAGAAAACAAAAACCACAGTGCTGCGGGGCAGAAATCACACCCTGCTAGTTAATCCACTCAGCCTTTTCTTGTTGAGCCCCTTCTTCTCTTCTCACCCTCCTGTCCGCCATTTCGAACCTGAAACATTCCAGAACTCGCTTGTCGCATTCTCTGTACTCCGGACTCCGCGCGCATCACCTGTCAATCAATCTGTCATTCCTGCACTAGGCGAGAGGCGTGCAGATCTGAAACGTAAACCCGATAAATATGCCTGAGCATCTCCTGATCTTCGTCAAGTACAAGTATCAATCACGCATCGCTATCGCACGGAAAGAGATATCTCTTCGTGTTGACCAGACCTCTACGATAAGTGTTTAGTAAACGACCGTCGTAGACCCCGAGCTCTTTCTTCAAGAGTGGACCGCAACGGCTGTGTCCGTGAACATCGACACGAGGTAGGTAGGTGTGTATGACAGCTGCCAACCCAACTCGGGTAATTTCCCAGCACGTGGCATTAGCACCTGCGACCAAAAATTGTAACCTAAATGATCCAGCTTCAGGGGGGAGGGGGCGAAGAAACGACTTCGAGGTACAGCACCATGCTGACGGATTTTCTCCTCCCGCCTTCCATGAAGGATTCCTCCATCAGTTAGGGGTATGACTTTGAGGCGAAATATGCATCACCGCTCGCTTCGACGCTACGAAAAGAGCTTAGCAGCTTTCTTTCTGTTCTTTGACACAATCATGAGGGCTTGATATTAAATTCAATATGCGTTCTCATCAGGAGGGCTGGGTGTCTCAGGTAGAGCTGCCTACTAATGGATGTGAGATGGATGATCTGTCTGCGGCTCCCCGATTAGATCACCATTCAGTTGAGGTGGGCCTGTTGGGCATTCCCTACAGACGCGCATTTTTAGGATTCATATCGAATCCAGAAATGAAAGGTGGGCATTGGAGCCTGCTTTCCATCTGTTTCATGAACAAAGGCTGCTTGCAACCTCCAGAGTCTAGGTTTTGGAAAATGTTAGGGGTAGCTTGTCATACCATTGATCACCACAATGCGAAGCTGTACCATCTCCGGGTTCTCAATTCGTTCATGAAACTCGCAAGTAACTTAATGTATATGCCTCTAATGACGAAATCCACCCAGGCGAAGGGTTAGACAAGCGCGAGTAGCTAGAAAACAACCTCACGCTTATCGGTCGCCGTTTGCAGACGAGGTGACCAACAATATCGTGTCGCATGAATCTTCTTCCCTCCGGCCCGCTCCAAGTAAGACTCCCAATAACTGCTATTGTGCAACTGAGACATGTCCAAAAGGTAAAAAAAAAAGTGACGGCGTATTCTCATGTTCTGTGGTGATAACCACAACATCGCCGAATTCGGCACCCGATATGAGAGAGTGCCTCATACAACGGGCATCATTACCCACCTTTCAATTATCTCCTGTTCCACTATGGCAGACAAGAACCCGGACATCCCATCGGTCTCATGGCGACGGGAGAGATATCGATCCGGAGTATATTTGAATTTCGGCCCCCAATTACGGTCACGGTCAATCAATTACGACTGTCTCCCAATATAGTGGTAATTACGGGGGGGGTAAGAAAGGCTGCAGGGATCCAGGATTATTATTAATGACGGGCGGAATTCGACCCGACAACCAATTAGTTAGTGTGATATGAACAAAAGAAAACAAGCGCCAGAGCGCGCAAGGGTAGTTTCCTACAGTACTAGTTGGTGCGACCAAGTCCGGTCTAAAGATAGCACTACTGAAAGAAACAGAGGACTAAACCAGACTAGCAGGCTGTTCTTCCCGTGGGTTTTGTTATGCTTCTTTCGCTTTGTCTTGGGGGGCTCCGGGGCGTTAAATTCGCATGGATGGATGGATGGATATACTCCGTCGGAACTTCTTCTATTCAAGCGCTGGGCTGCTGACCCCCTGACATTTACTGCGAGTCGCCAGTCAGATCGCTCATAGGAGGCTTCCAGAACATCTGGCGTGCAGCTCTTGAAACTGGCGTGAAACGTCACAGTGATGGAACTCCATTCCTAGGTGCATGGCTAATTTTGGTATCTCTGACAGGCATGATGCCATGGTCGCTGAAAAGTGCGGATGGGATGGCCAAGCTCTCTGTGACTCGAGAGCTTCTGGCCAGACAAGCTGCAGACTGGAAGAACTTGGAATACTCTCGCTCTCGCATTTCCATGGCAGATGATTTGTCACACTTAACGCGGCTCGATTATTGGGTCGATTTGCGGGTGGGCGAGGCACACTCACAGACGATCGCTTAATTGCGTTTTCGGATCTATCGATAGGGATAGATTAAAAAGAGGGTCGCTATATAAACTTTTGGGGGGGATTTTGACAGCTGCTGAACCAAAGTCTGGTGTGTTGTGGGCCGTGATGTCCATCGATCAGGCCTGCCCCACGTTCCCCTTAACAACCAAACGGACTACCCCGATTCCCCGACCATCACTCCAGTTTTACTAATCACCAAGAAAGACTCGTAAATTGGAGTGCGAGAGAAGCTCCACCATCCTTGCTGCTAAAGCAGCCTAAAGAATGCCCCCGGGATCATAGTGCTCACTGCTCGGAAGGCCCGGAGACTACCGCTAGTAAGGGGGCTCCCTGGCGGAGCAATTGGCGTATCATAACTCCCATCTGGATTACTATTCTGGAGGATTAATTAAGCCTACTAGTGCAGTGCACTACTGGGTCGAGGTAATCTATTTAGATTGTTCTATATGAAAATGCATCGGGTAGTAATTAGGATTGACAGCTAGTGGGATCACAGGGGACTACCTGCATTCGTCTATGAGACAATCTGATTGGTACCACATCATTCCCAAAAGAGATCAGAGGTATGGTAAGTACTGTACTCATGAGGACATTGGCAGTCTAGCACGGACTGATTCAGATAGCTGTTGTCGCCGTCGGGTCATGGACAAGATCCGTGCTATACCTGTCAAGTGTCAGGACTCGAGCGGGGCGAAGATCGGGCTTCAATTTTCAATTTTGCATGCACACTTCGAGCTAATCTCCTCGATGACTGCCCTTCATTTATGCCGGCTGGCGGAATTACCTACCTTGTGTGCGCACAATCCAAGTTATCTCCCTTGGATGCCTGGTAGAGTTAAGGTACCCGGTCCTTAGTTCCAGTTGTTGCCCTCCTTTCGGGTTGCTCAAAAGGACTCGCCTATAAATCCTGTTCTGGGTAGGATGCCAAACAGTGATGATATCACATGATCCCTCCCCCTGCATGAGTTTCCGTCAACCAGAAGACCCCCGGGACCCCTCTCTCCACCTGAGTCTTGCGGGTATCGCGCTGCCCCGTATCGACTGTATCTTGCTCGCAGGATTTCCATTGCCTCCTTTGCAAATCCCTTGAATGACTCGGATGGATCTCGATCTCGAATGTCTCAGAATTAAAGTGATGGTAGTCGCACGGTTGGCCGGTCTCCAAAATACAGAGGGAGGTAGCAGTATGGAGTACCAATACACGCACCATATGTCGGGACTTGCGTTGACATCGCCTGAATTCCTGCAGCTTGTCCGACGATCGTCCCTCCAAGTTGGGACTCCGCGCAGACCAACCAACCACGGCATGCATGTGGAACTTTTTTTTGGGAGGCGGCCCTTGCGGGGTCCTGTCGGTGACCACGGGCTTTGGACTGCCTGCGTGCGGCCCGATCGATCAATTGCTCGATTATTATTTTGTCTTGCCGTGACAAAGGTTACTAGGTACTGTACGGAGTACCTTAGATAGGTATTGGCCCTGCACATCATGCACAGACCGAGTCCTGACTAATGTTCACCTCCCACACCCCCCACGCTTGAGCGAACCTGTAATCGGCAGATCGACCACCGCCGCGGGCAGCAATTTATCTTACCGAATATGAAAAGCGGGCTGATCAGGGTGTCCCGTGGTCATCCAGTTTTACAGATTGTGGTTGAGGCATCTTCTTGACTCTTCTTGTGCAAGACATCGACCGAATCTCCCTTGAACCTCTCCCTATGCAGAGCATTCGAAATGTCGTATGTTGCGTCTTTCTCGCAAGAATAAGAAAAGTAAGCAAAGAGAAGATGGTTCTGGGAGTTCGATGTTGCACGCATCCATTTAATGTCATTGTACTGTACTATCAGTACTGTATCACTTTGCCCGCATCGCAATCCGTGTAACACCAACGCATGTCCTGCCATGCAATCGTTGCCACGCATCGCAGGGCTTCGAGGGGGAAAAGAGCTCAGGACAAGCTGTCAGTATCACTTCTCATCCAGCCATTTGGGAAGCTAGTTGGAACCTGGGGGGGGGGGAATAAAAAGTCTAAATTTTGGCCCGTCGAAAAAGGCTACCGCACCCTCTATAGGTTGAATATTCTTCCTATCGTGGTACAAAAGTCCCTTCCTGTTCCAAGTGAGAACCAACAATGCGGATGCATGTTACTCTGAAGCTAGCAGAGATTCCACTGTATTAAGAACTTAAGTGGGGAAGGGGGAGTACAGACAACCGTCCCTAAATCGTCAGCATATATTGCCCCGTCGCTCTGAATATGTGATTATCTGTGCATTAAGTTTCTATTTCTCTCTGCAGGCAAGATTGGATTGCGTAGATCGTGGTACTGTACTGGGTCCAGGTTTTCTTGTGCAAAGCAAAGCGAAGTGACGACATGGGCTTCCGGATGGATGAAATGCTGATCATTTTAGGAACCATGATTAGCATATCCTTGCTCGGTCGCCCTGCAGAAGGGTGTCTCACTTTCCCAAGGTGTACAGTGCAACTTGGAAAAAGGTCATCAATTAATTGGAAACTACATCTTGAAATTCTCCATTGAGTTTTCGGTCGCGCTTTTCCCATAGGTCCTGGTATACCGATTTGACTCACTTGATGTAGGACACCAGCACATCACCATCGCAGAAGCCGCGCAAGGCAGTTCCACTAGGGGTTTAGGGTTAATTGTGCAGTAGAAGCGCCAATGTCCAATGCTTTGGTGGCAAGGACAGACAACGAACAAAGCTCAAGCTTTGCTTCGACTAACTCCTGACCAGAGCCCATCATCGCCCCGGGCCCTCCCCCCACAGCTTCCTGCGGAGCTCATGGTTCACGCGCTAATACAGGTACGAACACTTGGCTCTGGGCTGCATCCTCACGATCGAAGGAGGGGCGCTCGTGACGCATGGTGTCAATGACCGCAGTATGATTCTTCCCTTTTGGTTCGTTCTTCTTGTAATGGCGATACGTACCGTCCATCTGTCTCTCCCCACGATTGTCTTCATGGGCTCTGAATCCCAAGATACGAGGTTGGTGTGTCACAATCGTTAGTTGGTGTTCTGTACTGTACATCTTCTCCAGCCTTACGCGATCTCCTTTCTGGTGTGTGTGCTCCGCACGATGGTCCGTATAGCATATGGATAATTGTATGGGCGTTTTGTCCAGGGGAGTAAAGCGCAACCTATTTTGTGAAATAACAGGCCCAGTATTACTGTAGTGACGTCCTACTGTTTAACTATAGGGAGGAGTGCCATGGATCCCCCTCTCCGATCTGATGCCGAAGTCGCCTCGAACCATGGTTAGGGTTCGGAGTGACATTTCCACCTCCCCCCACCCACTTGTTTTTCCTGTCCACTATGCAGACTACGCAAAATAGGAAATACCATATGTACAGTACTGTACTATGGAGACCGAACCCCTGGTCCTCCCTCCGCTTCGGGTGTGGGAGTTCTCAGGGGAGCAGGCGCTATCCAAGCACAAGGTCATGCATGCATACTAGACGCATGATGCAGCGTATGCATGGTATCATGTATGTCTGAAAGTTACCGGGCATAAGAGGTATCCAGGTACTGTGTGTATGGTACAGTACACAATCGCCAAGCTCTTGTGCGGTTCGCCGCGTGCCTTATGTAGCTTGGTTGAGATAAGGAAGTAGTAATACTAACGTTGCGGTTCTAGACTAAGTGAGTCGAGCAGTGTACTCAACAAAAAGAAGCCATGTGGCGGGCTAGACCGCTGGAAATAAGGTGGGTAAGGAGGTGGGACAGGGACCCATTTTCTCTTTTGCGTCTAAGACTGTGTTGTTGGTGTACAGACCACGAGTCTGGCGAACTCCGATTGTGGATGTCGAGAGATCTCGAGGGGGAGAAATTCTCGGAGAAAGGAAGAGCGAGAGAGAAGAAAAATGCCACTGCCACACTGCCACACCACTTGGCTGGACCCTCTCTAGTGTGTTTTCGTCTTTAGTGGTGAATACAGTATCTTACACCATGAGGCCAGCGGTGTCACCCGGAGGTATTGCACTAGGAAATCCTGCCCTGTGGAACCACCCCAAACCCTCCGCCCACCCCACACCATCCTGTCTGTCTTCCCCTCCAGGTTTCTTTTCCATCAAATGCTGGGAGCTTTGGGGTTTAACCTTAGGGAAGCACTAAGCTTAACAGCCCTGAGCTCCAGGATCCCCGAGAGGAATCCTTATGTAGTGACGATGGTATTTAAGTGAGTTCACTCGTGATCGTGATAACAAACCAGAAAGGGCAGACAGAGCATGAAGCCTGAGGATCTGCGGTCCGGGCCCCTCCCTCCTCGTTTGAACCTTCTGTCCTATGATGAACGTCAGTTCGCTCTCTGGGTTTTGTTTTTCGGCATCCCCGAGACAATACCGCGCTAACCCTAATTCGGAAAACTAAAAAAGGCAACGCGGGATTCACGGGAGTTCGACAAAATCTGATATCAATCAGTAGTCCACGGTTACTTTAGCTTGTCCTTGTTTTGGCTCGAGAGCCCAAGCCAAGATTAATCAATCGCATTAGTAAGGGTTCGATAACAGATGGACAACCGGGTCACGCCTCGAGGCGAGGACAATGTCAATGTCACTATTGTGCTCACTCCCTGGCGAAGACCCTGATAAGATTGTGATTTTCTTGAGGTTAGTGAACTTTCGCGGGTCGCCAAGGGGGAAGATTAGCGGAATGATCTTTTTCTTGCTTGGGTAGTGTCGGTCATCGCCTAGTCTAGATTCAGGGACTTGGGTCTCGGTCCCGAAGGTCCGTACTGTAGATTGTTTTTGTAGGCGCCCACGAACAGTGGTTGGCGCTAGGGCCGGATGTCAATACTATATGGTTGAAGACTACTGGGTTAGGTACGTAGTAGGCTAGTAAACAGCCAACCATGTGATGGATGCGACAATAGGAGCTGGTTTGAATATGGTGTGTATGTCACACGCAATCTTCTATGTATTCATGACATCACGGCATAATCGTCATTCATCGTTCTGCTCGATTAGAGAAAAGGAATAAGAAGCAAAATACTTCCAAGCATGGAGAGTAGGGGTTGACTGGACACAAGCGAATCATATTCCAGCAAAACTTTACTCCGTGAGGTAAGGACAAAGTTATCAGGATTCTTATCCGGGTGGGGACTACATGGACAGTACCAGCATTGGGGGTTAACGATCAGGAGCAAGACAAGAGAAGTCTGGGGTCTGGGGGTGAAGAGTCGCAGGGTGGGTTTGCCCATGTTTGCCACAATGGATCTGTGGGCACTGATGGGTTTTACTCAGTACACCCAAATACATCAGTAGTATGAGACCCAGCGCGTGGACGACTAGTACTGTAAGTCACTTACAAGTGCCACCCTTGAACTGCTCGGCTCGTTGAATAAAGTATGAACCGTTGTCGGGTACACGATGGAGAACTTCACGTATGGCACTCACCGGCCGAAAAGAAAAAAAAAAAAAAAAAAAACAATCAGCTACTGGGTCCTGCTTCCCCGGGGCCGAGTTTCCCCTTTTCTTTTCATCTGGTGCAAAGACTTTGGCCCCATCCCGATGCTAGTTGGAAATCACGACCGACTGACTGGGTGGCCCTCCTCCATCCGTTTCAAGCCACGCAGCTGTCAATGCCACGAGGTCTTTTAGACTGGGGAGGAGGGGCGCCCAATCAAGTTTAGGAGGAGGGCCACAGCAGAATGTCCATCCGGCGAATGGGCGATTGAGGGAAGCGAAGCAGAAGAACAAATCAATCAGCATTATCTCTCTTACCATGCCTACACTTGATGACAATCCACGATCGGGATTCCGACTATTACTACCTACCTTGGACCATCCTTTTCTGCCCAGTGGTAGGATGATGGGCACAGATTGGTGCACAAGGATCAACAAATCTGCATCATCGCCTGGATTGCAACAAGGATGGGGTCAAGTTCCTTGCTGTGCTTGGGTTTGATCTTGCATGGTGTTGACAAAGTAAAAGGCTTGATCCCCATATGAAGGTTCGCTTGGGCGAGAAGGTTGGACTTTCGCGTCATCTTTGCCATACTTGAGTCGTCGTAAGCGGCACTAAACCATCCTGATTGTACCGTACCAAGCATCAGATGATGAGCCCGTACGGGGGACTAGTGGAATCTCTCAACAGGAGAACAAACCTCAACTACGGCCGAGACCCTGTCCCGCTGAATCAGAACTGTCCAGACCCTCTTTACCTCGTGATCGATTTGCGTGTCCATTGAAGGCTATACTCGTGGGTCAAAGCATTGTTTCTCAAAGCGAAGCGCGGGGCTCAGAGCAATGATACATTAGCATTCAAAGTCATACAAAGAGCCTCATCTGCGCACAAACAAATGAGTGACTGGTTGACACCACGTCACCCCGGTTGCTGAAGACGTGGCTGAACGCACCACACCCCTGCCACAACCGCCCAATTCACGACTGCAAAGGACTTAAGTGCTTTGCTCCATGTAACGGCAGATGCCGAACCATACATTTGTTTTATGCCTTGCCAATCTTTGGCTGATTGGCTGCTGCTGCAGGGTGCAGATACCTGCAAGTCCTGGACATGAGCACACGAAAGAGTAAAGTCTGTCCACTCACTACTGCACTCTTTCGGTAATCGAGGTAGATCCTCAGGGATCATCTGGATCATCTTTTCCATCTTGCTTACCTAACTGTGGTGATGAAAACATGTTGGAGTTCGTGGGGGGGTTCCACTTATCACCAAGATCGCGATCAGCGACACCGGCCGACTCTCCACAGTTCCAAGTGTTAAAAATTCGAGTCTAGCTTGGGTGATACATGGCCCAAGGAGGAACTAACTCACTACACTAACAATCAGACGCGGGAGATGGCGGGCACCCGGGGGGGTAGGCTTAACCCTTCGGTAAACGTGCTCTGGGATGGGAAGATTAAATGACTGGCAAGTGGGAACGCCCCGGCCGCGCCGATAGGGAAGATGGATCAAGGATGCACGAGCCATACTGGTTGGGGTTAAGTGCAGTCGACGGGGTGGAAAGAGGCTGGCTGAGCAAATTCCAAATTCTTGGTTCGGCCGCCCCGGATTGGACCTGCATTGCACACTGTATGTATGGTTGTATGTGTGTACTGTACTGTACATAAGATGTGAAGTATCGGGTAGGTATTTTGCCCTTCAGAAGATCATAAGGTGATAATTCCTGGTTGTATACAACATTCAGTCCATGTACATGGTTCTATGCAATGCTAGAGGCTTGTCTGCATCCCGTTTCTGGATTCTTGGGCATATCAACACGAAGAGCCGTGGCTGATAAGTGGCTGATGGGGGCCGTTGCTGAGGATTAGCTAGAAGGCTATAGGTTACGAGAACAGCTCCAGACCATGTTCTGGAAGCATTCGAGGTAGGCTGGACTCCGGGGTGGGTGAGATCCTACAGCATCGTGCGGGTTGATGATGACAGAGTCAGGCCATTTATTGAAGCATAGGATATCCTTACTAGGTGTGTCGAAAGAAGAGATGTCAGTGACGTCATTACATGTGTACCAGACACTGAAATGATTAAGGCTTCTGAGTTATATGCTGCTTTCGACAGAGTAAAACTTTAGTATTAAAGAACTGTCTTCTGTATGGCTTCAAGTGTCTATGTAAGTAACAATCTTGTCTTTAATTGGCTTGTCATGTACAAGAGCGCCCAGGAGGCAAGAGTTATGCGGCGAGGTCGTGCTCTCCGCACTTTTTTATATATTGTGGCTACCAGTAGTGCTCACCACACCACACAACTACACTGCATGAACGCGGGTTAACATGCCTAGAAATGTGTAGACTCTGGTCAATCTCCATATGCGACTCAAGCAATGCCGTTCATGATTCATGATTTGTCTTTTCTGTGCCTTCATCATACCTCGAAACATGAGCACGTGGTCGACGTTTGTTGATTGCTTCTTGGGCGGTAAATTAGGTTTGCAACCACATGGTCGATGAAAATACTCTCCAAAAATGCATCATGATTGTAGGTAATTGTATACCGGAGGCATATTGAATTTCCGTGCCTGCATCCAAACATCTTCTTTCGGCTAGCCGTTCCTGCCCCGCATTCTTGCCTCATCCCGCCGCGCTGGAGGAAGTCGTCATTTCCATTCTCCAACTCCGCACTCTGCCAGGGAATGCAGCAGCTGCAACGCATCCGACACCACAAATTCGACATTATGCAACTAGGTCTTTCGGAGAGTCTTCCGGCCCTGGTCAGCCGACGATTCACAACCGCCAAAGATGCTGGCCATCTCCTCTTTTCTCCAACTCAGCTCGCGACACTCCATGCTTCGGGGATCCCGGTAAATCATGTCCTTGTGCCATCAGTTCCTGGGCTACGCGCAAACCTGGCTAACACCTTCACCCAATCTTGCCCCAGTATCAACTTCGTTACTGCCCAGCTCTCGCAAAGAAACCAACGAGTACCCCGAAGAACGAAAACGCCAACCCTACCGGACCGAAGTTCGATCCCTTCGAGAACCCGTCACCGGAGCTTCTCATAGCTCAGATCCCCCGCGAAAATCCGACCCATTTCCTGGTCCTCAACAAATTCCCCGTGATTCCCAACCACTTCATCCTTGCCACCAAGGCCTGGAACGCCCAGACGGATCTTCTGGGGAAAGAGGACCTCGCAGCCGCCTATGCCTGTGTCAAAGCATGGGCCGAAACAGAGGAACCGTCCTCCGCGCGCGGCAGGAAGCTGTTCGCCTTCTTTAACTCGGGCGACGAGAGTGGCGCGAGTCAACCGCACAGGCACCTGCAATTCCTTCCCGTGGAAGCAATGGCTCGGCAGGAGCAACAACAGGAGCACTCGGACGCCTGGCGGCCTCTGATAGATATCGTCGCCGCCACCTCGCAGCCGGCAGCCCCCGGCGGGTCTGGGGGCTATCGGCGGTCGGATCGAGTTCCCTTTGCCCACTTCGCGCTCCCGTTGCCGCCAAACCCTTCAAGCGAGACTCTCTTCGCGACGTATATTTCTCTGTACAGGGCTGCGGTAGCAGCCGTCGCCGCCGCCACAAACAACAGCAACAGCAATCGCCGCGCCCAAGAGACGACCGGCCCCGCCGTCGTCAGCTACAATCTCGCCATGACCGAGTCCTCGATGATCATCTGCCCCAGGAGAAGGGAAAGCGCACACGTCCCAGTTGAACCTGGCGCCAGTGCGGATGTCGCCGAGGCTGGGGTGGTCGCCCTGAACGGCACCATCCTGGCCGGAACCCTCATGGTCAAGGCCGAGGCCGAATGGACCGAGTTGCGCCGCAATCCGCAGTCGTTGAGCAATGTGCTTTCGACGATTGGTTTTCCGCAGTTGAATCTGCCGGAGGTTTCGCAGCTATAAGACGTCTCATTGCGAAGCATCATTCTAGCTTGCTTAGATGAGTCGCATGAGCGTCACTGAATCTGCACATATCTACAGAGTAAATTTTGTTCAATAACCTGCGTTCATGTGATAGAGATATAATACCACTGGTTTGTTTTCGGAAAGGGAACCGTAGTATATACGAGTAGATTGACAGCTAAATTTGATTGTATAGACGTCCCCTACCGCCCAAGCAAGAGATTTCTACATCGTAGTTCGACACTCAAGACTCCTCCTCTTCTATGTCAATTCTGCTATTCAGAGCAAGGTGAACAAACAGACTGAAAGACAGGAAAGGATCCACCGCCGTTCCTGCCGGAAAGAGCCAACCGGCAATGGCAATCAGTCAGCCGGGCAACAACCTCGAACATCAACACTTCACATTATGCACCTCACACCATTTCTTCTTGCACGTCGCATTCCCAAAGAGGTATGAGCCTCCGTTCTCATATATATAGAGCGCAACCTGTTTCCAGGACACCTTTGGCGGCTGGACGAGGGCGAGATCTTGAGATGGATGATCGAAGAGGTACGGGCATTGCGACGCCTGTCGGCCATGGTCCAACTGGGTCACCGCTTCAAAAAGAAGTTGAATCTGCAACAGGGACGGAGGAGAGAAAATCACGGTCAATATATGGGATTCTTCTCACGATTGAAACGCACGAGCCACAATGTAAAAGGGAAAAATGAACTTTACATCTCTGTCTTGCCATTGCGGCTTTCTCACTCGAGAGTGCTTGGGCTTGGTCAAAGTCCGATATCTGCCGCGAAGGGTGGATTCGGCCTCGGCGAAGTTGCAAACCTCCTTGATGGCCTTGTACGAAAAGCCTTGCTGCTTATACTGGATCAGGAGCTTGTTCTTGACATCTGATGCGCGCGTCGTGGATCCTCTGAGTGCGCCTCCTATCCCGACCGATACATGTCCGTCGGTGGGGGACAACTGTGGCTGGAATGGAGCGAGGAGCGGATGATGTGAAGGAGCAAAGGTGGACGAGTCCCGGTGTTGATAAGAGTAAGTTGGAGGAGGCTGATAGTAGGTTGGTACCTGACTTGTCATTTGTCTCTCCGGAATCGGAAGCAAGTCAGGACAGCATGTTTTGCTAGGACAGACTCCAGCTAATGGACTTGAAGTGTCCGACCACCCGACCTGGCTGGACTGAAGACTGTCAGCCGGAGAGTTATCCGGCATTGAGATCAGCTGGTCGAAGGTACCGCCAAGGTCATCATCGCATGAGTGGGCAGTTGCGCCGGACACACAGGGTGCAGAATATGCCATTTCTCCGTGGCTGATATCCCTGGTGTGCGTTACACATTCGGGTATGGACCAGGTGAGGGCACTGGCGGTATCTATCGTCTCTTTTGCATTGCTGAAGCTGTTACTGAATGCCACAACAGGGCTATACTCCCATGGCAATTCGACTTTCGGCAGTGGGACTTCAGTATCGTTGTTGCTGATGGCTATTCCAGGTTCTTGATGCGCGACCCTAATGAGGTGGTCGGCTGGCAGGCACTCACTGTCCCTAACGCCAAACGTAATTGGGGCCTCTTTTGAGCTCAAAGCGCTGTGTGGGATTAAGAACGACTCGTTGACCACGGTGCTCGTGTTGACTTTGATACTCTGAGGACTAGCGGCGCTAGAAGCATCGTCCAGGCATAGATCTGGAGAATAAGCTACAGTCACCTTCTGCAGCGGCTCTGAAGGAACTTCAAGCTGTTCACATTGATCGCAGTCCGTTCGCAGGGGACTCCGTTTGGCAGGCATGTACGAGTAACAGGATTCCGCTATGGTCGGAAGAGGAAGACCATGAAAAGGTGGCTCTTCACGCTTTGCCGAATCGAGTGCAGAAGGGTAGATCGACCAGTAGGAGATCTCTCTCTTTTTGAGGGAGTCTGAGAACATCATGTAGGTGTTTGTCATTTCGATGTTTTCGAACAACGCTGGCCAACCTTCACTGGACGCTGCGACTTCGATAACAGGGCTGACCAGGCAACAGTATCAGGCTCAACTCGCCGAGTACCTGACAAAACAAATGATTGTATTCCACCTACTTTCAGCAAAGTCTGTCAGAGCTTGACAACAAATGAAGATGCTTGCCAGGTGACTTGCTTCCTAGCGATCAACCTTCTCGAGGAAAGATAGGCGGTGTTTTTTAAAGATGCCACACTCCACTTCCTCGCTCAGTTCACCGCTCCAGTCTTTGACTGCTCATATATTCCCCTGGAATAACGAGAACTGGACTTAGATGTCGTATCATGCGCGTTGTCGGGCGAGTCAGGGCGCCTGCAGGCAGCGATGCAGTCACTCAGCACATTGGACTCCATATGGAAGGGTTTCACTTGTTGTTGAAGAGTTGCGGTCAACTTACTCAGAACATAGACCAGGCGATTGGTCTGTCGCACTCGGAGGCGAGATTCAGTTGCAATGCCTTTACCCTCAAGGGGTCCCAATCGAAAGGCTAGCCCCTGCTGTGTTTCGGTTGAAAGAGCCAAAATTGCACGAGGAAAGATGGTAGTTAGTGTGAATGATAATGGAAGGGACAAGGAACAGCCCGGTATCCAAGACTTGGTCACTTTCCGCCACTTGGTTCAACAGCGAACAATGTCTCAGTCACTGTCAACGCTCTTTGTGGCAAGTGTTATGGCTCCAGCGCAGCCGACGCAATGGGGTCGTCGCGATATACAATGCGTTCAGCTTAAGACACTGTCTCTGATTCAAGACGCGAACGTTGGCACTTGAAAATAAAGATAGTAGCTCTCGAGAAATCTCAGGGCAGGTTTTAAGCTCATTGCTCATTGAGGAAGAGCAGCAGCGATGTGCCCCTTAAGTCCTTCTCCAATTCCATATCCCTGACAGTCGTGATGCTGCGATATGGAAATTGAGGTCCCTCCACACTTCCGGAGCCACCTTCCTTGTCCTGTACAGAACGGTATTCTTCTTTCCCTCCCTCTCTTCGCTTGATCGGCCTAGTCATTGAGGACTGAAGCATGCCCCCTTGAATGGCTTGCCGAAAAGGCGTGTATTCCGACCGAAAGGGCCTAAAACCTCGACAACCAAGCCTTATCCCAGCTCTTCATCATATCAGGTTCTCACCCGGAAGGCTCACCCGTGGAGACCCCCTGGAAGGAGAATCGTAAGCCGAATAGAAACTCATCTCGTGGCGTTCGGCGACGAAGAACAGGACTGGCAAGGATCAATAGTCGATTGGTCAGATCTGAATCAGAAATTTTACAACTGTCAAGGGCATTTTTCTTTCTGGAACCCCGGATGAGACTCCACTGTCATTGAGCTGGAATTCATCTGTGATTGGGCGTGGTTGGTTTGGCTGTGCTGGCAACCAGTTCGGATACTTACATATAGGGCTTTGTCCGCTTCCCTTACTTCATCCACCGCGACGTTTGATCGGAGAATTCACCAACATTCCCCGGCAGATCTGCCAGCATACCTAGTCTTCTTCTCTCTTTGTCGTGACTAGATCTTTAACGCGCCATTTTTCTTGCTTTTTCTACTATTTCTTGGTCGCTTGTCGACTGGACAGCTCTAGCTTCCCTCTTGCTCCCCCATGCCTCCCTCCACTCCACAACGTACGACGAAACGTTCCTGCATCTGCAGGTCAATCCCGATCTTGATCGTCAACCCATGGCTAGTGACATGGGAAGGGGCGGGAAAGAGTATTCTAAACCTGAGATACTAAAAAACCAAAAAAACTCTCTGGAAGAAAGGGATTCATTCTTCTTTCGCGTCTGAACTCCCGCGATCAGAACCAAAAAAAAAAAAAAAACCAGGATATATCCTCTATCCCTCCATCCAACCCACCCTCAAACGTCCCTGCCTTTCCCGGTCCAATCAGCAACATTTCAGCGGTGATACACACAGTCGGAGCTTGTGACCCGGCGGGTTGACAGACAGACAGATCACGCACGAAAGACTAGACCGTGCCCCCTCCCCCATGGAAGTCCAGATGAGATGTTGTTGACCTATCGTTCGGTCTATCACTTCTCTCTCAGTGCCTCCCGTTCACAGCGCGAAGGAACGGTCTGGATGCCTGTCTATCTGTGGCTTTATTTGACTTGCCTGCTTGCCTGCCTGCTTACCTGTATGTGGCCCTATTCAGTATACCTTCCTTCCTTCCCTCCCGCTCTACATACCCGCCGTCATTTCCCTTTGTCGTTAGCTTAGTGACCGCTCGTGCTGCTGCTAATGGGACCACGGCACGGCGGCTGTCGATAGGCGTTATGCTCCTTCCTTCATCCATCCCCAAATCCTTGCTCCCACCAGTACTCACTCAGTATACTTACTTCCAATTATAGCTTCTCACATATCCTTCTCCGCTTCAAGGATCATTGATCCTGGCCATGCTGGCCCCCCATGCCTGTTCCTGGGGTCGACCCATGGAAAAGCTAGTGATCACGTTTTATCTATCTATCTATCTATCTACCTATCTATTTATCAGCCAACCCCAGACCCCAACCCGGGACCATCCTCGGACGCAAGTAAAGGAGCCCTGTGCTGGAGATGATGAACCTGAGAGAAAGGCCCCATATCCCACGGGCATACCAACGAGCCGCGCCACCGAGGCCCGGGAAAAGGGGTTCTCGTTTCTCAATTCGTTTTCTTCAAGGTCATTTCTCCATACTCCCTCTCGTTTTGGTTGTCATTCTCTATTCCGTTCAATTTCTATCCCCGCCGAACAATTTTTCGGATTTGGGTACCAATGGTAATACGGCCAGGGTATCCGTGCGTAGTCTCCAGTAGTACATAGCACTGTACATAGAACATAGGTAGTTATGCCTGGAGGAGGGCATTCGATTGGCCACTTCTTGATCGTGCGTACCTAGGTTATACCAGTCCACAACTGCCTACCTACCAGACTCACTGCTCGTTCATTGGGTTTTATGTAATGTAAAAAAAAAAAAAAAAAATTTTACAAAAGAAAAAAACAGAGCACAGAGAGGGCCTCAATGGCGATGGCCGGGAATCAAACAGTAACATTAAACAATAACGTACAGTACTTTTCCGTTCCAACCCCAAAGCCTGGGGATCCCTGCTGCTTCCGTGTTTAATTTTCATCTCCCCATTACTTATCCAGGGGACGGCGCGGGGGGGGGGGCAACCTTTTCCATCCCATCGGACTGTTACCTACTCGATTTGCTCTTGCAAAAATTCCGGGGAAGGGGGGAAAGCGGATTGATGGCGTGCTTTGTGTTCTTCTTTCTGTTCTTTTCTTTTCTTGTAGTTCGCATTTATCTTTCTACGAGGCATAAGAAATTAGAAAGCCGAGCAATGAGAGGGGACAAGGGAATTCAAACGAGACTGTTTTGATCTCTCATGTCTGTTCCCGTGGCTGGGTACCCAGTTGCCAACAGACCGTCCATCCTAGCCGTCGCGACCATTGCGACAGTGGCGTGTCCTCTTGTTCTTTGATAATGTGAGACAAGCCTACTACGGGTTGGGAGTCATCTATCAGACGAGCGCAGTCATTACGGCCTGAGACACAGGTTCTACTACAGTACTGCGCATATTGTGTTCTAGCCGTGGCCCTTGCCCACAATGACCCACGATAGAAAGGAATAGGAATGGAATTTTGCAAACACAGGTGGCGACAGCCGGCGATGAACTGTATTTGTCACGGTCATCCTTAGAAATGATGTAGAAATGATTGGCACAAAAGCCGTCCTGCAGCTCCCTCGTCCGAAAGGGCTACCAAAGGGCATCGATTGACTGCTTCCATCCCATATTGGGCTTGATGCGCGCACCATGACGGTCCAGAAATCGATCAACCAGGAGAACTGAACATGGCTTAGTAAAACGACTGCATGACAAAACGGACGGTCTCAACTTACCAGTTAGAAGAATGAGAGTAAAGGCATACAAAATAGCCGGAGACGTCATGAACGAGTAAACGAGTGGAAAGTGCCGGGAGAAGCTGATCAGACCGGCTAAGAATATCCCAAAACAGACCCGCACTGCCACACTGATAGCAGCACAGATGCCGCGGGCATGGCGACGCGTCAACAAGACGAATGCGGCAAAGAAGAACATGGCAAGGCTTGCGACCGCAAAGTAATAGACATAGACAAAGCTAAGGAGCTCCATGTACATCCGCAGTAACCGATCACTGCCCATCGATCCAATGTCTGCATTCTTAGAGGGCATGATACCCATGCTAGAGAACAAAGCCGCTGTGACATTTCCGACCAGGTTACTGAGTAGGTCACTTGTGGCAGAGAAATCATCTGGCCCATCCGATGGGCACAGTGGCTGATAGGGCAGATCATCCAACAGTCGGGAAATGGATATTTGTTCATTGATCGCACCCCGGCTATAGTTGATCTCCATATCGGCAATGGTAGTCCGCAGCAGATGAATGGCCTCTTCTGCCTTGGGCCTTGGCTCTTCGCAGGTCCATAAGATCGTCTCAGTTAGGTACTTGAGCTTCAGAGTGATGTCCAGGGTCAAGGCAAGGATCTGAGAGCCTTCGAGCAGAAGAATAAGAACGACATGGAACGGGAAGTGGAGCTGGGCCCAGATCTGCTGAGAAAACTTCCCCATGGTACGCCGTGGGGAGAGATCGAAGTACGCTTGCCACAGAAAATACTAAGAATTCCCAAGTAGTTAGTATGTCTCAGACTTGACGGGGAAGACCATGGCTGGATCCATACCACACTAGTCGTAACGCCGAGGATATGAGCAAACGACCACTTGGTCCATCCTCCCGGCCCGACTGTCTTGTTAACAATCCTTGTGATAGCGATGACGCCCTCCCCAATAATTATCAGGGTCAGTAGCCCCATTCTTACGTTCAGATGAGTGTCCTGAAGACCGATCCCTGCTTTCATGGAAGACGTCCACATGACTACCCACATCTCTATGGCGAACAGAAAGAACCACACAATCCAGGCGTATGTGCCGCCCACGCCTTGGCTGCGGAAGGCAAAGTACATCTAGTGACAGGTCAGTTTCCCAACGATCCTGACGCGGATGCATGATTAAGATGCTGCGGGCTTACCCAGAAATATATGAATCCCGTGATAAACAAGGTTACAGCGATAAAATAGACTCTTTTAGACGCAGACCTCATACGCTTGCTCAGGAAACCGGCGTCGACAGTGTATTGTATAGAAAGCAGAAGCCGACTGACACCAAGTATCAGGCTCAATGATTGGAATGCCCAGATATTTTCGTCTTGCACCTGAGTGGTAAATCGAGTCCCTGCCGACGCAAATTCCACCATTACGGCCAATTGAATCGCTTTGCAGATTCGCTCAAAGATCGAGTCGCGAGCGAATCGAATATCGAACAATGTCACCTGGAGCCAGGTGAACCAGACAACCCCAAGAAAGCCAACATAGGCCCCCAACGCTGCCAGGACTCATTAGACCACGGTCTACACGAGCTGGTAGAGGGGTATCTCAAATCTTACCATCTACATTATTGATCTCATGCGTGGCTGTGAAGGTTGAGAGGTTGGCAACGAAGAAGAGGTCAAAGAACAGTTCAATTGGAGTTGCGTCAGAATGATGATAGAGGTGAGGAGGCTCTCCATCTTTATCGTCTATAGGCGATTCAATAAACGGTATCACACTTCGCTGACACCTGAATGTTGCTTAATCAGTCGAAGCACAGCCGAGATGCAAATAGGGTGGCCTACGGGCCAGTTGATTCTTCTTCTTCAACACACTCGGTCCTACGCAACGGTTGGTGAAACCAAGAGAGAAAGAGTGACGGAGCCATGTTCGATCGGGTCAACAAGGCAAAGAGTAGTTCTGATGCGGGTGGGTATCACAGAAAGATAAACATGCGGTCATGATGTGATGGGACAGTGAGATGATGAGCAAAGGCTTGACAACAGAGGAGTTGCAGCTGGGCCTTGTCGGTCTGTCAAGGCAGGAACAATGGACGAGATCCAGACACGAAGAAACAAATAAGGTAGTCACTGTGAGCCTTCAGGGTTCCTGTTCCGAGTCACTTGCCGTCGAAGGTGCCATTGATGCGCCCAAGCCCTCCAAACCGCGGGAATTCGCAAAGTCATCAGCTGCTGATTGATTGCCGTCGACACCCGACGATGCTTCAGCTTCCTGCTTCAGCTTTTCATAGGTATCGCCAGCCTCTTTGATCAGGACCTGGATCTCCACCTCGCGGACAGCTATGTCGGCCTTCTCCTTCCGCAATTCTTCCATGCGATCGACCATCTGGCCTTTAGACTTTTCAAGGACGGCGAGATTCATACGCAGTCGCTCAAGGGAATGAGCAAGACGCGGAAGCGAGGTAACTTTAGGTGGTGTTTTTGGCCGATCAATGTTGTCCCGATGACTGTTGCCCATCGCAGCTCGTGTTTGCTTAGCTTCGTAGGCCGCCTTTTCTTCCACATCCGAATCGTCTTCTTCCGAGAGTGCCTCGGCGTCATCGATAAGTTCTCGCATCTCCTCGCGTTGCCGTCGCTGCTGTTCGCGCTCTGCTTTCCTTCCAAGGGAGATGCGACCATCTTCCACAAACTCGTCAAATCCTTCAGCGAAATCTTCGTCGTCACGGACCAATCTGGTATCCTCAGCTTGCTCCCGTCGACCCTGTAGATCCCACTCATCATCATCACCTTCGCCACCAACGTCAAGAGAAATAAAATCCTTTTCCGTGGTCGAAAGACTCCCATGTTCCTTTGCGAGACGTGCTCTCCGGGCTTTCTTCTCCCTGATCTCCGCCTCACTGGGGATGGCCGCTGGCGCTGATACCTTCATCACTTCTCCAAACTTCGCAGCCACATCGATCGTCTTTTCATTCTTCTCCTCTTCCTTGGTGCTTGGCACATTCGGGGTCGAAGGGGTCGACTCGCGCAGCTCCTTTAGATAGTCCTGGCTATAGCTCGGCCGATCTTGCTCGGGGCCAACCCTCAAGGAAGGAGAATTGCCAGCCCCAGACGGTGTCAATGACCTCTGAAAGGCACTCTTCTCCAAAACCCGTCGGCCCAAGCCATGTCGCTTCGGCATTACTACCTCACTTTCATTCTCGCCATCGCCGCTGTTGTCCGTCATGGACGTCTCGCCGGGGCCGAAGGAGAGACGCAATTTCGACGTCTGTTTCGTTTTTAAATTCGACGGGCGCTTGACAACGGGTCCGGAGTCTAAAAGTAGTCAGATCTCACTGTCCTTGCTAGAATATAAAGCAGTATTTGCATGTTTCAACAACGAACCTTGCTCCCCGCCATCGCTCTCTTCGTCATCTCCTCCGATTTTGCGAGGTTTTCGGCGATTAGCAATCTTTGAGCTCATTTTGAACAAATCTCGACCGTACAAGTCCTCTCCCTCTTCAAAGAAAAAAATAAAAAGTAGCGGCCACCCAACAAGCACTGGCGTCACTGTTTCCACCTCCGCGGCCCCCGGGTTTCTTGCGTTGGAAGCTTCCCCCTGGGAACAACCTTTATCCGGGCCAGCTTATCCCTCCTCCTCCGCCCGCCCGCTGCTGTACGTCAAAAGTCCGCAACGCGACAGCGGGACATAATAGAACGATCCACCAGATCAAACCAGCCCAAAATGCCTCAAGCTCAGCCGGAATTGAAGAAGGTATGACCTTTTGGACCCGAGCCCCAATCCGTTCCTGGATCGAGTTTGGCTGACAAGGTATTTCTAGTACATGGAGAAGCGGGTATTCTGCCAACTGAACGGCAACCGCAAAGTCATTGGTATCCTGCGCGGCTACGATGTGCGTTTTATTCCCTTGAATGACTATCCTTCGGATAGAGGAGCCTTGGGGCACGAAGGAGCCCTGGTGCTCTCAGTTCATCATG